GTAGGTCGGTTTGAACAACATCGCTCATAATGGCGAACAACAGGCCAGCAACGTCATCGCGACTGACCCAATAGTAAACAGTGATCTGTATGTTGTGGTCGTCAACTGGGGAGGTGCGTACGACGAAGACTCAGAAAATTACGTCGGCAATTTCATGTACCATGCAAAACAAGACAAAATTGCGTAAACATACAACAGCCGTCGTGTCGCGGGCAAAACAAAATGGCGGATACTATTGAACCAAATTTGACAAATTTTCGATTTGAAAACAAACTCTAACTTCCACTGCAATTTTTTTTCTTCTAAGTGTTAGTTTCTTTCTTTTGAATCTACTAGAATTATACTATCGTAGATATTTTAGATATTTTCATGTTATTTTTTTTCCGTTTAACAAAGATTTTCCATTTTTAGCATTAGAAGTGAAATAAAGAATTATTTTGGCCCCAATTCTTACCCACTCTAATTATTTGGTTTTGCCACTTTTGAATAAAGTTTCCTCTTATTTTTTTTTTTTTTTAGGGGGCAGCTGTTTTGTTACCAGTCGATTGGTAAAAAAATCGGGTATCGACATATTTTCTTCAACTGAAATATTTCAAGACTTACTAAAAAGACATGAAATTGTGTATTAAACAATAACTTTACAATATTGTGATCGATATGCCAATTTAATACCGGCAAGTGAGCAATAGACAAAACTGTATGGCGATTTATTCCACTTAGCCAATTGGTATACATTCTTTGTTTTTGTTGTGTTTTTATTATTTGCTTGTTTCATTTTGTTTGGCTCGGTTTGGTTTGATTTAATGACTCAATTTTGTTTTTAAGATTGTTCTTCGTCCGTTTTAGTCTATGTTGGTCCGCTGTGCACACGCGTAAGAACAGCTAAATGACTTCTAGCATTTAGACCCGAAAACGTTTTTGTTTTATTATCATTTTTTTTCCCGCAAAGTATAATGGTGAACCGTGAACTTCTTTTGAGGTAATAAACTTTTAAAACAGTATAATTGTCCTTGTTGTGGAGTTTTTTGGTCTTTGTGCTCCAATGGTAATGTTTGTGTTTGTGTTTGTGTGGGGGTGTTCGTTTGTTTGTTTGTTTTTTGTTACTCATTGATTCTTCCCGTATCTAGTGAACCGAATTATCAAAGTAACATCACACCACTAAATTCCGGGAAGAAGTACTTACATTTAAGCGGGAAAAAAAGCACCGAAACGCTGCAAATAAGTGGTCTAATATTTTTGTGTTTTCAAGATTTTGTCAGCAAAGCAAATCCCTGAGCAATCGGGGGGGGGGGGGGGTTGATCTATAGCTCTCATGAAACGGGGGGGGGGGAGGAGTTGATTATAAATAGGGGTTGAGTGAATGCTTTCTATTGGTGGGTCCGGGGGCATGCCCCAGAATTTGTTTTGAAAATCTACGATGCTTCCCCTGCATAAGGCAATTAATTTGAGAATAAATTTAGCAACTTTAGCATATTCCATTCATTGTTTTTGGTCCCATTTCCTTATAGCTTCATAACTTAGTCAACGGCTGAGCGGGGGTGGGGGTGTCAACCCCCAACCCTTATGGCATTATCTTCTTTCTTTTTGTCCTGTACAAGTTCCACAGTAAGCTCTGATTACAGAGACCTGTACCAGAGAAATCACCTCCCCCATGTCCTTATTAATTTTACACGTTTGCTGAAAATGTCTAAAATTCATCGCTATCTGATGTTTTAGAGCTGGTAGCCATGGTGTTATATAGACGGCAAATCCGGAGATTCCACATAAAATCAGTCAACAATAATGTTGACCCTCTGTGGGGATTCAGGCAAGAACTCTTCTTCTTTATTAAGGCTCTCCAATGTCATAAGTATGCATGATTGATGAGCAATAGTGCATAGGGTTACTGACTATCCTGGCTTTCAAATATTTACCACTTTAAGTTCTTTCTTTTCAAAGTTGACTGCTTTTTTTCAAGAGTGGGATTTGGGGAGCTCTCGGTGGGTGCAGCGGCAATAGAGCCTGTCGGATATTGTACGTTTTCCAAGAATACTAACAATACATTAAAAGAAAAATAAATGATAGAAAAGGTTAAAAAAATAAATGATGCTGAACCCCAACTTGAAAGCAAAATGGCGGGGAGCATTTTATCAAGGCCACGGCTTGAGTCTTGTTTAATGCTCAGCTCTGCAAATGTTCATAGTTACATTAAGATACTTTTCGTGCATTTTTTTCGTTTAAACATTGCTCACAATCTTTAACACGAAGGCCAAGGGAAGGCTAAATAACAAGTGTTGTAGTCGAGTATTTTTTTCCGAGTACTGAGTACGAGTACTACAACACTGATATAAACAACTATAACCTGTTGAGGTTTAAGCTCAGTGGATACTGCATATTTTAAGAGAATGTATAGAGAAAACGTACGCACAATTTTGGGGTCTCGCAACCACCTTCAGTGATTATTTTCTTCCAAACGATACTATCTCAAGTAAAGGGGGAATCACATCACATGCTATTTGGTATCAGTCCTATCTTCACTTTGACCAAGGGTTTTCTCGTTAAGGTAAAAACAAGGTTCCAGGTAATAACACCATGTTCCTATGTGTTCTAAGCAGGCACATACGTTTAAGATCGACGATGTTTATGCATGGGATGGGTACGGAATAGTCTCCCATAATATTAATGTAGACGATTTTGAATTTTGTTGGCTAACTTTCGCGGTTGGCTTAGTCTATCCCCTTGCACAGCAAAATATGCGAGCAGCCTCGGCGATTGATCAAGCAAAACAAGACTGCGTCTTGATCTCCAGATTCTGGCCATTCAGCGGGCGCTTTCTATCGGGTCTTCGGTTTACAAAACCATGTGAGCAAATTGACCAATCAACAGCTTAGTCCACGTTTCTGATTGAAATGTCGTCACAATTTCTAACTCCGATTGGCTGGCTCGCAGGGTTGCATAAAGTGCAACAGACAAGATACATTGTCATATCTGCCGCATCATCAATGAGAACTTTCATTGCACAAACAAACTTTTTGACGGCGCGTCGTGTGCGATAAAATAATGATTGACTCCTCGGCCAGTAAGAACCACGCACCTTGTTGAAACATCATAAAGCGGCGGTGCCTTTGGAAGTTCCAATCGACGGTGCGTCAATAATGGTCGAGCTACGCAAAGCAGCACATTGGCGGCGATGATGGCTTAAAGGGAATATACATCATTTGTTTTTGCTGTAATTTTCAGAAATGGATGGAATTGGGGGGCTGGAAATATATAGCAAATATAGTTACACTAATTTTTTTGAGGTTTTGGGCTCGAAAATGCAATAACAACCAAGAAAAACAACCATTTTCCTGTAGTCTGGTTCCCTGACTCCATATAAGAAGAAACAGAGCAGTTTACATACATTGGGGAATTGTAAGGTCAGGGAACCAGTCTAGCTGGCTTGTACCCGTTCATAGGTGTGTAATCGATTGCAAACAAGTGCGATGGTCAATTGGGGCCAGTATTTGAAAAAAAGCCCGTTTTTTTTTCAACCAGCGTTGGAAATTGATACAAAAATACCACTTTTCTTGAAAATGACAGTATACCAGGTGCCATGATTTTACAGGATGCTTTACACTGTCATTCACTAACAGTCCAGCAAGGTATTTCAAAATGATTTGGTAGTTTTATTTTTCGATGTTTGCAAATGTTGTATTTTCACTTTAAAGTCAACCGAAAATGAACTATAAACCGATTCAATTACTGTCTGCCGTTTTGTAAAATACCCAAATCGTCGGCACGACACAAAGCTGTTTTTTTATATAAAAAATACAAAACAATCAAACTCACCGTCACTCCACATCAGACACAACAGAAAATCATTTCATTTCAAACAGGCTGCTCCCTCATCCTAACAACAAAAAATCGATCAATAAAAAAAAACATCAAAAACACCCGAAAAACAATTTCTTAACAACATATCCAATTCAAAGGAGCTGCACCCCGTGGTAACACAATGCATCAGGTAGCAGGCAATATTGTAATCGTCCCTCTTTTTTCTACTTTTTTTTTTTTGGAAAAAGTGTTTACTTACTTTTTTAGCTGTCTGAAAAATGGAACAGTCAAGGCTATCTTCCCACACACAGAATGGACACAAATCCCCCTGTCACAAAAGAGACCAGACAGTGCAGAAATGTGGTAAGTTTTATTCAACTTTTTTTTCCGGACCAACTCTCTTCCCAAGAACGAGACACGGTGATTGACAATGACAGGTACATGTATTAGCAACTGGGCCCAACAAACAAAACCAGGCAGGATAATGTAATTTTTTTTTGCGAGACAGAGGCGGCTCTTTTGAAAACAGAAAAAAAAGGTGCGTCGTTGCAGGTTTAATGTCAACCTCCATCAGCCCCACGCAAACAAATTGGGCAAAAGTGGAAGGAAAAAGGGTGCGTGGGAAGCACACGGAAACAAGTAGCCGACCGACTTAGAATTTAAACCAAATACATCTAATTTAAATATTTCCGAAAACGACACTCGTCAAGCGGAAACTTGAGTTATTGAATTCAGTAAAGTTCATTTTTAACGTATTGTCCCTTCATTTAGTCAAAAAACGATTTTCACGTGAGATTTCGCCCAATTTCCAACTTTTTCCGACTTTTTCTGGACCCTCTTTTCGGCTGGTTCCACAGGGCCATCCTGTATTCCTCTTTGCAGTGGCGTAGCTACGGGGGGGGGGGGGGGGGCCGTGGGCGCCCCCCCCCAGTCGCCCCCCCCCCCCCCCGAGATGTTGAGTTTCTAAAAAAAAATATCATTGATCTACATGACGCCCCGCCATGAAATTGAAATGTTCCAGCCCCCCCCCCCCCCCCCCCCCAGCGCCCCCACTGAAAAAGTCTTGGCTACGCCACTGCCTCTTTGCCCCGGACTCACTGAGTCACGTGACCAGCACGTGATGAGTCATGCTTTAGTAGTCCCAAAGACCAGACAGTAGTCCATGGAGTATGGGCTGGACTCGGTATTGTCAAAGTCAGGGTTTCTTTTCCCCCAGTGAGGCAGCTGCCCGAAATACTGCCTATCCCACACCGTGATTGGTGCACGTCAGTAGTAGACAACTACACGATCAAGTCACGTTGGCCGCTCAACCACGTTCAAAGTCGCTGGCATGCTGGTACCCGCCCACAGCTAACCCACTCATTGTGGACTCCTTTGTCACGAGAATTCATGGAATTAGAGGCGCACACCCCCGCATCTAGAGACCCTCCCTTCTGATTGGTTGAAAGTAAAAACACTAGACCCACGTCACGTGGATATCGACCAATGGCCTAGCAGGGAAGTCACGCTTTGCAGTCACCCCAGGGGCGGAGTTAAGAAAGCCAGAGGCTTTAAAAGAGGGGGGCCTCGACCAGTTTGATCAGTCTGCACCTTCGAGCTTCAACCTCCGATAACTTTTCAGACGAATTTCTTCCGAGAGGGAAAGCCACCAACTACTTCGCCAAGATGAACAAGCTTAGTGTGTTTGTCGTTTGTTGCCTGTTCCTGCAGCTGGCGTCTGGGTTGTCACTCAGTCGACATGAATCCACTCGTTCTAAGGTAAGCTAAACCTGATTAATTCTTTACACCACTTTTTTATGCCCCACATAATATTATTAACAACCTTGATGACAAATGCTGTATTTTACTCAGTTTTGCTGGCCCTACAGAACCAGTCTAATGCAGTCCCCGTTCTACAGTTGCATCGACCCAATTCAAGCCCAATTGAAACAGATCTAGCTTTATGGTAAAATCGGTAGTATAGTTGAACAGCGCCCTCTGTTATTGTATGTCTTGGACCAGGCAACTGTATCACAAGCGATCCTGTATAAAAAAGTTACTCTCAAATCCGTGTCCATATTCCGTTCCAAACATCACAAAATCTACCAAGTTCAGGGCCAAATAACATGTCAGCCGTCATCACTGGGGTTTCTCAAACAAAAATTAAATCATCGTCTAGTCCTTTATCTTTCCATTTCCTTTCAATATTTGGTGGGTAAGCCGATTATATTTCTAAACAAGCTAATTTACCCGATCATAGATCGGGTAGGGCGTATTTTTGGGTTGGGGTTGAAAGTGTGGGGAGTTAAATGTAAATGGGGGATTTAGTTGAGAAGACATGTAGCTATAGAAAAGCAATTTACGGTGACGCGATCTGAGGCAATTTCTGACCACGTACGATAGTAAAACAAAAGATCATCTTTTAAACATCATTTTCGAGTTTGGAGTCATTGAATCAGCTGTTCTGATTAAAAGAATATTATAGTAGGCTACAATTTTTATTCGGGGAAGAAAAAGTGGGGGTAGGGAACCAAACGATATTGCCCGCTTTAAAATGTTGGGGTGGGGGTCCCCCGTCCCCCACCGATTGACGCCGCGCCCATGATAATTATGTACCATGGCATGTATAACTGTCTGTAAATTTTCCCGTTGGTCTGTTAAATTGCATTTTGTGAGGCAGTCGCGTTTGTTAATGTGGGAAAACTGAGTTGAAAGACTTACCGTATAGTACACAGGCGAAGGCTGATTGTACTGTTTTGACAATAAATCATAATGGAATAAAACGTGAAGGTGGCATTTGCAATAAAAATGTTGAGTGTGTTACCATAAAATTACATAGTCTGAATCATGGAGGAAGGTCATTATGAAGGTACAGTATTGGACTCTTCAACAAACGTAAACTTGAACTTCTTACAATTTGCGAGACCTGCGAGGAAAAAGTCGATTTAACTATTTTATTCAAGTTGGCATGGTTCAACCATAATATAAGCAAGGCCAAACAGCCAACAACCGCCAATATTATTATTTATGCACTCTTCGTTATTCCAACCCAACATAGTTCAAAGACCACAATATTTGAAGCAATGCATCGATCCCTCGTTGATTTCCCCGATCATAGATCGGGTAGGGCGTAGAGTTGGGGATGAAAATGTGGGGAGATGAATGTAACTGGGGGATTTAGTTGAGAAGACATGCAGTTATAGAAAAGCAATTTCTGTGGTGCGATCTGAGGCAATTTCTGACCACTAACAATTATGTACCATGGCAACAGTCTGTAAATGTTCCCGTTCTGTTAAATTGGCATTTTGTGAGGTAGTGGCATTTGTGGGAAAACGTACTTGAAAGGCTTGCCGTAGTACACAGGCGAAGGCTGATTAAGAAGGTCATAATTAAGTTTCAGTATATTGGACTCTTCAACAAACGTAAACTTGAACGTCTTACAATTTGCGAGACTGTCTGCGAGGAACTTGTCGAGTCAACTGTTATTCAACTTGGGGCAACCATCTATATAAGAGCAAATTTTACTCGGCCTCCGAGAAATGTTTGCTCCTGAAACGATCTGAGACCGCGGTCTTTCGCGACGCCAAAATCGCTCCACGTCCGTGGAAAAATGTGGAGGGTGTCTTCCGCCGGATCGGACACATTTTCGTTGATTTTGTGTGTGACTGCGTTTAAGATCTCGATGTTTGAAGCAATGCATCGATCCTTCGTTGATCCCAGACAGGCCCCCGAAATTATAACGCAACACTGTGGCGGGCAGCGAACTCACAACGCTCAGCCTTGGTGGAAGCATGGAGCTGTATTAACACACGATGGAAGCAACAGAGCACTATACACGTCACTCACATGCTTGTGCTTCAAATCATGCAAATAGCGACCTCGTTTCCAGGGTGTGGAGCAGGCTGCAGTACGCGTTGCCATTGAGAGCTTTGCATAGCCCGGAAATACTACGCAGTGTAGACTTTCGATTGGTCAGACCGCGCATATGAAAGAATAGGGGCACTTGGTGGCCACGCACCATGGAGAAAACATATTTTACCAAGGTCACCCCATAACACAATTTGGTGAACGCTTTTGCAGAACGGCTGAGTAGAACACGTAAACGGAACCCCTACGTTGACCTCGCTGACCTCGCACAGTCTAGACACGCAGAGAAGCCAGCACAGGGGGCGGCCAGGCAGTCAACGTGAAAGCGCACACGACGGCAAATTCCTGCGAAAAACGCAGTCACGAAAAATCGACGAAAAGGATCGCCGGTCCGTACGGGAAAATCAGGACGACCCGAAGTGTCCGACCCGGCGGAAGACACCCTCCGTATTTTTCCACGGACGTGGAGCGATTTTCGCGCAGCGGGAGCCCGCGGTCTCGATCCTTTCAGGAGCAAACATCGTCTCGGGGGCGAGTAAACTTCTCTCTTATATATATAGATATTCACACCAAAAAAAAACTACCCCACCCCCCAAAAAGGTGATACTTTCCAAGCCTGCACGCGGCCATTTTACACAATTACACCCTTTTTCAAGCCAAACGGGCTTCTTTAAAAAAAAAGAGAGGGGGGAGGGGCACTTTTCATGCTAATGACTCACGTAGAAATACTCACTTAGTTCTCTGTACCCCTACACTTACCGACTCGCCTCACTGACTTGCCCAAGCCTCACTTTGGACCTAAAATCCAACTCAAATGACCATCTATTTTCAATATTCATAATGCAATTTCCCCCCTAGTTGTTAGTGACTTTTTGGTGTATAGGGCATATGCTAATGCAGATTTCCATATTCATGAGCTCAACTGTGATGTCACTCATGGCACATAACCAAGGCGATGCAGCTGCATCAATATACCTCATTTACCAGGAAGCCATTTTTGATCGTGTTCCTTGAATGTACTGTTTACATTGTAAACTGTTGAATGGGATGGTGCCAGACTATTTATGTTTATTCACAAATTTTAAGTTATTCATCAGAGCATACTTTTTCATAGTTTTCATTTCTATTTGCAAGTTGCAAAGCTGTGAAAGAACAAGCTGCTCGAAATAAAAATGTATAGTTGACCATCCTTTTTCACAGTGTTTAATTATTCGATTTGCTTTCCTTTTTGATGAAATTTCAACTTATATGATTCCTTTCCAAGACAAAAACCCAACTTGTCTACTGCAGTTGTCTGCAAATCTCTCAAGAAAATAATGCCTCTGTACTCTGTGTTGCTTCCGCGAGTAGACTGGTTTCCGGTCGCTACATTATCGAGGCTGAAATAATTTGAAAGGTGTGCAGGGGCGGATCCAGGAATTTGTGCGGGGGGGGGGGGTCAGGCCCGAAAGATACGGATAATAGCCCCTGCAGAATGTCATCTTTTTTATTATTACTATAATTCTTATAAATTATTTTCGTGTCAGAGCAGAGGGTGTTTCGACCCCCCAAAACCCCCACTCTGGATCCGCGCCTGGTGTGAAACATCTTCCAAGTTAAACGTGGGTCGATTTTTTTGTTCGTTTGATGTCTCATTCAAAATGGAATAAATAATGTATTGCAAGAAAAAAATTACTGACTGCCATTAAACCTTTTTGGGGTGAAACTCTGAAATCTCGCACTGAAATTCAAATATTGTGTGTTGGTGTTAATTTTGCTTCAGTTTGACGACTTGCTGCAGAAGTTAATAGGCGGGCGTAGAACAGGGCAACGTAAGTTTGTTTCTTTGTTTCTTTGTGAAATTCGGATTTTTTGATAAATCATAGATTTTCTTTGCAGATTTTAGGTTTTAAAGTTCAGTCCAGGCTTTCACACTTCATTGCAAATGTTTAAACCTATCGATTTTATTGGCCTAAAACCTTGCTTAATTGTTTAAGTGAAGATGGGGCTGGTTCCGAATCTGCCAGAACTGGTTTCAATCAAAATAAAAGAATTAACAACGTGATGAAGTTTCAGCTCAGTGAATGCTGTATATTCCGAGAAAACACTGTTTTAGGATGTCGATTTCAATTCAAAAGTTGCCGAGTCATGTTTAAATTGCGCCCGAATTCAGCGTCCGGGACACGTTCTCATTCAGCCGATTGCAGCTACGCGATGTAACACACTGAACCGACGAATTATTAGCAACGCACTACAAAATGTCCCCGTTTCCATTGTTTTTTTTTTTCTTCTCATTTTGCAATTTGTGTTGGTGTAGTGTAACAATGAACCCATAAACTATGCCTTGCCTTTGTTTTTCAGCCACTACACAGGCCGGACAGCTCTATGTACCGGCGATTATCCGGTACAGCACCACCAAGACTGAGACCCTGGCCGAGGACGAGGAGACGTGGTTCATTGGGGAGCTGTGCGGCAATGCCATGGGGAAGGCCGTGAACGTCACCATGAAACTCGATCACAACCCAGGCTGGGATCCCGTCAAGGGCATCGTGAATTACGAGGTTGTCGACTCCAAATATCAGGTAAGATGTTTTGCAATCGACCAATCCACCACGTACGCTCTACCCTATAGGCCGTGGGCCAAAGCCTGTAACGTGCAGTTTTGTCTTAACTTTTAGTGGCAACTTAATTTCTCGGTTATAAGTAGTTTGGAACATGTTAATTGATATTTTACAATGTGCACATCACATCGGTTGCACAAATTAGAAATAAAGGGGACTGTTTCCCCAATGTAACTTGTACCACATGAGGGCGATCGCGATGCATCGCTGCCATTGCGTACCAGCCTCGCATCCATGGGCGCGTGCGCGTTCCTCCATCAACCCCTGGCCGTGGGGAATAATGTAAACGGCGACGCTGACTGGCTAAAACAGAGCGTACTGCACGCGTACTTCGAGGTCTGCGCGCTAAAGTGGGTGGAGAGAAGCAATGAGTGACAAAGTGTTTGCCCAAGGGCACACGCCCCATTACCCCAGGCTGGACTCGAACCCACAACCTGCAGAATTACTGAATGTTAATTCCCATTCTTGAATGTTAATTCCCATTTGTTTGTTTGTTTGTTTACTTGTTCGTGTGTTTAATAGGATGGAGTGTTGTGTACGAACAAGGATAGCAACGGCTATCCAACCCCGTATTGTCTGGTCGACCATTGGCCCAACCAGTATGACATCATCATCCTTGCTAAGGCTGGCCCTGTCTCCGGAATCGCCTTTGGCGTAGACGCAGAGTTCTTTGAGCCGGTAAACAAACAAACAAAAGAATTTTGCCCGTTCAAATGTTTTTCTTTGAGCAGTCATGTTTTCTTTCAATAATTGATCAACTAACTAAAATGTCTGATGTGTTTTTTATTATAATAATTTATCAACTCAAACATCTTCAACTCACGGCTACGACTGCCCTTAATCTTTGTTTTGTTTTGTTGTTGTTGCTCTTCTTTTAATCAATTATCTTCTGTATACAGGACAGCCTGAATGCACTTCAAATCAAGGCTAACGTGCCAAACCATCCGCTTCCCAAGACCGTGAGCATCAAGGGATTCAATCCCCAAGAACTTTCGCCTGTCCCGATCCCCCTGACCGAGTCGGTGTCCGTCTATCCGTCCGTCTCCCTGAGCTATCAGCAGGAGGCCATGATCCAGTATACCTGGTGCAGCAACTCCGAAACTCACGCGTTCACCGCCGAGTCCACCGTCACGTCTGCGGACGGCGAGAGCACCTACACGCAGTACATCTGCGAGAAACTGCCCTGTGACGTAAGTGTGACGTAGAAACAACATTTTACGTGTGGTCGATCACTGTATCAAAGTCACCCTACTTACGTGTTTGTCAAGACAGCAAAGTCACAATTCTGAAATCTCATTGGTTCCTTTGCGTTTTCACGGTACCGCCGCAATAGGCCCGTGGAGCATTGCTCATAAAAAGCGCCCTCTTTTGCCAATGGGGAGTAATCTCTTTTGTTTTGTTTTCATTGTGCAGGTTGGTTTGAACAACATTGCTCATAATGGCGAGCAGCTGACTAGCAACGTCATCATGACTGATCCCATGGCATACAAAACTCTGTACATTGTGGTCGTCAACTGGGGAGGTGCGTACGACGAGGAGGCACAGGCTTACGTCGGCAATTTCCTGTACAATGCCAATCAAGTGAAAATCATTTAAACCTAAAACAGCCGTCGTGTTCGACACTGTGCGGGCAAAAGCGATAAAACGCGATAGTCACGTGACCAATATGAGTTTTTAAGTTTTTGGGTAAAGGGTACTAGGGTACTATTCTATGACATTTATTCATTTGCGTCGCATGTAGACTTTTTGGGGTGTCGCTTTTTTTCTTATACTTTGAAATCATTCGGCGAAATGAGACAAGATCCGCTCAACACACATTCTCAACGAAGACATTAATAACTGCATTTCAAACAATATGAGATACTAAACATTAAATCCTGGCATAGTTGATGTGGGAAACGAAATGATATAAAAATATCACATGAAACCGGAACTCAACAGAGCCCCATGCTTAGACCCAACAGATTTTCGTTCATTTCTTTTAAGTTTAGATTGTGTTTATCATTGTATACGCATATATTAGTTCTTAGTCGAACGAAGTATTTGATTAAAAAAAGTCGTTTAAAAAGTCGTTTGCATTACACACGTGCCAGGAAACCAACACTGATCTGGCATGGTATTCTGTTCTCTCTGGTTTTATCCAAGGCACAATATAGCTCTGCTACAACTTTCTGGAAAAACTACATCGTCCGACTTGAATGTCGGAATTGATACTATATTCAACAAAATTTTCGATTTGAAAACAAAGTCTAACTTCCACTACAATTTGTTTAAGTCATTGTGTTAGTTTTTTCTCTCTTTTTTTATCTATCGAAATGATACTACAACTAGATATTTTAGATATTTTCATATGATTTTTTTTCCGTTCAGTTCAACAAAGATGTTCTCTGTTTAGAATTACAAGTGGGACAGATATACGCAGAACGACCTAGTTTCGCCCCAATTCTTACCAGTCTGACCGGTGGGCTTTCCCACTTTTGACATAAATTTCCTCATAATTTAGATATTTTTTGGAGGCAGCTGTTTTGTAAAAAACGGGTATAGCCAATTTTCGTCTTCAACTGAAATATTTCAAAACCTACAAGAAAGAAATGAAATTGTGTATTAAACAATAACTTGACAATTAATGTGATCGATTTGCCAATGGACAAACTGTAAGGCGATTTATTCCATTGGGCAATTTTTATGTATCCTTTGTTTTTGTTTTATTTTTGTTTGTTTGGTTTTTTGTTTTGCTTGGTTTGGTTTGATTTCATGACTACTTTTGTTATTAATTTTGTTGTTCAGCCATTTCAGTCTATATTGGTCCGCTGTGTAAACACGTGAGAAACAGCTAAAATACTTCAAACCTATAGGCCTAGGCCCGTAAATGCTTTTGTTTTATTAGTAGTTTTTTTCTCGCAAAGTTTAATATGGTGTGCGGGGAATTTCTTTTAATGTAAATAAACTTTTAAATCAGCATAATTTTCTTTGTTATGGATTTTTTTTGGTTTGTGTTCTCCAAATGTATTGTTTTCATTTCTTTTTCACCATTGATTCTTCCCTATCTAGATAATAAGTGAACCGAATGAAGTAACACACCACTGAATTCCTTACATTTTTGCGCGGAAAAAAAATCGCCGCAACCTTGCCAAAATTTGGTCTTTTATGTTTAGTTTAACAAAGGACGGTGAGCAAATTAATTCCCATATATTTTTGGGGGGTATTTTTCTGTAAAATCACGACAGTAAACTCCGATAATACGCGAGGAATAACCCCCCCCCCCCCGACACTCGAAATAGACCCTCCCACTTTTAACTTAGTTTTCGGGCATAGGTACACGCATCACCGAGGCGGAAAAACACGATTCTGTAGAATACACAGACAACAAATACACTTCTAAACAAGGAACATTTTTGTCAAATTTGAGAAATGTAAAAAAAAAAAGCGAAGTTAAAAGCACAAGGCAAAATGGCGAAATACTTCTACCCAGCCCTGCCCCTGTCAAACAATTGACTTTCGCAGCCTAGTAAAGTTATTTACCTTAATACGCATCCGTGAAACATATCACGTGACTGAATTAATTAATGTAATGGGCTAGGGGGCGGGGCCTTGATGACCTCTGTAGAGTGGAGAAATTAACCTCCGGTAAGGGATGGACTGGACCGACAGTATAGTCAATAGCAACCTTTTAAGTCGCACCACTCTTTATTGCTTCCCTCCAATTACCAATTAGAGCATAACAAACAAATAAATATACACCCCATAAATCAGTATATAACGTAGTCGTATATAATTATAATCATTATACGCGCCAGCACCGCGCGAGTATTTAGTGAACGCGCGAGTGTTTAGCGAGCGCGGGATTATCTAGCGAGTATTATAACACCTCACCCACAGATTCTGTGTCTTGATTGGCCGAGAGCGAGTCACATGACACTTTCTATTTTTGCTATCTTTCTGTGCACGGCCAAAAGAACTATACCCGTAGCAACCAAAGTACTATACCATTAGCAACCAAAGTACTATTTCCACGGCGCGGTATTTGTGTGCAAATGCATTCTGGTGTGCGCGTTGCGCGTAGCGCGTATTGTTCCAAAAAAAGCGCGCCGCAGAGTTGGGTTCAAACATTTCGTAAAGGGGTAGTTTGGAAGAGAGAAATACATTTTCCACCAAGTTTGTATTGAAATTGAAGTTTATTTGAACTGTGTTCAGATTTAAATAATTAAAATATTAAAACCAAGCAGAATCTGTGGGTGAAATATTATAAAACAAATATTTAATGTTTTATCTCGTGATAAAGTAAAACTAGCCTCCCTCGGTGATCCATGGAGCATTCTATTTTCCCTTTCGCTTGTACCCCCCCCCCCCCCCCGCCCTGCAAGCTTTTCAACAAAAATAAAACATCTCTAAACTGGAATAAAAGAGTAATAAATCAGTCTTAACGGCCGTTTCAAACCTTGCAGAGTCATAACCGTGATGACGCGCAGGTCACAGGTCGCGCAAAATCCAACCAATCAAAGCGTGAATTCATCAGAGTATCCCAGCGTCCTGTTTGCAGGGCGGGGGGGGGGGGGGGGGTACGAGCGAAATTTTCCCTCGGCTTCGCCTCGGGAAAATAAAATGTCCATGGATCACTTTGGGAGGCTAGTTTTACTACACCACTCGAAGCATTCAAAATTTGTATACTAGTTACTTTCCAGCACTGTACCATGTGTACAGCGCGCGCACCGTAACGCGCTATACGTGCATGTACAAAAGTTACAAACAATAAAGTCGAAAAATTCAAAATACAGTCGCAAGGACATATCAAACACTCTAAAACCCTACTCACCCGGACACCAGGATCCGTGTGGACACCGAGGGGTGGGCAGACATTCCTAATGGTCAACAGGACCAGGCTGGAGTTTCAGAACTCAGGTTTTCTGACGTATTTGCCGCCCGAATAGTGTGCATCACATAGCCTTCAGCCATTGAATAAAAGGAAGGCCAGGACTCGACAAGATCCCGCGAACCAAATAACACGGTAGGCTAGTTTATATATCCGTGCGCGGTAAAATACACAAATATTTGTAGTTAATTAAACTAAATTGAATTTGTCATTAAATCAATATCAAAAAGATTCAAGATAATTTATAAAGCAATACTAGATAGTGATCCCCACCCAATTATGTAGAAATCAAATTATCTTTGGAAAAGTGGTTACAGAACTACGCAACAAAGTATCAAGGCAAAATAAACTGCAGTTGAAAGTGTACGAGCTGTATGGGGCAGGTCCCACATTAATATTCAAATTACTTCATAATTATTCAAAAACAATTTTCCAAAATTATACTTAATTGTTGTATCTAATGTTTGGAATCACTGGAGACACACACACACACGGTGCTCGGCTGACTGTTTATTCAACAACTGAATGGAGGTCAATCCGTGACCTGTGTTGTCATCAGGTACATATGTATGGAGTGCCTATGATACAATATTACAATCAATGAAATAAATTTCACTATTTTTCTGATTCATGGCTACGGAGCTTGTTTTTTTTAAAGGGAATTTAAGTCCGAGAACAATTCGGTACAAACCGACCCCATCCCCCTCTAAATCCCTCAGCATGAACCGGGTGATTTACATGGAGCTTAGTTACTTTTCACAGGAATAACCTAAGCACACTTGAACAGTAGTGGTTACCAGTTGCCAATTAAGCTGTTATAATCATGCAGTATTTTGACTGGTTTCCCGCTAGTTCATTCGCAGCCCCACTCCCTCCAGTACTATGTTCTGTACCCAATTTGTCACCGTTTTTTACGAAGAGCCACAGTACATGTGGATTTTGAAGGGAAAAAACGTTTTCGAGATTACCGCAAGAGAAGTTCCTCCAATTTTAAAACTGCAAAAAATACTTGCAGAACCTTTATGCAGTAAGAAAACGTTCACATGATTCTTTGAAAGGTAAACTTTTATGTAAACCCAGTAATTAGAATCAGCACAATAGTTAATTAGCCAAAATTAATTACTAAAGATGTGTGTCCCTTCGTGAAACCCAAAATCCTCGTTTCCTACATTTAGGCCCGTTCTGTTCAACGTGTTTTTCCATAGGGAAGGAGCGCGCATGTTACGCGCGAGCAACTGATAATGTGTGGCTCTTCGTGAACACGAAAATCTCACTTGACCTACTTTTACGCCTTTCCGTCCAATACGTTTTGTGCGCGTTCAAGGGGCACCTATGAGTTCGTGTCTCTTCGTGAAAACGCAAAATGCACTAATTGAGATGCCTGCCCCTTGCATCATTAATGTAATAAGGTGTTCCACGGTAATATGCGCCATCTTGCCGGCGGGGCAATTTTACACGCGTTGCTGTGTACGCATGACGGAAAACTTCCAAGTCATCATGCGGTTTACTCTATATCTATGGCGGTCATTCCAAAATGCGCCCGCGTCTAGCAACGCGTGCTCTTTTTGTCCCGCGAACAAGATGGCGCATATTACCGTGAAACTGCTTATTAAGAAATCATGTCTTGCTTACAGAAGCAGCTCAAAATGGTAAAGCACCATGTTTTAAAGCGAAATAGTGAGAAAATCTCGACATCGAAAAAATGGTAGTTCTCGACATTATGTGGCTATTTGTGAACACGAATGATCAACAGCATTACAGCAAGCAAACACAATAATGGCGTGGAGGTGCTGGTAGATTGATTCCTATTGTTTTTTTTACGTCACTAATTCAAGCAACATTTTCCTTCGAGGTTTATAGCTTTGAATTTGCTGTGCTTACTGCTTACGGTCTCCTTGGATCTATGGAAAAGACAAGGGCTCTGTCAAAATGCTAAGCAGCGGCATGAAATTGAGCCCTGATTGGGGGGGGGGAGGTTGGCGGTTGCCGCCCCTGTTTGGGGTGATACACCGCTGATCGTGGTATCGTGCGAGCAAAATCGTACCACCAAGGCCAGCGAGACAATCAAGACCGAGTCTACTGTCTGCAGCGATTAGGCCACTAACTCTCTTTAAAAACCCGTCTCTTCAATGTCACAAGTACCCATGATGGATGACAAATGGTGCATAGGTTAATGACTATCCCTGCTTTCAAGCATTTACCGCTCTACGTTTTTCATTTCAAAGTTGTCTTCTTTTTGTCAAAATGCGGGATTTTGGGAGCGCTGTGTGGGAGCAGCGGCCGTAGACCCTGGCGGATATTGTACGGTTTTCCATGAACGCTAACAATACATTAAAGTAATAAAAGAAAAAAATACATCAATAACACAAAAAAGGTAAAATAATACAGATTCCGAGCTCCAACTTTGAGGGGGGAAAAAAAATGTAGGGTGAGGGCATCAGTTAACTCAAGGCCACACGGATCTTTTTGCTTTATATCTGCAAATTTTCATATCTATATATATTGCGGTCATTTAGTTTTTGTATATTTTGTTTATTTCGTTTGAAGTGTAACCTTTGCTCAAAATCTTATAAGAAGGGCGCATAACAACAAACTTAAAGAAGTGTCAGCTCAGTGGATGGGGCCTACTCATGATACATTTTGAGGGAACAGGGAAAAAGTACGCGCATTTTTGGGGGTCTCGCAACCACCTTCAACGATTATTTTCTTCCAAACGATAGCATCTCAAGGTGGAATCGCATCACACGGTATTTGGTATCAGTCCTATCTTCACTTTGACCAAGGATTTTCTCGTTACATCGGTAGGTACGTTTCCGGGTAATTACAAAATGCTCCTGTGTTCTAAGCAGGCACATACGTTTCTGAAGATCACACAGCCGTGTGTTGGATTGTTAAGGAATACTTCCATGATATTAAACCCTATATGGAAACATGCATTCTGTGCCTTGCTGTTACTTGGGTCAATCTTGGTCAAGTGACCCATTGGCGTGTTAAAAGTATACCAGGGGAAGTGGAAGGAAACTGTGACCGTTTGTGACCTTTTTAAACAGCAGGAGAGTAGCCCAGGGTCCAACATTAAAAAACAGTTCAAGATTAAACTGAGATGTTAAAATTATAGGAAGGATGAAAGCAAGATTCTGGCAGAAACAGATCCGCTTTGCGGTCAGACTGGCTCCCCGTCCGTACATTATCTATACTGATTGTGGGGCGGGAACCAGCCCATCCTGCGAAAACAAAATTAGTAATTGTATGGCAGCCAATAATTCGAAATTGTAAAGTTTCAATTAAATAACTTGACATAGGCCGATTTTTTTTTGGTCGATGTGTCATTCAAAAGTAAAAAAAATAACTTTTGTATTGCTAGAAAAATAGCAATTTAGAAGCAGAATCTAATGTTCGAGATGAAACTCGAAAATAGCACGGGGATTGAATCTTTAGGCGGCACTCGGGAAGCGTTAACGTTGCCGCCGTACTTCTGGCCAAAGCACTGTCTGAAAACTAACCCTGAAAGTCGCGAAATGAATCGTACATCATCGACCGCCGTTTAGCCGCAAAAATCCTGCCCGTTCATTAACAACAACGTCCCCGTCTGCTTGTCACGAATTGACGCATGGCTTCCCAACCTTCATTCCGATCAGAAACTTTTGTGAGTGCACTAGTGAGGTATCGCGTTCACACGCTGTCGTCGCGTGGTGAGCACTCAATGGGCCATGCTTCAGTAGAGACCATGCCCTATGGTCTACACTCGCACTAGTCAAAGTCGGGTTTTTTTTGCCAGCGAGAATATAACACGCCGTGATTCGGTATACATTTTTGCAACTAAAGTAACGAAGAAAGATGAACCATTTTCGTGTGTTGGTCGTTTGTTGCCTGTTCCTGCAGCTGACGTTTGGGGTCTCACTCCCATTAAGTCGCCGCGAAGACACTCGTTCTAGGGTAAGCTAAACCTGATTAATAATTCAGCCCACTTCGACATGTTCGGATGAGGTCATGATGAGGTCACGATGAGGTCACTTACATGTTTATCTATAACACATCCCGGTATACTAGGTACATGTCAACTATTTGAAAATACAACTTAATCAGACCTATAAGCCTCAGAAAAATGCGGACACAGCTAAACAAAAATCTCAACGAAAACAAGAGCTCTTTTCGGTTGATTTGCTGAAACAGATAACTAGAAAAAACCGAAACTTCGGCAAAAATGAGAGGGCCCACGTAATAGAATATTTTGAGGAACCATTTCATGTAATAGAATATTTTTGTGCAACCATTCAAACACAGGCACATTTTGTGCCTAATTTAAGTTCATTTTCAATGTTCATATTGCCATTTTTCTAGGGTGTTTTTATGTGTGACTTTTTGGTGTTTATGATGATAAAAGCTTCCATATTCATTAGCTAAACTATGGTGCAATTCAAGGCAGATAACCTCAGCGATACAGATGCACCAACAGTCACAAGAATTTTGGAATTTTTTGTTATGGTAATTTTCTATTATATTTTTTAGATTCATTGATGTTTCAGTACATGACAGTAAGTTAAAAGAGCAAACATAATGTACAAACTTAATAAATATATTCAATGACACCCCTTCGGGAAATGCTGAATCCGCCATGTTAAATCTTACCCTTTTTAATTCTTAAATTGTTTATTTTTAGATTTGCAAACCTGTACTGATGTTAATCTTGCACTATTAATAATCAAGATGAAAAGTAGTATCATTAAGCGTTGTTTTCAATTTATTATTTTGCAATTTTTCCGAATTTGAGTCGTATTTTTATAGATCCGTTTAACTATGATAATTGACAGATTGATTTAACATTTTTTTTATATAAATGCTGCCTCATAAATCGCCAATCTTTTTTTTCCGAAATAAAAGTTTCCACAAAATGCAAGAATTTACACTAATTTAATATTCAGATAACTGAATAGCAGTCAAATAATTTCCAGCAAGTTAGCAGTCCTTTGAAATTAAAGGGCCATGTAATGTAATTTTAAATGCAATCCTTGAAATGCACCCAGTTTGTGCCCCATTTAATCTTTTTTTCAATCTTCGTTTTGCCACTTTCAAGGGTATTTTGATGCCTTTTTTGTTGTATGCATATTCATGAGCAAAATTGCCATTCCGGGCAGAGACCTTAATGTTATAGCTATTTCAGGACAAAACGATATTTAGATAATTTTAGCTAGAATTTTAGATAATTTGCTGTTGTAAATTTTATTTTTCGATTCTGAAATAATTCGAAATGTAAGAAACCAAAAAAAAAAATCGTCCAAAACGTGGGTCGAGTTTTGTTTTCGTTCGGTGTCATGTCTCTTTCAAAATGGAATAAATTGTTTACTGCTAGAAAAAAATACGATTTACAAATCTTTTTGTGGTGAAACTCTGAAATCTCACACTGAAATATTTTGTTTTGTTTATTTTGCTTCAGTTTGACGACTTGCGGCAGAAGTTAGGCGTGCCTAAAACAGGGCGGTGTAAGTTTTTCTCTTGGTTTATAGTTGTTTTCAGTATTCCGGTAAAAAAAAAAATAATAACCACAAAAGACATTTGTGGGTAATTTAAAATTCTTAATAGATTTTGTTTTAATCAGATTTTAGTAACTTTCCGAGTTGTAAAACTAAGTCTAAGCATTCAAACTTCAGAGCAAAATTTTAAACCTATCGATTATATTGGCCTAAAATCTTGCTTATAACGATAAAGTGAAGATACGCTAGCTCCGAATCTGCCAGGAGAAATGGTTTTGATCGAAAGATAGTTTTAAAATGTTCCCCGCTGAAAAAAACATCCCGATTTCCCTTTTTTCCCATTTTCAAATTCATGTTGGCATTTGTGTAGAATGTAACAAGTGCGAGTGCAAAACTCTTGCCAAAAAAAATGCGATGCGATGGCACATATGAAACACCATCCTTTTTTGGTCAATTTGGGGGACATTTCCTCCTTCTGGATACCGTCCAACCACAACACAAAGAACCACGTGACTATAACATTACTGTACATAATTTTGCCTCCATTTACAAACTTTTCAAAAACATCTTTCCGAATTGTTACAAACAACTTTTGGTATGTATTACATTTTAATTTCCAAACAATTTTGGTTATGTAGTTTATTTGAACATTTCAATTTGGTACTTATATTTTATGGGAAACTAAGGGGGCTTATTTTGGTAAATTTTCGGACACAGACATTATATGCAAAATAAACACGCATGCGCATTGATCGAAACAAAATCAGCGTTCCGAAAACTTTTCTCAAGAGGGCATGTACTGACGACGGCATGGCATTTAGTCAATTAGTCAATTATTTTTGGTCAATATTTTTGGTCGATTTTCGAGGACAGACAGACCGACCGACTGACCACCAAAACATGTAACAAAAAGAAGCTCCTGCCAGAGCTTAACAAATTAAATATATTTTTTCCAGCCACTACAGTTTCCGAGCAGCTGACAGTACCGACGATTATCCGGTACAGTACCTTCCATATAGAAGGCTTGGCCCAGGACGAGGAAACGTGGTTTGTTGCGAAGCTGTGCGGCGGCAACACCGTGGGGAAAGCAATCAACGTTACCATGGTCCTGAACAACAACCTGGGTTGGGAGCCAGTCAAAGGCGTCGTTAATTTCGCAGTTATCGACTCCTTCTTCCAGGTAAAACTGTTTTGCAATAATCCACTAAAAGCTTTGTTGCCAACGTGTGCTGTGGGCGGGGCCTACTTGATCGGTTTCGAACCCACAACCTTCAGAATTACCGACCACAAGTTCAATGCTCCAAACCACAAGGCCAAGGCACTGAGCTCTCCGTGCTCAATAAAAATTACAATAATTGTGTGCTGTGGGCGGGGCCTACTGGATCAATCTATTGGCAAAAAATGAGCGTCCCTTTTGTTTTTCCAACTGAGCCCGGGCACACGCATCGCAACCCCAGGCTGGTTTCGAACCCACAACCTTCAGAATTACCGACCACAAGTTCAATGCTCCAAACCACAAGGCCAAGGCCATGGCACTGAAGTCACAGTGCTCAGTAAAAAATACACTAATTTATCTTAAATGTTAAATCCTACTTCTATTTTTACTACATGCATTCCGTGTCAGGGTGGCGTGTTGTGCACGAACAAGGATAGCAACGGCGATGCAACCCCACATTGCCTGATAGAATCTTGGCCCAACGAGCATAACATCATCATCCTTGCTAAGGCTGGCCCTGTCTCCGGAATCGCCTTGAGCTTAGCGGTAGAGATCTTTGAGCAGGTAATCACGGCAACAACAGCCATTATTACTTCCGCCAAGGAGGTTATGTTTTCATCGGATTTGTTTGTTGGTTGGTTGGTTTGTCTGTTAACAAGATAACTCAAAAAGCTATGGACGGATTTGCATGCAAATTGTTTTAGGGGTGGTCCTTGGTACAAGTACACAACTTGATTAGATTTTGGAAGTGATCCGGATCTGGGTCTGGATGCAGGACATTTTTTTTTAGGATTCTTTACCCTGTTGTATGTGCGAATATGCTATGTGTAGAGACCATGAACCTCTGTGTGCAACTGAGCAGCTTCGTGTGCGTGGCACGGAATTTGTTAGCCTTGGCGGAGGTTTGCGCTCTCTGAGTGCTTTTTAGTTTGTTGGGGTGTTTGTCGGGGGTGTTAGTCTGTTGGGGTTTTGGGGTGGTTGTTTGTTTGTTTGGTTGTTTATTGGGTATTTGTTTGTTTGTTTGTTGGGCTGTTGGGGGTGTTTGCTTGTTACTTTGTTTGTTTGTTACTCTGTTTTCCTTTAAATAATGTCTTTTCCATCTACAGGGCAGCCCAGCTGCACTTCAGGTCAAAGCTAACATACCGAGCCGTGCATTGCCCACGATCCTGAGCCTGATGAAGGGATTCGATCCCCTATCACTTCCTCCATACCCAATCCCCCTGACCGAGACGGTGTCCGTCTTCCCGGCGGTCTCCCTGGCCTATCAGCAGCAGGCCATCATCAAATTCTCCATGTGCAGCAACACGGAGGCTCACGTGTTCTCGGTCTCGTCCACCGTCACGTCTGCGGACGGCGAGAGCAGCTTCGCCCAGTACATCTGCGACACATTGCCGTGTGACGTAAGACCACCATTCAACATTTGGTCGCCCATTATATCAATGTGGTCGCCCTACTCACATGTTTATAAAAACAGCAAATTCTGAAATGTAATTGGTTGCTTTGCATCTTGACGGTACCGCCCACTTGCATTCCGATTGGCTAATACTTTTTAGGCAAATTCACGCGTCGCGCGGAATGCAGTTCCCTCGTATATTGGGCAGGGGCGTATACGTCATAGGTCATAACACAAAAGTAGAGAGCAAATTGTTTTTAGTCCGTATTTTTAGACAAACATGAAGCCTACATGGTCAAAGGCATAACAATGAAACTAATATTTGGATTGTGCCTCACCAAGATGAAACAAAATTCGCTTTCTTTATAGTGCCATCTACCGCCTCCGCTGCAGCTTGGCTGCACTTTCAAATGAGTACAGTCTGCGCGTTAGGGAAACATAAAAATTCAGTCTGACCCGGACCTAAGACTACTCCAGTGTATTGCTCAAAAAGCGCCCTCTCTTGCCAATGGGAAGTAATCTGTTGGTTTTTTTTCTCCTTGTGTAGGTCGGTTTGAACAACATCGCTCATAATGGCGAACAACAGGCCAGCAACGTCATCGCGACTGACCCAATAGTAAACAGTGATCTGTATGTTGTGGTCGTCAACTGGGGAGGTGCGTACGACGAAGACTCAGAAACGTACGTCGGCAATTTCATGTACCATGCAAAACAAGACAAAATCGCGTAAACATACAACAGCCGTCGTGTCGCGGGCAAAACAAATTGCCGATTACTATTGAACCAAATTTGACAAATTTTTAAGTTGAAAACAAACTCTAACTTCCACTGCAAGTTTTATTTTCTAAGTGTTAGTTTCTTTCTTTTGTATCTATTAGAATGATACTATCGTAGATATTTTAGATATTTTCATGTGATTTTTCTTCCGTTTAACAAAGATTTTCCATTTTTAGCATTAGAAGTGAAATAAAGAATTATTTTGGGCCCAATTCTTACCACTCTAATTATTTGGTTATGCAACTTTAGAATTAAGTTTCCTATTTTTTTTTTTTTTTAGGGGGCAGCTGTTTTGTTACCAGACGATAGGTAAAAAAAATCGGGTATCGACATATTTTCTTCAACTGAAATATTTCAAGACTTACAAAAAAGACATGAAATTGTGTATTAAACAATAACTTTACAATATTGTGATCGATATGCCAATTTAATACCGGCAAGTGAGCAATGGACAAAACTGTACGGCGATTTATTCCACTTAGCCAATTGGTTTACATCCTTTGTTTTTGTTGTGTTTTTTATTATTTGTTTGTTTCTTTTTGTTTGGCTCGGTTTGGTTTGATTTAATGACTCAATTTTGTTTTTAAGATTGTTCTTCGTCCATTTTAGTCTATTTTGGTCCGCTGTGCACACGCGTAAGAACAGCTAAATGACTTCTAGCATTTAGACCCGAAAACGTTTTTGTTTTATTATCTTTTTTTCTCGTAAAGTATAAGGGTGAACCGTGAACTTCTTTTGAAGTAGTAAACTTTTAAAACAGTATAATTTTCCTTGTTGTGGAGTTTTTTGGTCTTTGTGCTCCGATGGTAATGTTAGTGTTTGTGTTTGTGTGTGTGTGTTCGTTCGTTTGTTTGTTTGTTTTTTGTTACTCATTGATTCTTCCCGTATCTAGTGAACCGAATTATTAAAGTAACATCACACCACTAAATTTCGGGAAGAAGTACTTACATTTAAGCGGGATAAAAGCACCGAAACGCTGCAAATAAGTGGTCTAATATTTCTGTGTTTTCAAGATTTTGTCAGCAAAGCAATTCCCTGAGCAATCGGGAGGGGGGGGGGTGATCTATAGCTCTCAGGAAACGGGGGTGGGGGGGAGGAGTTGATTATAAATAGGGGTTGAGTGAATGCTTTCTATTGGTGGGTCCGGGGGCATGCCCCAGAATTTGTTTTGAAAATCTACAATGCTTCCCCTGCATAAGGCAATTAATTTGAGAATAAATTTAGCAACTTTAGCATATTCCATTCATTGTTTTTGGTCCCATTTCCTTATAGCTTCATAACTTAGTCAACGGCTGAGCGGGGGTGGGGGTGTCAACCCCCAACCCTTATGGCATTATCTTCTTTCTTTTTGTCCTGTACAAGTTCCACAGTAAGCTCTGATTACAGAGACCTGTACCAGAGAAATCACCTCCCCCATGTCCTTATTAATTTTACACGTTTGCTGAAAATGTCTAAAATTCATCGCTATCTGATGTTTTAGAGCTGGTAGCCATGGTGTTATATAGACGGCAAATCCGGAGATTCCACATACAATCAGTCAACAATAATGTTGACCGTCTGTGGGGATTCAGGCAAGAACTCTTCTTCTTTATTAAGGCTCTCCAATGTCATAAGTATGCATGATTGATGAGCAATAGTGCATAGGGTTACTGACTATCCTGGCTTTCAAATATTTACCACTTTAAGTTCTTTCTTTTCAAAGTTGACTGCTTTTTTTCAGGAGTGGGATTTGGGGAGCTCTCGGTGGGTGCAGCGGCAATAGAGCCTGTCGGATATTGTACGTTTTTCCAAGAATGCTAACAATACATTAAAAGAAAAATAAATGATAGAAAAGGTAAAAAAAAAAAAAAAGGATGCTTAACCCCAACTTGAAAGAAAAATGGCGGAGAGCAGTTAATCAAGGCCACGGCTCGAGCCTTGTTTAATTCTCAGCTCTGCACATTTTCATAGTTAAAAGATACATCATAAATACTTTTCGTGCATTGTTTCGTTTGAAGCAAAACATTGCTCATAATCTTTAATAAGAAGGCCAAGGGAAGGGTATATAACAACTATAACCTGTTGAAGTTTCAGCTCAGTGGATACTGCATATTTAAAGAGAATACGTAGAGAAAATGTACGCACAATTATTGGGGTCTCGCTACCACATTCACTGATTAATTTCTTCCCAACGATACCATCTCAATGGGGAATCGCATCACATGCTATTTGGTATCAGTCCTATCTTCACTTTGACCAAGGGTTTTCTCGTTAAGGTAAAAACAAGGTTCCAGGTAATAACACCATGTTCCTATGTGTTCTAAGCAGGCACATACGTTTAAGATCGATGATGTTTATGCATGGGATGGGTACGGAATAGTCTTCCATAATATTAATGTAGACGATTTTGAAATTTTGTTGGTTAACTTTCGCGGTTGGCTTAGTCTATCCCCTTGCACAGCAAAATATAAGAGCAGCCTCGGCGATTGATGAGGCAAAACAAGACTGCGTCTTGACCTCCAGATTCTGGCCATTCAGCGGGCGCCTTCTATCGGGTCTTCGGTTTACAAAACCATGTTAGCAAATTGACCAATCAACAGCTTAGTCCACGTTTCTGATTGAAATGTCGTCATAATTTCTAACTCCGATTGGCTGGCTCGCGGGGTCGCATAAAGTGCAACAGACAAGATACATTGTCATATCTGCCGCATCATCAATGAGGACTTTCATTGCAAAAACAAACTTTTTGATGGCGCGTCGTGTGCGATAAAATAATGATTGACTCCTCGGCCTGTAAGAACCACGCACCTTGTTGAAACATCAAAAAGCGGCGGTGCCTTTTGAAGTTCCAATCGACGGCGCGTCAATAATGGTCGAGCTACGCAAGGCAGCACATTGGCGGCGATGATGGCTTTAAGTCAACCGAAAATGAACTAACCGATTTAATTACTGTCTGCCGTTTTGTAAAATACCCAAATCGTCGGCACGACACAAAGCTGTTTTTTTTTATAAAAAAAATACAAAACAATTTAACTCACCGTCACTCCACATCAGACACAACAGAAAATCATTTCAAATGGGCTGCTCCCTCATCCTAACACAAAACAAAATCAATCAATAAAAAAAACATCAAAAACACCCGAAAAACAATTTCTTAACAACATATCCAATTCAAAGGAGCTGCACCCCGTGGTAACACAATGCATCAGGTAGCAGGCAATATTGTAATCGTCCCTCTTTTTTTACTTCTTTTTTTTTGGAAAAAGTGTTTACTTACTTTTTTTAGCTGTCTGAAAAATGGAACAGTCAAGGCTATCTTCCCACACACAGAATGGACACAAATCCTCCTGTAACAAAAGAGACCAGACAGTGCAGAAATGGGGTAAGTTTTATTCAACTTTTTTTTCCGGACCAACTCTCTTCCAAAGAACGAGACACGGTGATTGACAATGACAGGTACATGTATTAGCAACTGGGCCCAACAAACAAAACCAGCCAGGATATTTTTTTTTTTGCGAGACAGAGGCGGCTCTTTTGAAAACAGAAATGGGACAAGTACGCACCGTCATTCATGTACAACTTTTATGATGAAATTTTGCCTGGGGGAGATGCACTTTTTTTTTCAATACATGTACATGTACTCACGGTACGCCCTCACCGGTTACGGCTCGATAGTCCGAAGTACCCTTGGTCCGAAGTCCCATTGGTCCGAAGTCCCATTGGTCCGAAGTCCCATTGGTCCGAAGTCCCATTGGTCCGAAGTCCCATTGGTCCGAAGTCCCATTGGTCCGAAGTCCCATTGGTCCGAAGTCCCATTGGTCCGAAGTCCCATTGGTCCGAAGTCCCATTGGTCCGAAGTCCCATTGGTCCGAAGTCCCATTGGTCCGAAGTCCCATTGGTCCGAAGTCCCATTGGTCCGAAGTCCCATTGGTCCGAAGTCCCATTGGTCCGAAACATAATACTGTGTAATTCCACTTGTTCAGGTTGACCGACCCTAACCCTTACCCTAACCCTATGGGGCGTCAGACCAATGGGACTTCGGACCAATGGACTTCGGACCAATGGGTCGTCGGACCAATGGGACGCTTATACCAATGGAACGTAAAGAGCAATGGGCCGTCAGAACAATGGGCCGTCAGACCAATGGGACTTCGGAAAAATGGGACTTTGGACTATAGACACGTCCCACCTCACCGATGTAATTTTGAAAAGTGTACTGTATAGTCATTCCTGTCCGCTTGCGAGGATCACGAGCTTTCTGGGACGAGATTCGAACCCACGACCTCCTGCTTATCAGGCGGTCACTTTCATGAAACCTACTCAGTGTATTATGAAGATAGTCGCAGGATTAAACGTACAACGTATCTTCCCATTAAGAAAAAAACACGCTGCACCTGCACAAAAGCATTCAAAACACACATTTGTAGAGTATCTAGAAGATGAAGAACAGTTTCAAATTTGTTGATAAATGTGAAACTTGATACAGTTTAAAACTAGAAAGCACTCAGAGAGCGCAAACCTCCGCTAAGGCTAAACAATTCCCCGCCATATTGTCAGTACACCCAAAAGAAATACTCGCATAAATGGTGCAGAATCCTTTAAAACAAATCCTGGATCCAGACCCAGATCCGGATCACTTCCAAAATCTAATCGATTTGCACTAGTACCAAGGACCACCCCTTAAATATAAATCTTCATGCAAATCCGTCCATAACTTTTGGAGTTACTTTGTTAACAGAGAAACTAACCAACAAACAAACCAACCAACCAAATCCAATGTAAGCAGAGGGAATAAAGACAGTCTGGTTCAAACATGCCTCATTTCGCATTACACATATTCATTTATTACAAACTGTTTCTAATGTTGGAAAACAATATACATGTACACAAAAGTGAGAATTTCTTCATCAAAATGGACGGTTCTTTCACAGCATACACTCTCTTTAATTAAGTGCACGCCGAGAGTGAAAACATTGTAAAAATTCATAATTTTTGCAACAAAAACACCAATTTAATTAAACAGAGGTGGTTAATATTGGAAGGCACAAGTAAAATTTCTTGTTATTTTACAGAATAAAATACCGCACTTTGTGTCGAGTGTCAGTGGCGAACCCAGGATTTGGTTGGGGGGGGGGGGGGGGGGGCTCAACAAAAATTTTGCCGCAGAAAGAAATTTGGTTTTTTTTTTTTTAGGGGCGGCCTATTTTGACATTGGTGGAGCCACTTACACCCCTATTATACTACTCGAAAACAGGCCACATTCATATCACGAAGGCCAAATCGTGGGAATACAGAAAAGTGGGGAATCACATGATAAAAAAAATACTTTGCAAACGACAAAAGCAGAAAGGGTCATTCCATGCCAACTCAACAAATGGTGCACACCATCACCTCTTGGATTTTTTTCTTTTTTGGTGTACTGAAAGATACTTAGGAGAAATGCAAATTCTGAAAATTTGGGGTCTCTACGACTTTTCGTTCTTGCGCAACAGCATTTTGAAATTTGAGGTGGGCGGGGCCAAAAGTGCGTCGCGTCATGAAATTCAATGTTTAAAGGGCCATATATTTAAAACTATACCCCCCAGACATTTCAAACTTGGTAATCTGGGCTATTTTTTGCTGTAGATTTCAAATATTTAAACAGAAAGAAAGTAGCTTGTTTCATTTTTAAGTTAGAGGGGCCCCAAAATGGCCCAAAACTCATCTGGACCAATGTTCGGGGGGGTGTAAGTCAAAAATTGAAAATATTTTTTCACCAATTTTTTTGCCTGTAATAGCCCCCAATTGAAACTACTTTCGTGTAAAATCTTACACTTAAATTAACTTCATTGAATGAGATATAGCCCTTGCAAAAAGCAAATTGTTTATTTTTACGATAACTTGACCCCCCAAAAACCAACGTCAGACATTCCGCACCAAATTTTGCTTTACATATGTTTGAGGTTGGTCCTTAGTGAAGTCCTCTGAAAAGTTTCATGTTGGTGTCTAAATGTCTTCAGTGGATAGCTGGGCTTTATAAAGAGTCTATATCTTATGATGCTGCAGGTTCCGTAACATACATGTACATGTACTTGTATTTTACGGAACCAGCACAACAAAATCCCCCGACTTTTGAAAGACTTGGGTCAAGACTACCCATTTCCTGCTCAATAAACAGTTGCTTGTAGACCCAGGTGTGCATTATATGCAAATTAGGTTAAATGACTTGAGAGTCTTATTCTTTCCATGTGCTCATCACACAGCATGCATGTCATGTATGTACATTGTAGTAATTAACCAGTTCTCACTTGCATAGCATAGTATAGCACTAACCTGAACCAAAGAGAAATGATTCAGTTTGAGTAGAGGGTCTATGGTTAAACCTGATTGATCTTAGTTTTCATTATGGATAAGGGGAAACCTAGTTCATCCAAGGAGTTGCATGTATGCTCAAACTCATCATGCACCAATAGTAGCAGCTAACCTCAACCTAGGAAAATATGTTTGTGTGGTCTATGATGATGTTTGGTACATTGCTATTGTAGAAGATGTATCACAACTTCATGAGGATGTGTATGTCCGCTTCTGCAGGACGGAATCAACAAATACTCTCTATTGGCCACAAAGAGAGGATAAATGTAACATTCCATTTGTTGATGTGTTGTGTTGCGTACCAACACCAGAACTTCTACATAGCGGTGGAAGGCAATACAAACTTAGTGAGCCAACCATCATGCAACTCATTCAACTTCATCAAAACTACATCACAAGGAATGCATAATTTCACCTGTGAAACTGTGAACAATTATATCAACTGATCAAAAGTCTACATGTACAAATGTAAGCTAAGTTTCATACCCAACTTGTTCTTTATGTACCGACTGCTGTTATTCTAGGTACCGGTACGTGTACTTGTATGTTACGGAACCAGCAACGTAAGATATAGACTCATTATAAAGCCCAGCTATCCACTGAAGACATTTAGACACCAACATGAAACTTTTCAGAGGACTTCACTAAGGACCAACCTCAAACATATGTGAAGCAAAATTTGGTGCGGAATGTCTGACGTTGGTTTTTGGGGGGGTCAAGTTATCGTAAAAATAAACAATTTGCTTTTTGCAAGGGCTATATCTCATTCAATGAAGTTAATTTAAGTGTAAGATTTTACATGAAAGTAGTTTCAATTGGGGGCTATTACAGGCAAAAAATTTGGTGGAAAAAATATTTTCAATTTTTGACTTACACCCCCCCGAACATTGGTCCAGATGAGTTTTGGGCCATTTTGGGGCACCTCTAACTTAAAAATGAAACAAGCTACTTTCTTTCTGTTTAAATATTTGAAATCTACAGCAAAAAATAGCCCAGATTACCAAGTTTGAAATGTCTGGGTGGTATAGTTTTAAATATATGGCCCTTTAAACATTGAATTTCATGACGCGACGCACTTTTGGCCCCGCCCACCTCAAATTTCAAAATGCTGTTGTGCAAGAACGAAAAGTCGTAGAGACCCCAAATTTTCAGAATTTGCATTTCTCCTAAGTATCTTTCAGTACACCAAAAAAGAAAAAAATCCAAGAGGTGATGGTGTGCAACATTTGTTGAGTTGGCATGGAATGACCCGAAAGAGCTTTCTTCTGAATGAGTTCTGAGAATAACCAGGCAACTCCGATACCACATTGTACGGAGTTATTTGATCATGCAACCGCAAACTTTAGTACTTTCAACTCACATCGAACAAAAGAGCATGTTCCAATACTGTGGGGTTTCAAAACTGTGGTTATTTTTGGACTTAAAGGTTTAAAAATGAACATTTCACGATTTGTAGCAACTATACTTTAGAGAATGTCTAATTCTTAAGGAATAATCGTCATTCAACACTATTTACAATTAATATTTTAACATCAGAAATTTAAATGATTTTAACTGGACGGATTCATGAGCTGGTTAAATGGGAATACATTACAGTGCAGTAGACAAGTCATTGGAAGGTTTGTGAAACCAGAGTTTTGTCTCGGGTTTGGCTGCATCTCTGGTTCCGCAACCATTTCAAAGCCTTAAATTTCCAAACCTAATGCAAACCCCGTACATTTGAATCTCATATTGCAGAACATGAAATGTGTTGAGCTAGTGCCCCCAAGTTGGGAGCTAAAATAAATCTCTGGAATCCAAACCAAAGATGCATCCGTGGTTTCAGAAACACCAATCTACAGACCATCTGTGGCTTTTTTAGTATTAGAGCGTGGCATGCAAGCGAAAATACAATTCCACAGAAAAACAGCAGAGAGTCGAGGCACGAGTCTAGGCACCAGACTTGTTGGTCATATACATATAATTGTCGGTCCAGTCCTCGCAGCTCTGATGAATCAGGCGGGGGCGCTGTTTACTTGCCCTTCTTCTTGCGAGCGCGGACCTTGTGTTTCTTTGTCTTAGAGTCCACTAAGGTCTGGGCCTGCTTCTTGAGTTGGCTCCTTGTGATGATATCCTCATCGTCGCCGCTCTCGTCATCATCTACATGAGCAAAAAAGCATTTCAGTTTATAGGTGAGTACATGTAGATGATGTTCACAGCACATAAAGTAAAGATCATCATCTACGTGATCAAAAACATATTTCAGTCAAAAGGCAAATATGTGTAGATGATGTTTGCAACACAAAATGTAAAGACAAACATATCTTGGAGAAGAACACAAAAATGTACAGCTATGAAACAGAAAAAGCTTGTTTTGAGGTCAAAGTGATTAATACGTACCATCATATGCAGTGTCTCTCGCAACGGCGGCAAGCTTGATACGGGTGTTATGTTGAGGCATCTGCCCCTCAATGCCAACGTGGAACTGCAAAACAATTAAGACACAGCAATTATAATCGACTGGGACGGCGTCGCAAACTCCTGATATGAGTTCTGTAATTTATATCCCAAAAAGGTATCTTCCATTTACTTGATATAATAATTCGACTGGAAACAAACTTGTATGCTCAACAGTTAAAATAACTTTTATAAAAAGGTTTTTGTTGGCGAAATTGTTTTAAAACTAGATATGTGATGCGATCAAGCTAAATGAGTCATTTGTCGACCCTGGTCAAACAAATTTTTATTACAGATTTGAAAAGAGCACAATCTCAGCATTACTCATGTGAAAACCGCATGCTGGTACCATCTTTAGTTCAAAAATTATGGAAGTCGGAACACCAAGAGATGTGATGAAGTGATGTGATGAAGTGGCCCTATTTTGGCCTGTATCTCCACATGAGAATTCCCGACAAACGACTCATGTAACTTGATCGCATCACATATTATGCTTGATATTGAAAATGTCTGCAGGAATGATTCATTTCCAAAATGTTGTGTATATTTCTGAACACGCACAGTAGGTTCCCCCCCCCAAAAAAAAAATGGGGAATTGCGTTTACAAAGGCCAACCTGTAAAATATGTCTGTTTACTATTGTAAAGCCCAAAATCAGCGGCCCTATATTATAAGAATTACAATCTTTCAAACAAATTCAATACCTCCTCATCCTCCATTTGTTGGAGTGTGTCGTCAACGTCGTGTCCGTCTAAATCTTCCATCAGTTTGAGGAGTTTCTCTTCGCAGGTGGATAGAAGATCTAAGACAAACTCATCTGATGTTGGAGATAGTTGGGCTTGGGGCACGTGACCCTTGCTCTATAAGAAAGAAACAAGAATGCATATGATTGCTTTGATGGTAAAATAAACACAGCACAAAATTCATGGGCATGTGTCTCGGAATTATGAAGAAATTTTGAATGGAGATTGGGTTGTGGTATTGTAGTTAAGTTTATCACAAGTCCAGTTACAAAATCAGTCTCAAGTAACAGGGCATTTTGCTTAGTTCTTTAGATAGCTTATGACGTGACTTGAGACTGGAAATGACCTGTTAGGACTTGTGAGGACTTGTGAGGGACTTGTGAGGACTTGTGAGGGACTTGCGATGGACTTACGATGGACTTGCGAGGGACTTGCGATGGACTTGCGATGGACTTGTGAGGGACTTGTGATGGACTTGTGATGGACTTGTAATGGACTTGTGATGGACTTGTAATGGACTTGTGATGGACTTGTGATGGACTTGTGATGGACTTGTGAGGGACGTGTGATGGACTTGTGATGGACTTGTGATGGACTTGTGATGGACTTGTGATGGACTTGTAATGGACTTGTGATGGACTTGTGATGGACTTGTGATGGACTTGTGAGGGACGTGTGATGGACTTGTGATGGACTTGCCATGGACTTGTGAGCAATGGTCATGGACTTGTGGGGAATTGTGAATAACTAGTGAGGAATTGAGAGGAATCGTAAGGGTTTGTGATGACCTGGGAGGTCATGTGAGGACTTTTGCTGACTTGTGAGGGCCTGTGAGGAGTTTTGGTGACTTGATGGCCTCAACTACAACACTGGTGATCCGAGAAGGGTGGCTTTCAATCAACAAACGACAAATTAATTGACACAGAGATGAAGAATTTCTGGTCTAGCAACTTACTGCTTTGAGGTGCTGCAGCTTGTCGGCCAGATGTTCAACGCCCGACTTGACGTTGACCAGGATCTTGCTGGACTTGTCCAGTTTGTCCTGAGAAGCCTCCCTGCGATCTTCCTCATTCTTAAGGTGGGTCTGAAAGTCCTCCAGCATCCTCTGTCCACTGCGGGGACGACAAAACAATGACAAAAATCAAATAAGATTTGTGTAGACTCAAACGGAATGGTCCGCCCTGGATTCCACCACTAGCTCCGCCCACCTTGTGATTTTTGAGGAAATTGTAGGACTGAGGAAGACACAGCCCCAACACTATTACTTTCGATAGGACCTTCCCAGCCTTCAAAATCCATCAGGTTGTGTAGGATTTTGTAGGATTGAGAATGGTACAGCCAAACCAATTTTCACTTTTACATGGGACTTGAAACTTGGTAGGTACAAAGAGTGTGCCAGTTGGGGGATTCAGAAAGGTTCCTTGGAAAAAAATTCTTGGCGATTTATCAGGATCCACTCACCTGGACAGTCTTGCCTCGCCTGAATATTTCATCTCCTCAAACTCTCTCTGCAGCTTAGCTTTGTCCTCTTTGAGACGATTGACTTGCTTCTCTCCGCTCTCCTTGAGATCTTCAAGATGCCTAGTGGTCTCTTCTTGAGACTCAAACCGCATCACTACCTCCTGGTAACATGGAAGAAGAAATTGGCGATAGGATAACATTGGTGAAAAATTCATCAATGAAACTGTGGCATCACAATATCGATAGATGGACATTCTACACTTGTACGTTAAGACATGCACAAGTTGACCGAAGAAGCAAAGATAACATTATGTGTTGACGGTGAAGTTTCTGTGCTAATAAAAGTGCTTATGAAATTGATGAAGGGATTTGAACGTTTGTTTTCCAAGCTGCTACTCCATGCTGGCATTATTTTCAGTAAATTACAGTGTATATACCAAAGGCATACATTTCATAAATGATAAGTCAAACACTACCAAATTAAATGATGCCAGTGGATTTTTGCTGTAGGGCCGGAACAATTTTCCAGTTCGTAACACACCGTACGTACGTCGCACTACCACACAAGTGTTACGTATGTCCACAGTGAATGTTAAACACATTCGCAATTGAATCACACTTGCTTGGCAATCGTCATGGAGAAGCCCATACACAATGATCCCAGTCTTGCACATGAGGACAGTTGGCTCTCAAACTAAGGTTTGCCGTACAATACAGAAACTTATGCTTACTCGGCAAGTATCTACAATCCCGGCCAAAATGGTTGAGACACTTGGAAATAACCTTAGCCTCTTAAGTCACCCACTCCCCTGGTCAAATGTTGTTCTCTCCAGCTGATGGAGCACACACCACGCAATGAGAGACAACACTGAACGGGAGCCGGGGGGTTAGGGACCCAGCGAGATTTGGCCAGGATTGTAGCATGTTGATAACACTAAGTGCATAACCAATTTTCTTCTTATTGGCTCATAAGCGAGTGAACCATCACTCACAACAAATTGTATTGGCTGAATGATGACTTGTAGCCATCTTTTTTCCTCTTTTTCCTTGCACGCAAGAAGGTTTATTTTCTGTCCACAAAGGGATGGAGTATTTTTCTGGAAACGTGACAAATCCAGAATTCTGGCATCCCTGAGATTTTAATCCCAAGGAATAATGAACTCAATATTGAACGGTATTTCTGAGCCCAATTAGGTTTTTTTATCTACGCATGCAATACCTCCCGAACTCGCTTGAAAAATCTCAAACTGTAAACGTCCCAGCATACCCCAACGGAAGATCTTGGCTACATCGCCGAGGTTACTTACATGGAGGTCACTGACGCCTGTAGCATCCTTGATGGCATGGAATGCCTCCTCGTAAGAACCAATCTTCTTTTCTTGTTCCTCGCCGCTGATCAACTGCTTCTGTTCAGTGGTGAGCTCGTCATGCTGGATCGACGCTCGGTGAAGCTGAAAATAAGTAACAAGAATATTTAATATGTTGGTCTCTGTTACTAATTTTGATACGTCAAAACAGTTCTAGTTTGTTTGAAGCAACAAATTGTTCAATATCCTAAGTGGGATACTTAACGAACCTGTTGAAGTTTCAGCTCAGTTATTACTATACATTTTGAGAAAACAGAGAAAACGTATGCGCAATATTTTGAGTCTTGTCGCTGGACTCCATTGCTGCCACACATAAAAAAAAAGAGTACGCGCGAAATTCATGCACGTATTTGCGTAGTAACGTCACAAACACGCGTGTACTGCGTTTTCTCGCGTGGTTTAGGGTTAGAGGTGTTACATTAACATTGCTCATTTCAGACTGAGTTCCTACAATATAATGTGCTATGGTGCGAGTGGGGCCCAATATGTGTCAACAGAGCTGATGCGCAAAAAATTTGCTCAGCATATTGCTTACCACAAATTCTTGCTCAGTATATTTTAGTGTAAAGAAGGAAAAAATGCATGGGAACTTGTCATAAGCAATGTACAGCACATGAGGTTTTGGCTGGTAACCCCGCTTTTGCTTAGCAATTATTTTCTGTCCTTAGTAGATTTGCCAAAGATGCTTACCCTTCTTTCTACTCTTTCAGCGTGCGCCTTCTTTTCTTCGGCTTGTTTCCGGAGGTCTGCTAGGGCCTCTTCACGCTCACGTTTCTCTCGGTAGACTGTCTCCTCATGCTTGGATAGCTCCGCCTGAAAAAAAAAAAAAATACAACTAGAAACTTTAGTGTTTAACCCTAAAGGGGCCGGGTTATTTTGACCATCTCTCAGCCGGGGGGGGGGGGGCGGATTCCGCCCCCCCCTAAGATCTCGGCCATCGAGTGACGAAAATTTTTGAAACTCACTACATGCATAGAACAACTCTTCCTCAACATGCCCAAGAAATTTCATGACTATAGGTCAAAGGGTTTTGGAATTATGGCTAATTAATTATTCATATGTATGAATGCCAATTCTGCTCGGTGTACACGACCTATATGCGAAAATTCAGTTTTCACGGCGCGTAGCGCCGGAAAATTTTTTGCTACGTGCAAACCCGTGGTCCGATTTTTATGTTTTTGGTATCAAAAGATGCGCAAAGCTCAAGGCTAAAAAGTCATAATAGCTCGGGTCGCGAAAAAATTTTTTTTAGAAGCTATCGCGGAAAATGTTGAGGGGGGGGCGGATTCCGCCCCCCCCCCCGGCCCTTTTAGGGTTAAATTCACATTGACTTGTGACTCACTTGTAATTGGCTTATGACCGACTTGCAACTGACTTGCAATTGACTTGTGATGGTATTGCGACTGACTTATGATACCTTTGCATTGACTTGTAACTGAGTTACTGAGTAATGACTAGTGATTGCCTAGTGATCGGCTTGTGATCCACTTGTGAATGGCTTGTGACTGACTTGTGATTGACTAGTGACTGACTAGTAATTGAATAGTGATCCACTTGTGAATGACTTGTAAATGAATAGTGACTGACTAGTGACTGACTTGTGATTGACTAGTGAATGACTAGTGACTCACTTGTGAATGACTAATGACTGACTTGTGATCGACTTGCAATCCAGTTGCCAACGACTAGTGATTGACTTGTGATCCACTTGTGAATGACTAGTGACTCACTTGTGAATGACTAATGACTGACTTGTGATCGACTTGCGATCCAGTTGCCAACGACTAGTGATTGACTTGTGATCCACTTGTGAATGACTTGTGTCTGACTTGTGAATGACTAGTGACAGACTTGTGATTGACTAGTGACCGACTAGTAATTGAATAGTGATCCACTTGTGAATGACTTGTAAATGAATAGTGACTGACTAGTGACTGACTAGTGATTGACTTGTGATCCACTTGTGAATGACTAGTGACTCACTTGTGAATGACTAATGACTGACTTGTGATCGACTTGCAATCCAGTTGCCAACGACTAGTGATTGACTTGTGATCCACTTGTGAATGGCTTGTGACCGACTTGTGATTGACTAGTGACCGACTAGTAATTGAATAGTGATCCACTTGTGAATGACTTGTAAATGAATAGTGACTGACTAGTGACTGACTAGTGATTGACTTGTGATCCACTTGTGAATGACTAGTGACTCACTTGTGAATGACTAATGACTGACTTGTGATCGACTTGCAATCCAGTTGCCAACGACTAGTGATTGACTTGTGATCCACTTGTGAATGACTAGTGACAGACTTGTGATTGACTTGTGATTGACTTGTGACAAACCTTGGCTACGTCTCTGGAGATCTGCGCGTCCCGGTTCATAGTCTGCAACCTCTTCACTTCTTCCTTCTGTGTGTCAATCTCGGCCTCCAAGACGTCCAGGTCGTTGCCAAAGGTCAAGCTGTCCTTGACCATCTGGTCTCGGATGGCCAGGTAGGTGCGATTGATGTGCTCCGCCTCGTGGAGCTTAAGGAGCGCCTTGTCAAGACGATTCTCCAGCGAGCGCAAGGTCTGTGAAAGTAAAGATGGAGAAATTGAAAAAAAAATTCAATTTATAACGTAATACAAAAGCACAATATGTTGTGTCCTTGGGCAAGCCACTTCGCACCAACATGCCTCTATCTGCCCAGAAGTACAAATGGGTATGGCATTAGCTGGGGAGTAACCTGCGATGGACTAGCATCCCATCCAGGAGAATAGAAATATTCTCAGTCATTTCATGCCAAGGAAACCGGCCCAACGCTGTCCTGATGAGCCATATTGGCTTGTGATGGACTTTATTTTGTAGAGAGCCGTGGTCTAATAGTTACAGTGTTCGACTCAAGTGTCATTGTACGTGGGTTTGAACCCTGACAAGGAACATGGTGCTTATGTTCTTGGGCAAGACACTTGACTACAACTGCCTCTCTCCACCCAGGAGTATAAATGGGTACCTGTGAAGGCAGAGAACACATTGCGCCGATTGTGCTGCTGCAGAAAACTGGTCTCATGGTCTGATGAACAGACGTAATAATTATGAAGCACATTGAGACCTTCAATAATATAAAGTGCTGTAAGGACCACATTATTATTATATCAGACTGACCATTGCTTCGTCTGACGTGCCCGCATCCATGGCATCAGCGTCCGATGCATCTTTCCTCATCTGAGCATACTGTGTCTCCAGCTCGGCTAGCTTCTTCTCCATCTTGAGGGTCTGAGCGTTCTCGTAGTTCAGTCGTTTCTTGGCCTCGCAGACCTTCTGATCCATCTGAAGTATGGCTTCCTGTTGAAATACAATAAAATCCTCAAGTTTAAGAATTAACAAAACCAGAATGGCAATTCTTTATGAAGTCAATCAATAGTCAAGCACAACAATTCATGTGTGATGGCACACTCTTTGTACCCACCAAGTTTTGCCTAATTCATATGAATAGCTTGTGACTTCATGACTTGTGATTGACGTGATGTGACTTTATTAAAACTCTGCAAATCTGAGATATTTCTAACCCTACATGTAACATCGAACGTACATGTATTTTGGATTTACTGTTACCGATTGCTCCAAAATCCAAAAACAAAAATCCAAATTTGAAGCCTTTGACCAAACCGGAACATGTCTAACTTGTCACAACATGAACATTTTCTAGTCTTGTGCCCCGAGCCGATTACTGAAGAGAATGTGCACGGAACAGACAGGGTACCAGATGTTTCTTTTGATGTATCCGAATTACACGGTCATGGGTTTGTTTCGGACACAGCTCTCACTAATAAGTCCCACATTTTTGGGAAAAACAGAGTTCTCTGTTTTACCTTCCCCGATTTGCCCCTGAGGGAGGCCCTCTCCACGTTCCTCTCTTTGAAGGCCGTGTTGATAACTCTCTCGTCCCCGGCCTTGCTGGCGGCCAGCCCCTTGTGCAGCATCTTGTTCTCCTTACGCAGCTTGCTGATGGTATCCCGGTTCTGGCTGATGGTCCATTGCGAACTCTCAAAGTAGGCCTTGCGGTCGCCATCTGGTTGTGCCAAAATAAATCAATCAATCAAAAATAGCCCTATATAACTTTTTTTGTTGAAAAGAATAAATTAAAACAAACTGGTTATCATTTGAAATTAACAAAAAATCATAAAAACATATCTTACTTAGGGTCGCACTAAACAGCGTCAACACAGCGTCAACACAACGTTAAGCCAAAATCTTGTTTCTTTCCAAACTACAGTGTTCTCCAACTTTGAAAATTAAAGGTTGGCGCTGGGGTCGGCGGGGACTCCTGCGAGCGCGAAGCCCTTACGGCGTGGGGTCCGGGGCCCGCTTAAGGGCCCCGGGAAAATTTTGGATTCTAGATGCTCTGTGGTGCAATCTGAGGCGATTCTCCAGGCCAGTTCCCCCGATTTTTTTAGCATTCAAAAATTTGCTTTTCAACCTAAAGCAGACTTCTCTCAGATCAAATGACACCTTTTGGTTATTTTGAAAAACAAAATGGGATACAAATTACGTTTTTTTTAACGCGATTTTATGGGTGGTGCCGGTGCCGTGCGATCGTCATCTTTATTTTCATGTTGCGTTTTGTCGTTGTCATCGTCATTTTCCCCCCAAATTTCCCTCCATTTATGACCTACCTGTATGTTCTTAAATGTCGCCAACTAGTTTGGTAAGTCAAATAAATTAAAAGTGGATTTTGTTCTCTTTGGGAACCGGGCCCATACACGCTCGCCATTTATAACTTTTGACAATCGGCATGATCGGAACACCATGTACACGCGTGTCATGCCCTCGAGCTCGTTTGCCTCGTACAAAAACGCGTATTATATTGTGTACCGCGCGTGCAAGCACTGAGAAAAAGAAAGTCGGTGGGCTGCACGTAAGATCTGCCGTACGTACTCCTGCTGGTGTGTGTGTGTACTAATACAGATATATATTTTTGCGGCGGGGTTGTCGCTACCTGAAGTATCGGCACACTCCGGAGCTGGGTATTCAGTTGTCAGTGTGTACTGTACATCGCGCATACCTAATAGTATAGTACGTACAGTGCATGGGGAATCGCTGGTGTTTGCACGGCCGGCCGTACCGTGCGTGTGATTGATTCAGCAAGATTTTAAGACAACCCCGATCGGGCTGGGATATTTTTGTTATGACATCGAAATACATTGTTAATGTGTGGAAAAACAACTGAAATCAATTATTTTAGTTGTAAATGTACACTGTAGAGTCAAAAAAATTAAACCTGGCGGCAGGATTTTAAAGCTTGGCGGGGACTTTTTAAACATGGCGGGCGCCGCAGAAAGCATGGCGGGGCGCCAGGTTTGTTCTACATGTTGGAGAACACTGAAACTATATGGGCTACATACTGCTTTTGTCACTTTTAACGCATTTTGGATGTGTTGACACTGTGTTGACGCCGTGTTGACGCTTTGGAGTGTGTTGACGCTGTGTTGACGCTGTTTAGTATGACCGCTTACTTAGGGCCTATTCATTGTCAATTAAGCTAGAACTGAATGATTATTTTTCAGAATTGTACAAATTCACATTCTAAAATTCTGTAGGCCTGGTGGCCTAGGCCGACAATACATAGGCCTACCTAACTAACTGGGTAACTAGTGATATGCCTAACAATCATTCTGTGAATTTATGACAACCTAAAATTCAGATTTTCTCTTAAGATATAAAATAGGGGCCTAGGCCCAAGCCTCGGCCTAGAGTCCAATTTTGGAAAATAGACTAGGTAGGCCTGACATTAGAATGAAACTTTTCTAAATGGACAAATATGGGGAAAAGCATTTAGCCTGATCAGCGATCAGGTGGCAATCTGGCAATTTATTGTCATATTGTTTTAACAAATTTTAAGCAAGCATGCTTAATTTTAGCCCCATAAATGTGGCCTATTTACTGGACTGCCTCCGTAAACATAGGCCACACATCCACATGTACAAAAATCGTGTCGACGGAGCCAAATTTTGATTTTCACATTTAGGCTTAGTTTGTAGGTTTTTTTTGCTTTAGAAGCATACTCACCCTCTTTACAGGCTAATCAGAAAGTGCTGCCTTTTTCAGATGTCTAATTTTTGTGAAATTTCATGTTGAAATTTTGATACGCAAACGTGTAAAAATGAATCTGGAAATTTCACGAAAAATATACATCTGAAAAAGGCAGCACTTTCTGATTAGCCTATAAAGAGGGTGAGTATGCCTGTAAAGCAAAAAAAACCTACAAACTAAGCCTAAATGTGAAAATCAAAATTTGGCTCCGTCGACACGATTTTTGTACATGTGGATGTGTGGCCTATGTTTACGGAGGCAGTCCAGTAAATAGGCCACATTTATGGGGCTAGCTTAATTTTAAATAGAAATTATGAAATAATTCCAAGACCCCAATATTCACTGAACATCGATAGGGTTACACATTGTCATGATTGTGCTAAAATGGGGCTTTCTTTTCCTAACACTAACATTTCCAATATTGATTTCTCGTTTTCAACTGGGTCTTGTGCCCGTGAGCAAGAATAGCAACACAGTCAACAACTGCAAACTTCAATGATGAACATCGACCATGTCGACATTTTCACTCACCTAGCAAAGCTATTTTACGTGACACCTCCGAGATCTGCTCCGTAATCGGAGCATTACTCGTGCCTTTGCCAGTAGCTGGCATTTTGGCGATCTACTGTCCTCCAAAAGCCGATAATTCTGTTAAGTTTTTGTCGTTTCCAACTCGCAAACTTCTGCCCTCCACACGTCCAATGCAACTTGCGTGCAAATTAGAAGTGGCGCACTGCGCAAAATCAGAACAGTCGTTTGTTTACGTACACATTCGGTCCATAGCAACTGTCAATGAAAATACAAAAATGGTCAAAAATCCTTTGATTTCCACCGAAATTTTGAGCACAATATAATTAATAGCCTAATTTACATAGACTATAAACAATTAATTGTACATGTAAAGTATTTAATCAATTTTAATACATTTTCAGACAAAAATGAAATATTCTGACACAAGAGGGCGCTTTGTGTCGTAATTCCATTCCAAGAGGGCGCTGTTAAAAAATAATATGCAAAACAGGTGTCATTGTTACCGCACTGAACTATCAACAAAAAAAGTTTACTTCTGTTCTGGGGATGTGAGAGCGTGCGACTGCCGAGGAGGGAAAGATATCTTGTTATATCTTCGGACTGGATGAAAATTGTGCCGGGAAAATGGCTGAAAAAGGGAACATCGAGAAGTCCAATCCAGTGGAGGCGACAGCCATGGCTAAGCAGATTCGCGAGCAACACGAGAGTAGCGGCTCGGTGTTGTCCCGGCCGCGGAAGACCGGCAGCGCTGGCTATTTCTCGGAGCGCTTGGCAAGCCTTTACGAGGTGGACTACTCACCCAAGACGGCCAAGCCCTCAGAGCCCCGTCCGTGCTCCGTCACCAGGAGGAACAATCCACACCCATCTCACGTAAGATTGCTACTCATTATTACGACAAGATAATAAACCTGGAAAAAATACACGCCACATTTTTTCTGAAATGTATCAAGTAAAAGAATGCCGCATTTGTGGCACAATATAAATCAACTTAATTAACTTAAAAAGTTGATAGAAGTTTTAATTTTAGCCCTTCCATTTTACGACTAGGAGGAACTTCAAAACTGTTTTTTTTTACTACTCAAACTAAATCAATGTGATCATAAGCATTGTGCCTTGAGAAATCTCATACAATATAACGGGCAAAAAAAACGCAAATTACATTTTGTTTTTGATAAGATTATGTTGCTTTTGGTTTTCGAATTTCACGTTTGCAAACAGCTCATCTGGTTTTATTACTTCTCACGTCAAGAACTTAACAATTTTATTTCGACCCTGCAACAGCTTATGACCAGAGAGAAAAGGGAATATCTTGGGCTTAGTCTTGAAAGTGATAGTGAGCGTTATTTTTAATTTTTTTTCTTCCACCAGGCCGGCCCTGCAAAACTGTGACACCTTTTAGACAATCTAATTTACTTGAAAATACTGGAATGATAGAAATTAAATCACACCGAGCCACTGCCAAAGTTAAATAACTTGGACCACTTACTGGATCTCAACAGAACATAATATTACAAGGCTTAATTTGACCGATTTAACGAGAAAACCACGCTCAAAGTGCAGATAGGACTGGTTTACCGGTACCAAATACCCTGCTGTGAATAATTCCACTTGAATATCATTCGGACAGATCATTAAAGGTGGTTACAATATACCCCCCAAAAAACGTGTCCGCGGGCAACTTTTTACGTGCGTTATAGCAGCGGAATCCAATTGGGAGACAACACATTCAATTTGTTTTTCTCTGTTTTCTGTTTTCTCAAAATGTTTAGTATCCACTTGCTGAAACTTCAACAAGTTGGTTATGTAGCCTTCTAAAGATTCGGAGACATTTTGTTCAAAATCAAACGAAAAATGCACAAAAGCAAACCTATAAACCTAGCCAATTCTCGCATCTCAGTTTAAGAAAGCTTTGTATGATAACGATACCGTCTCAACCCATGGCGACCACTGAATTGCAGTCATCAAACACCATGTTTACAGCGTCTATTTGTTTATTGTCCTGCCGTGGCGCGTCTTCTTGTGTAAACTCGTGTTCTGTATTGCAACCCCTTTAAATATACATTGCATATTATTAATATTTTATCGCATAGATCTAATTCACGGTATACAATAAGCGGGGGCGGCGCCTTTGAAAGACAAACGTTCATGGCCCACCTTTCATAATAAATACGTTTGAAAAACTACAGAAGATGTATTTTGTTCAATGTTCCTTAGGTTATAGAAACAATGAAGCAAGATTATACGGTGAGGATCGCATTACTATTAATGTATGATGTGCTCGGCCTGAATTCAAGGACGAAACAAACGAAGATAATGAAGACGATAAAGTTAACAATGGGCCATAAAACTGGCTCTGGGCGTTCACCCTTGGTAACGATAAACATGGATGTATTGGTACAAACCTTTGGGCTTGTGAACTTAGGGCAAGGGTATAACAAGAGTTATTGTAAGGGTGGAACCCGTGGGTATTTCTGGGGTTCCACAAAATGTACAAGCTTGAAGAAATCTGAAGACGATAAAGAAAGGGAATATTATTTAGACGGCCCTGAGCGAAACGATACTCATGATTTTCGTACTGAATTAAACCAGATAACAGATCAAATTCCACGTTTAAAAAATAGGGTGGAAGTTGAAATACTGCATAAAAAGAAAGTTGGTGAACAATGATATGGATATTACTTCCAGCAAAATCAACGGGCATAACACGAGTATCGTATTTACAAGAAAGTTCCCGTCTTATTTACAATTATTTTGTGTACGCATGTGTCAGTGCAACAAAGAAGAAGTTTGCGATCGAATCGAATAATCGATTGAAAAACCAACTAAAGTGACATTCTCACATCCCAACTGCTGCAATCTTCCTAACTACAGTTGGGACTGACCCGACTACCTTTCTTCATATAACAGAAACAACATTATCTCCCTCTTAATTAATGTTACTATTCAACAGATTCGGGTTTTTTTCCTCCAAACAAATCGAGCAACTAGATTTGTAGGATTTTTTCCTTCTTTTCAACCCTCTGATAATGGGCTATTATTTTGGATTTCTGCGCCGTACCACACACAAAAGATACATCTGAATTATTATCGGGCAGCAATGATATTTTTCGAACTTGGTCAATTAATTATTCAATAAATACATGTGGGAGGATCGTTTTGTTCGATGTCTCACTCGAAAATGAATTGCTGGGGGACAATTTAAAAACGAAAGCTATTTTCGGGGTGAAACTCGAAAAAAAAACACGCGCCTAGAGCAACTTCTAACTAGAAGGTAAAAAGGGCAATTTTGGGCAGAACTTGTGTCAATCGAGGGTTGAAAGTTTTGCAACTTATGCTGTGACTGCCAATACACAAAAGAAGGTCTGTAGTTGGTCAATCCCAGCTCTAGTAAAGTTGGGGAAAACATCAACTGCATGCTGGCCCATTCAAGGCTGGCTTGGCACGGGATAATGACCCCACACGGAGCGTCTGCCACTCACATGCCTGACCGACCCCGGGGGTAACGTACCGTACCCCTAGCAACGGGACACAATTACCCGCTGAACACTGCACTGTTCGTACGGTACGCGTGCCTTCATTGTACACGTACAAGCTCGGTTCAGCTTCGAGTTAAAACCACCACACGAGTGTGAAAAAAGTCGGTTTTTACACAGAATGTAGACAGTTTTTGGTAGATATTTTTAGTCAAGGAGTGATTTTCGTCAAGGGGTGACTGACAGGCGATATGGCTGCGCCATCGGAATCGGTAAGTGTTAATTAATTAGGTTTGTGGTTTCATAGATCGTCGAATTGAATCTAAGATCCGATTATGATCAGCTGATAAGGTTATGTACTGACATAAGGCACATCTTTTCCGTGCGAGTATTCCATAATTTATGGTCATCGTAGTCTAAATATTTGGGAATTAATACTCAAAATCCAACTTGTTCAGCATTGTAGTGTACATGCTTTTTCATAATTTCACTCAATACAGACAGTGTTGGGAACAATCAAAATAATATTACAATACATTATTTACAAAATATATATACCAATAAGACGATACGTAACTTCAGGCTTACTGTTGTCTTTGAAGAATACCCGTCTTTGAAAGAGGGGAAATAAATGGCAAAGTGGGAACTTGGATATATTCATTTAACTAAATTCGATTTTCAAAAAGGTGAAGATCTATTTCAAGGATTTTTTTATAAAGAAAATTTCTTTTCTGGAATAATTGTCAATGGACAGCATGGGGCAAATAAAAGCTAATGAAAAGAAAACAAACAGAAATACTAATGAATATCAATGTCTTATATTTATTGTTCAGTTATTTTTTTCAAAGGGATTTGTTGAAATAAAACAAAATAAATTAACTGATAAAATGAATATACAAACAATCAAATTAAAACCAAAGGAAACCAAAAATAAATATTCAATTTCATCATACACAACTGATAGTTACCAAAATTAAACAGTTCTGACAAATTAACAAGTAGTGATTTCAGTCAATCATGAATTTGTTTTTCTCGAAATCATATTAGAGATTTCTTTTCTCTCGAAATATAGAACTTGGTGCTGTAAATATGCTTGACAAAAACCTTAAAAAAGGTCATATCACAGACAGGAGTTCTGAAAAGCAGGGACTTCAGTTTTCACACTTTGATACAGCTCGACAATGATACAATGTGAATGTTGCCTCTCATCTATGAACATTGTGCTCAAAATAATACATTTATATTAGCAGCATGACACATGATAAATCCTATTCATTTCTATGGCAGTCAAGTTTGGACTCTTTATAGGTACATATCTGTGAAGTGCACCAGAACAAAAACCCGGTGAACTTTAGCACCTGAGCTCACTCTGTTCTAGATAAGTCATGTCAATGATACGTCAATACAGTTAAGTGCAATGGAGTGGTGTATTGAATTCACATTTTCGCGGGCGGGGTTTAACCCCCCCCCCCAATTTTCTGACAGAAAAACTGTGAGCAATGGTATTTCATATGTTTAATTATCAAATTAATCACAAGGGAAAATGACTAGGAAATCACCAGAAACGGGGTAAGGTAGCTCTGTAGGTAGGGCAACAGTACGTTGTTCCATAGGTTTCAGGTTCGAACCCTGCTCGTCAATTTTCTCTCTTTGCTCAAAAAATGTGTTCCCCTGACACCAAGTCTGATTTTACCCAAAGGAGTAATACTGTTTGATTTGTTGTTATTGTTTGGACTTCAAATTTTTCCTGAAATGCCCCATACAGTTTGTACACAAAATTCTCGAGGACTTGGGCTCGGATCCTCAGGTTAATTGTTATCTCAGGTAACCTATTGTTCCAAGTCCTCAATTTTGAGGGGAACCTGTATATTTTAACAAGAAAGTTTCATTATTATGGGAGTTGAAAAATGTATTTCTACATCATTATTTGATGTTTAAATTAAATCAAGACTATAGACAAGCCTATAGTTGGTCCAGGAGTGATACAAAATTCAATTTGATTGATTCAGAATGGTTTTTCACTGGAAGTCTGATTTTATTCATCTGGTCTACACAATGGGCCAGATTGAGCCCAATCATTGGCGTTTATGGGATATCCTACACGACAGCACTGCCCGGCTCACAAGTGACAGCCGGTCAGTCAGCCAGTCAGTGAAATGGGTGCAAAAAGGACACCACACTAGCTCTCTGGGAAATACAGGAAATATTGCAAATCGTGAAATTTTATTTTCAATTACTGTCCAGCAAAGGTCAACAAAAACGGAGCACAGAGTGTTTGAGCCTGTAAGGCAGACTACACTTAAAAGCTAAGTGTCAATATTTGTGTGTTTGCACTGACAGGCCCCAGGCAGGGCATAGTTGACAGTCTCTTGTAGTAAACTGCCTAATAAGTAGTCCTCTGCCAGTGTCGTATATAAACAATCTGAAGTGGAAGGGAACCATGACAACTGGTGCACTGTGGACAGTGGTTTGTTGTGGTCTGGTTCCTAGGATATTGTATGGACTAAGAAAGTTTGTCCTGAAAAAAAAAACCCACCAAACTTGGGCTGTTATTTTAGTTTTTATAGACTTACATACCCTATCTCACTTTGTGTTCAAGTTTTTGAATTCAAACAGTTGTTTGGCAACATCTGAAAGTTGTAACAAGCATGAAAAAATATGCATCGACATGAACTATTAGCTTTTACTGAGATTGCTGTAAAAAACGAGGCTGAAATAGAATAATTTTCTGCTAGGAATTTGCTCTTAAAGACAAAACACACAGGCATCCTTGTGCAAACTTTAACCAGCATTTCACTAGTCTGTTTATGTACCTGTATCAAACTTTCCTCGGATAAAATATACTATTTCAATTACATTGTATACACAGTGTATAACAACACACAGCTGTTTTACTCTATTGGCACAGTAAATCATTCTTTTTCCCCCCAAAAATAATTAGGCAATAAAAAGTCATACCCCACTATTCCCAGTGATCAAAATGACTCCTGAAGGTCACCGAATAGTTGCCAAGATGTGGATCGAGTCTTTTCCAAAAGTTCATTCAGCTGTTTGCTGACAGTTTTCCTTGTTGAATGACAACAGAAGTGGACAATGGCAGGATTTCATGTTCGTGTTTGACAAGCAGGCTTCTCTACTGGTGCTTATACAGCTGGGATTATCCTCTTATTGAAGTGTGTACTTTTGTGTTGACAGTCGAGGCATCCCCATCCCTTCTTAAGTACAGATTACCATCTGAGTGGATAGCAGACTTGTACCTTGTCTACTTATTAGAGTATCTTTGCTTATGAGAAAAAACGTGGTGATCATGGCTTGTGTCCTTGGGCAAGACAATTTACGACAGCTGCCTCTAGATCCAAACAACGTGGGGATCATGGTGCTTGTGTTCTTGGCAAGATACTTGCCTCTCTCACCACGTGTGGATCAGAATGCTTGTGTTCTTGGGCGAGACCCTTTACGACATGCCTCTAGATCCAAAACAATGTGGGGATCGTGGGGATCATGGTGCTTGTGTTCTTGGCAAGATACTTGCCTCTATCACCACGTGGGGATCAGAGTGCTTGTGTTCTTGGGCAGGACCCTTTACGACAGCTGCCTCTAGATCCAAAAACAACGTGGGGATCGTGGGGATCATGGTGCTTGTGTTCTTGGCAAGATACTTGCCTCTCTCACCACGTGGTTATCAGAGTGCTTGTGTTCTTGGGCAAGACGCTTTACTTAAATGGCCTCCCTCGCAATGCAAGGATCACGGTGCTCATGTTCTTGAACACGATGCTTTACTAAAATTGTTTCTCAAACAATGCGGGGATGAAGGTGCATGTGTTCTTAGGCATGATGCTTTACATCAATTGAGCATTAATGGTTACCTGGTCAGCTTCTCTCTAAGATTGCCCTAAATATTGAACTGCTGAATAGCATGGCCTGCTGATAAAGGGGTAATAGTGTTTTTGCACCGATGAATAGGGGTAAATAATCATTTCTACATTGACGCTTGTTTTTTTCTGCGCAGATGTTTATGAATTGGAAGGTGCCGACGCGTCTGATCGTCGACGAGCCGACCTACCAGCAGCAACAGGAGCGATTGTTGCTGGATAGCAAGCAGCGCTTCTATGAGGACATCAACGGTGAACGCAAATGTACGTACATATACTGGATATTTCCCGTCGACATAATGAAACACTGCATATTAGCGCTGCTTGAGATCGTGCTTTAAATTTGTTAGTTTGGGTGCAACTAGCAAGCTTTCACTTTTTAGACAACACTGAGTATACAGAGCTCTTAAAACTACATCAGTGAAGGGCAAAACTCAACAAAATCGGGCCGACGCCAAATTCCATTTTACAAATTATTTTCATATCCGTTTTCGTTGGACCAATTTCCCCAGTATAGTAAACACCATACAATCAACTCTGCGGTGTATTTGATGGAGACATGCATCAAACGTCACAATTTGATTTTTGACAATTCTATGGATCTGTGGATTAGGCTTGGACTATATTTCCATAATATCGTTTTAGTGACAATACTTTTTTTGATACCGAGCAATACCGAATGATGTTATCAAAATACCATAATACCAACGACCTTGGTGCGGAATTTCATTACGATTTTTTAAATATCGGTCTTAAATGTGACAAGTTGTGTGCAAAAGCCCTTTAAAAAGTGAGAGGAACATGCATGGCCAGATCTGAGCTATATGAATAATGGTTTAAATTCCTTGTAGTCACGGTATCTAGATAAGTTGAAATGTGTGCTTGACTAGTCATCCAGCAAGACCTTTGAAGTTCTGCCCATGCTGCCTGTTTGTGGTTTCCCTAATACCACGTTTCTTATCCCATTTTGATAATACCGAATACCGAATTGTGACGGTATACCATTGACTGTCAAAATGAAATATATCGCACAAGCCTACTGTGGAGGGATCAGTGAAGTTTTGAGTTTCATATTATCACCCAATTTTAAAGAGGTAAGGAAACTTTAAGTGTTTCAAAATGGGTATCTTACAGACACGAGCACCGGCGGCAACAACGTCCTGAAGGAAGTGGGTATGCTTCGCGGGATGAACCCCTCCCTCCTGCCATCTCGCCGGACGGTCCGCACCTCCACCACCCACCACGTACCTGCCTACGGGATGCTCAAACACTCCAGGGAAAAGGACATGGAGGAGGAGTTCAAGCAGGCGTCCGGGGTGGGGGGCAAGGCAGCGACGCCCGGGGGTAAGTCCTGGAAAGAGGGAAGATACAAGAAGATTTTGGGATGTTTATAGTTTTTGTCCAAGATGTGGATTTTATTCCCAAATACAGCTGGTCACTGACAAACGCAGTCTAGCCACTGCAACAGTAAAGGTTGCAATATCAACAATGTGAATCAAATCCAATCCTGGGAATTTTGGCAGTGCTATCCGGAAAATTCCAAGCATACCTCATGTGCGTGCATAAGCTTAAAAAAACACAGCGGAAGTGATGCCAGTCAATCCCCAGTACCTATTTATACACCTGGGTGGAGAGGGGCAAGTGGGGTAAATTGGCCTGCCCAAGGACACAACATGTGGCCAACATCTGGATTCAAATTCCTTACCCTCTGATCATGGGGCACACAGATTCTGTGGTAATTACAACTGATGTACGGCAGATCCCATCAACTTCCTTTTATTGGATTAACATTTGTTGTTTTAATACTGTCAACTTTTAATTTCTGTCATGTTTCATTTCCATAAACAGTGCCCAAGTTACCCGCAGTGCCTCAATCACCACGGAAACAAAGAGGAAGCCCTGATCTCAATTCGCAGGTAATTTTATCCTGATAAAACATTGCCAGATATACAAGACTAAAACTCAGATCTGATCATCCTTGCTAGCCAAAACTTAAAACTCAGATCGTCTTACCCTCATTCAGCGTAAGACAGTACCATGGCAAACTGAGTCTACATATTTTACTTCTCATGACACTTCCAAATATGGATTGACACAACTTCTGTCCAATCAGAACACTTGTTACAAAATGACCACCACCACAAACTTATCTATTGGACAACCGTCCCAACCTCCTACTACATCCTGGCCTTTGGCTGCCACTGGCTAGGTCCTTACTCCAACAAATGTATCTCTACCATGATTCCAGAGGCACTGAATGGAAATTCTCTGCTGATCATGTACGCTGGTTACTCAACAAAAATGCCGAACATTTCGCTCACATCCGTCTCATGTAACGGTACGGTCGCCATATTTTTAGTTGCCTAAAATAACTGCACCAAAAGGCTGCATGTAATGTGTTCTCCTGTTAGCTTACCACCTCCAGAAAAATCACTTCATAGATCAAGAATCGTGAATATTTCAGAGTCTAGGCAGACAATCTGATTGGCTGACAATGAGTACCAAAATAGTTAATAAGTGGAATCGGTTTGTCAGGGAAGACTCACAATGTAAATGGTAAGACTACCCTGGCTAGTGAGGATGACTCCAAAAGCGAGACTGAAACTCAGGCTCAGTATGCAGGACTCGGTCTCGGACTCGGATTGAAAATTGAAAGTAAAAAGGAATAACTCAGATGTAATGGACTTGACCACAACACTTCACCAGCTAATGCACTGTTTGATAAAGTAACCAATTTGGGTTGTCATTTCTATGTATAACAGATGTCGCGCAACCTGCGGCCCCGAGCCGTGCCGGCCGCCCAGAACTGGCTGAAGACGGCCGGGAATAGCGAGACCAAGATCATCAACAATGCCATGAAGGCGGCCGACCTGGATAGGACACTGGGACGCACCCTGCAGCCTGACGCCAAGAAGGCTGTGGAGAAGTGGCTCACGACCGCCAATGAAAAAGGTATGACATGCCATGGAATCTTTCATTTTTCTTTTGCAGATAATTTGCAACTATACGGTCTGATCGTGTGATGTCAAAGTACCAAGTGACCATCCGGTTTCCCCAGATCGGCCACCATTGCAGTAGGCAAGTGTTTGGTTTGCAACCACGTTGTACGTTGTGAACTAGACAGTAGGGCTTATTTTCAAGTAAAATAACCACAAACTCTTTGTCAAATGGCAGAATGTCACCATCTGTGCCGTGTACGGTTGTCATAATCATGCCAACCAAGCACTGGGTGTTGGATCCACGTTTTTGCCACCCATCACAGCTTTGAAGGCATACCCTTTACCTACTGCGCCCAGTGCTACTTAATCTTTGCTTACTACAATGGCAACGCTGACTTTCCGGTACCTGGATGTAGGCCAGGTCATGTGAGTCAGTGAGCGCCCTCTATTGATCCATTATACTCATTTGTTATTAGATCGCGAGGTAGCCATTGAGTTTTTCGGCTCGCTGGCTGGCAGCAAGCTGATGGGTGCGAAGGACGTCATCTCCGACCATCAGATTCACACTGACTGCAAAGGCCAGGCGACGTGCAAGATATGTGACGGGGCTAGGCTCCAGCAGGTCATGGACGCGCTGAAAAAGTAAGTAATAAACGTCCATGCTAAACTCTTTCGACGCCTGACTCTCTCTTTGTCACCATTTAGGGAGCACTTGGAGTGTCATGGCCGAGTGGTTAAGAGCACCATACTCAAGCTCTGGTGTTTCTGGTCAGCAGAGTTTGGGTTCGAGTTCCGGTCTTGACACTTGACTTGTGTCCTTAAGCAAGGCACTTAACCATTACTGCTTCGTCCTTCGGATGGGACATAAAGCCATCGGTCCTGTATGTTTTGTAATGCATGCAAAAGAACCCAGTAACACTAATCGCTTGTTTCTGACAGTGGCTGCAATATGCGTCGCAGCACCTTGTGAACCCTTTTAAGGTGCCACATAAAATGGGTCTCATATTTCAAATACTTCATTTACCTGTCTTCAAAATAAATTCATATTAATTATCGCCTTGAGTACCTAATTGTTGGTAGATATGTGCGCTACATAAGACTCCGGTATTATTACTATTATTATTACTTGTGTACAACGTCAACATTTAATACCATGGCATTTTCTTAATACAATTTCAGAGGGAAACCTGTAGCATCTATCACCCTCAAGAAGGACCCTAAGCAACCAGGGCAGGTGGACCGACGCCTACAGCTTCTGACCCCCTATACCCGCAGCCACAAGAACGAGTTCCAGACCTGGCACCACCTGCCTGTCTTCAAGCACACCGGGCCGGTATCCAACACCATCGCGCTCTTCACGCGACCCCATCGACCAATCCCAAGACACTTCACCATCCACCCAGAGTGGGAATAGTTCCAAAATATTGCATTTTAACTACTCTTTTTTTTTAAACTCAATTATAACCACACCATATTAAAATGTAGCTAAAGAGTAACCTTACATGTATATCCGAGAATTCGAGCAGGTTCAGTGTCTACTTTTACATGCTTCTTCACTCGTTAAAAACATGTACCTTATATTTGAAAAAAAAATCCATTTACTGAATTATAACCACGTTTAAAAAAAAAACGTAGCTCGAGAGTACTTTTTTGGTATTTATTAAATAACACAAGTGAGACACTAATACTTAATAAAAAAAAGTAGAATCAATGGAAAAATATTTGATTTGTTGAGTAAATGTTGACATAAAAATAAAAAGTGCTTAAAAATTGCTCACACTCAGTTGTGCATTAAAATTAAGAAAATGTACTAAGAAATTACTTCGACATGAGTGTGTAAGTTTGAACCTATATGTTGCCATGATCAAAAGGGTTCAAAGAACAACTGTTATTTTAAGAAATGAAAATTTCAGCTCGAAAGAAACCACTTTTTGTTTAGTTGTTTACTGATAAAGTAATACATTTTAGTTTTGTACTGTCTGCTGGCATGCTAATGGTACGTATTTTTTGGTGTATTTAATGGTTTACGGTGGGTTTTGTGTTACTGCTTTGTGTCACTTCTTTAAGTGAATATTTGGTCAAATACTACACATACCGTATCTTCACAATATTTATAACATTCTCACCCTACAAACCTGCTGGGTCTTTCAGTCTACACTGTTGTTGCAAAACAAAATGTTGTTTTTAGTTTTTGAAAGTTTATGTTACGAATTGTAAAAGCTTTATGCACAATAAAATGCTCAGCACTTTAAGATTGTTTATGTGTGGTCTTCAAAATTAAGAATTTTCAGCAAAACATTCAAACACTGGCCGTTATGAATGGCTCCGAGCGCAGAGACCAGAGGGTGTTTTTTTTAACCATTTTAAGAGCCCCAGGAGAGGGGGGTGTGAGGTAGGGGTGGGGGTGTGAGATAGGGGTGGGGTGGGGGGGGGGGCTTGGGAGGAGGAGGGGGAGGGGAGGGGCAAGGCGACCCAAGAAACAGAGAAAAAGAAAAGGATCATATACTCACATGGCTTCTTCGCTGAACGCTTCAGTCAGTCGTCGAGGTTGAGACCAAATCGTTCATACAGATCTTTGGTTGTCACACCTTCAACGAGTGCTACCAGAAACATGCAACAAGAACTACAGGTCAAAAAGCAGTTGTTGCGCAGTTGCTGTGGTGAAATAATCACTGAACATGTACATACCAAGCACAAATGAAATTAGCAAGAATGAGTGGGTCATTTTTGGTGAGGCGCATGTTGATGTCAATGTGCGCAGGGCCTGATGGCACCAAGCTTGCACAGCAAAAGTCAATCCCCCCCTTTCCCGTCCCTTGGATCCTTGCAAAAACCATTCTGTGCAAATCTCGGAGCCCTACCAATTTTTCCCAGCAGCATCTGTCCAGTGTCCTTCAGCTCGTTGTACTCGTGCATCTTCTCAATATGGGTCTGAAGTTCCTCCTCACAATAACCCCTGGTGACAAATAAAGACATTAGAAATTTTTACTTCTATGAAAAAAACTTTGCCTTAAGTAGGGCTGTGCATCTTAGGCCAAGTTCGGGCAAGGACCATTAGTCGACTAGTGGTTGATTTGTGACGTACCTTACGCCTGCGCACTGATAGCAACGTGCGAACGTCTCTAGTCAAACGCTGGTCAAAATGTCATCGCAAAACTCCTGGATCCTGGCTCTCTGCTAGCGTTATGAATGCGCGCGGCTATTGGTTACCAGCGAAGCAACCAACCCCAGTAGGCTGGTTCCAAATACATGTAGTCGACTAGCGTAGTCAACCACAGTCGACTAGGCAGAGTTCGGGCAAGCGTTAGTCGAACTATGGTTAACTATAGTCCTTGCGCGAACTTGGCCCGAGTAGCTCGACCGCTGATGTCAGGAACCGGTTCCAGATTATGGGATCAGGTGCCCGTAACCAACTTTACAAATTACTTAGTAACTTCTCAGGCAATGAAAGAGAAAGGTTTTGATTTTCAATTGTGGGAATTTTCAATATGAAAACCAGGCTTCATGGGAAAACAAAACATATTTCACGTTATGAAGCTCCTTAAAGTTGCAGTTTACACCGTAAAGCTAAAAAGCTGACTATACAGTGTACACACTTGAATGAACCACCAAATGGAGTCGTATTATCGTGCGGACCTTTATGAACAATCTAAACAGCATCTTTGGCGATTTGAATTTTGGGGGTTGGGTTTCTTTAACGGGTAACCTGGTGACCCTTTTTTTTTCTACCCGTAAATGCACACCTGTAGCCTTAAATTATGAGGAGATTTTGGAACATTCAGTTAGCCTACGAAGGGTCAAAATAACCGACCAGTAATTTGTTTTGTTTGTTTTACAAGGGTGAGATTTGACAATTGTAAGATAGAGATGATCTTACTCATTTGTCAGGGACGCAATTTCCGCTTGTAGTTCCTCGGCACTTTGTTGCAAGTTTTCAACTTCTTTTGTTAAATTCTCCTTTGATTCTGTAGGCTTTGACGAATCTGTTTGAACTCTCACCTGCAAAAAAAATTGGAATTTCAAAAATTAAAAAAAAATTGAAAAGTGCAGTCATTATCATATAGCAATTTTTCCAGCTAATGTCCTTCCATATTATGGAAATTTACAATAAACAAACTATCAATACAAAGTTTATTATTGATTTCGAAATCTACTTACCGGAGATTTGAAATTGTCATGTTTGAGGCGTTTCCTTGCCGAGCCACTAAGAGAGTGCCTTGATGGAAATCTAAGTAATAAAAGAGAAATTATTTCAAACAATGAATGACTTGTGACTTGGAAAGTACTTCCGATTAACCCTCCTATAAAGATGCAAACATACATTCTGTGCCAAGTTTTCCTTTCAGTTTCAGTCAAATCAATCAAGTGACTGCTTTCAACATGCAAGAATTCCCAGCCTCCTTAAAGCAGGATTGACTTGCTGTGACTGTTTATGTAACTTGATACAGCTATGCTTTGACTGTGGGTGATTTCCCCACCCCTCCCCACATTGTTACCATTGGCGTACAACATGGAAAGGCGGTAATCCTTACTTTTAGGACACCTCTATTTTGTAAGAGTTCTGTTCAAAACTGACTTTTGCAGATGACTGTCCAGTACCAAAGTGACTTTTGCAGGCTAAAGAAGTCTTTTTTCTTCAGACAAACTCATGTTAGTTATAATTTTGAAAGCACTTTCAAAGAAAATGTGACTTTCCTACCTTTTTTGCAGTTCGCCATCTTGCTTTTTAAATTTATTTTCTGTTTGTCATCGTCGTCTTTAACCCCTCATAAATCAAAACCCTGCCCTCTTTCTACAAAATCAAACCTGCTGATATTCAAGAGGTGTCATTGCCAAATGTTCAAATGTGTCAATAAATATCAGAATGTCACTTTTGAGTGTCATAGTCAGCTGTTTTGGTGAGTCTTTTAACCTTATATAGGAAAGGGGTCCTAAAAGTAAGGATTACCGGAAAGGCAATCACTAGTGCGCCTCACGTATGTATGTCAGAGATTGTCACTTAAATTTTGCCCAAAGGGTGGGGATTTTGTCACTTCAAAAGTGACAATCCCCACATCTTGGGTGGGGCAGCTGGGGAGAGGGAGAGGGGGGGGGGGACAATTAAAAGGCGCATTCACAGCAAGATCCAACCAAATGTAATTAATATATAATAATAATCTCATAATTCTGCATCCTTCCTCAATTTTCTTCCAGTCATTGTTATGACTACCTATGAACGGGCGTTGAATGGAGACTTGTCGACGATAACGACGATGAATTTGAAGGCCCTGCCATTGCATTTCCAACCTTGCCTTTGTCAACTTCAGCAGTCTGCAACTTTCCACATTGCGTAAATATTCTGCTTTTGGGGGCATTACGAGCAGGCGTCTGGTGGTTTAAATCGGCTTGCTCTTGTTGCAGCTCCTCACAAGTTCTTTTCCTTGTGTTGGCAGTCTCGCCTTGACCTAAATCATCTTGCTCCTCGTTTTTAGAGCGTGGTCCCTCTTCAGTGCACACTTGAATAGGTTTTGCCTGCTGAACATGCTGAAGTTGTTTTGAAATTGAAGTTGAACTTGAAGGCGAAGAAAACAACGAAATTTCGGCCGCTCGTTTTCGTCTTGCAGCTCCCAAATAACGCCTTTTTGTTCCTGTAGCCGGAGTTCGGTTTGTACCTGTTTCAGTTGGCGACGACATGACTTAAAAAGGAGAATTCAGACTTTAGAGGCTAGGCACGAAAGGTAAAATTCGACACACAACTTCTTCGCCAGACAAATTTCCCGCAACTACACGTTACTTCCGGTTGTAAATTGACAACCGCGAGTTGGGCGATCTTTCACGTCTGCGTGTGCGCCATGGTGTTACAATGCCGTTCACTGTTCAGAAAATAGCCCACTTGGGCTACAGAGGGTGTACACAGTAACTACAGACGCTTTGAACCCTTTAACTTACTAGAAATCTGATAAGTAGTGCTGAACCAACTTTTGATATTTCCATGGAAAAGAATTATTTTCCATGTTAAGAGTTTAAATCAAATGTGTATAAGGCCAAAAGAGAAATACAGACCTTTAACCTACAAATTCCAAATCAATTTAGAGCAAAAATGCATAAAAATTGTTGAACGCGGTGCACCACTTAAACTTTATTTTCAGTAACCCGGAGAGTCTTTTGAGAATAGTTGTTGATCGATTGTCGGAGGTCGGGCCGCGCCGGTACAAATGTCAATACAAATTTGGCGTTTTAAGTGGTTTTAAAGTCCAGGATTTTGGTTGCAATGTGCCCGTACGGATGAACATGTAACGCTGCCCTATTCTTGATGTTTCGATCGTGCAAAAGAAAATCGCAACATGGAAGATGCGCTCGCCCAAAAATACGATCGAATACAGCAGTTTGCTACACGGGTGAGTAACCGTACGAACTTTCGAAGTTTACATTGCAGGAATGAGGACCGAGTTGGTTTAATTCAGCCGAGTTTACGTTTGCCTTGCTTAAATTTAGGCTTTATCACTGATCGGTGTCACCGGTCCATGCCATATATGCGTGTAACTGCTTGTAGTACTACAAGAACTAAAGTAGTGTTGATTTCATATTATTTGTTTTTATTTAATCCATACAGCAGTGTAGTCCGAGTAACTTGGAGTTGAACCCAACTTATATCGCCTTTTTTAACATTCGGACATGGTCTGGCGATCGCCAGACCATGTCCAAATGTTAAAAAAGGCGATAAGTTGGGTCAAAGTTACTCGGACTAGTCCGAATGGCAATAAGTTGGGTCCAAGTTACTCAGACTAACAGCAGTGTAGCCTACTGTGAACAGCTCTATGTTTTAATCGCAGACTTTATAAAATTATAATTTATAAGTTTATCATTGTATTTTTTTTAAATCCTCCAAAGCCACAGATCACTAAGAAAAAAAAAATTAAATCTACTTCAATAAAAAAGTAGGAGTTGATTAAAAACATAAAAGTAAAAAAACTATTATTAAATTTAAAAGCCCACAGTGCTGATTCCAATTTCGATCCCCAATGTTCAACCAATCGAGCCACAAAGCACTCCAGTTGGAATTGCATTTATACACGTCATAATAGATTCACAGTGCTTTTTACAGTGCCTGAAATAAGTAGCCATTGAAAATCGTGTTGCAGTTCCAGTAATAATAATAGCGAGTAGCGACTACGTAATTTCAAACCAGCCAATAGCTAGGCTTGCATCATCAGGAATAAACACTTTCTTTCCGTTTCAGGTAGTAATGATGCACCCATTGTGATTCATGATGAGCTTTGTGAAATTTACCAAATATTGACATACACTTCATGAAATTTACTTGTGTTTTCAGGACTGGTTGGGGCCGAGCAGCGCATCGCTGGCGAGGCTTGAACGAGTCAAGGCAAATGTGCACAACATCACACCCACCCTGTCCAAAAACCTACGGCCATCCTCGGCAAGCCGCTCCCACAAGACATACACTGAGCTGGACACGGCTCCGCCCCTTGCATCCAAGTCACTGCATGCAACGGCATCAGCTTGGTAATTAGAGTTAGGCTGTGTCCCAATGACATGGCTATGGCTAGTAGTTGTACATGGGCCTATGGAAGCAGCTGAATCCAGTCCTCATAGACTCATGTGTTATTGCAAGCCGTAGTCACAGGGCACTGCCCTTATCACATAGTTCAGGAGAAGCCTTAAGTTGGCCTCAGGTCGACCTGCAATTTTCTTGCGCCGTGACAGAACCATCGGCATCAAGCACAAAAGTCATACTCAGGCCACAAAACTGAGAAATCGTGTGATTATCATGGAACAAGCGACATCTCGACACAGAGTAATCATAACAATGCTCACGTCACCTACAAGGAGACGACGATTCACAATAAAATGAGATGATCCAGATTTGCGCATGACATCGTAACTTCACACAGGTCGACTGTGATTGATTTCCTCCTGTCGGGAAACACGCAGAATTCCGTCGCGGCACAGAATTTGATATTTTTCTACACTTGCAACTTGATTTTTTTTAGTGCCGACTAATGCTGATCGTCTTAATATCGTCGCAGTTACACTCAGGTCGCAAAAAATCGGTGATTGAAATTTTCCAAACAGTCGTGGCTGAGACGCAGCTTGATCCTGAAAGGCAGTCGCCGACTGTTCTGTGTCGTCACAAGGTCGACCTGAGGCTTTGTGCAAGCAATATCTGGCTCTCGAATAGTCTGGTGCTTTTCCACAATTTTGAATAATATATGGCGCCAAGCAACACTGAATGACAAAGAGTTTTCTCCAAATAAATATGTAACCAAAGTCTTTTAGTCACAAGGTTTGCGAGAAATATTCATATGAGGGTGTGTTTTGCTTTTGGAATGTCTCAGAATTCTTTTCTTTTCTACTCCTAAAGGGGTAGCGATGCCTCCATCCCAGAGCTCATTAAGCAACAAGGGGAGCGACAGACCCAGCGATCAGCCAGCACCAAGGGGCCACGACGCCCCTGGAGCGGACGCAGGGTGCCCCCTAGTCCCACCCAGCGAAGGCCTGCCTCTGAGACCAATACTGGTGAAGTCGAGAATGAGTCCCAACGCAGGCTGAACGCATTTATGAGCGGTGAGTAATTGACAGGGTACTTTATGAATGCAAAAATAGCACTGGGTAGGACACGCTTTTTAAAGGCGTCTACAAAAGCTTTCCGAAGTTAGCGTGGAAAAAATGCTGGTATAAACATAGCAGAGCGGCTGTTAATTTATCGCTGAAGAGTAAAGTCTTAGCTTCAGCTGAATTATAAGCGAGGTGTTAAAAGCTTTTAAAAGCCTGTCATTTGTCTTTGACTTGTGTGTACTGGTACTGCTAGAAACTGTCAGAAAATCCAGTTTTTGCACATGTGTCCATGAGCAACCCACTTTGTCACGATCATTTTCCTCAGTACTTGTGAGAGGAGATGGGGGTCATGCACACACTTTAAACTCTGGAACTGTTCAAAGTTTCTTGGGTTGAAATCTTCTTTTCTACTTGTAAAATACCTTGCAGGAACCCTGTCAGACAATCTGTGTATACACTTGTGTCCTTCAGCAATCCACTTTGTCACAATCATTTTTGTCAATACTTGTGAGAGGAGATGTGGGTCATGCACAAACTTCACCTTAAAAAAGGTTTCTAGATGACACTCACTTAAAAAAACGATTAAACTGAATGCTCATTGAATTTACTAATATTTGAGTTTTAATTTTGAAACTTGAAACTACAGTGAAAGGAGCCAGGTATGATCCCAAGAGCCGTCCGCCAAGCGGCAGGGGCACCAGGCAGACGACAGGCACAGCCTTGGCCCAGCTGATGGTGGGTCTGGAGGAACTCAGCAAGCAAGACGTGGAGAGCATGTTGGAAGAGTTTATCCAGAACCAGCCTAGCCCTGGGAGACATGAACTGGGTAAGATCAGATTCCACGGAGCTGCTAAGCACAGAATAATATTTGCTTAGTAAATATGGGCTACCAGCCGACGTGTTGTAGATACACATTGCTTGCAACTGGCTGAATGCCGATTGTTGACGGAGCAAATAAATTTGCTCATCAGTATTTGAAAGTGGGCCTGGGGCTCATTATTCCATGGAAAAAGGTTTAATTGAAAATATAAACTTTGCAAATGTTTTGTGATGTTGGTCTGAATGCAACTTGTTGTTCTTGCCTATTTAATAGCCCGGCTCTCCGCTATGTATGGGGACCATCCGTCACTGGTTGCCCCTCCCCCGGCCCCCCACGGATCCCCGATCCCTGATCAGGAGTTGCTTCAAGAAAACGAGAACGGAGAGACGCTGGGATCTGAGACTGAAAACGGGGAATCTGATGTGCCCAGTCAGTTTACGCCTTACAAGGAAATACAAGTCAAACAGGTAAAAAAAAGACAGATTACGTTCAGCGTTTTTGCTAAATGCATAGTTAGGCCAAGTAAAAAAAAAATTCTCGTCTGGGCTTTGTGACAAAGGGGAGGAGGCTGCCTCTTTTGTTTTCACCCAAGATGGTGGATTTTCCAAGATAGCAGATGGATTCTTCCATTTTCTTGATTCTTTTGCTGATACTTTTGTGTCCAAAGGTGCTGTCACCCTTTCTAGCAGATTTTGAACTTGCATACATGTACGAAGCTACAATTTTGCTGGAAACAATTTTAAACACAAAATATCTTGCAAATGTTTGATTAAATAAGAACAGGAGAAAACAAAAGGAGCAGGCGGAAAAAAGGAAGCAAGCAGGGACGAGAAACTGGTTAATTTTTTCACTTTGCCTCGAGCATAATTGTGTGTATTTAAAAGAGTTTAAGAAGGCATATGGGGGAATGCGATCTGGTACACGGTACCCTGTGGAGACATGTGCACAATAGGGAACAAAAGATTGTATACGTCTCCACAGAGCAATTTCTACAGGTGAATACATCTCCATAAGGTTATCACGAAACAGATATATGGATTTTACTCAAAAACTAGGAATTTCAAAGGTGTGTAGATCAGTCGCAAATTGAAGTAGGTAATGTAAGGGATATTAAGTCCAAATTTCAGCCCAGAAATCAATTCTAGTTAAAATATGAGCATTTTGAAAGTACCCTTTTAAACTTGAAAACTTTAGTACACGAGAGCAAAGAAATTACTCCACAAGGATACAAATTCCAGTATGTATGTGTTCTGACATAAAATCTCTTCATAACTTTAATCGTTTTATTTGTTCACAGCCATCCGCCCCTCAGCTTCTGCGACGCCCCACCCCTGAACCAGTCAGACTATCTATGACAATCCCTGGGGTGGGAGATGATATGAGCGAACCAGAGGATGACTTCATTTATTCAGACAGGTAATGGACTGATCAGTTTAGCACCGACCACTGCGCACGTGGGTCACATCACGTGGGCCTTTCTAGTGCAACGCTGTATGTTCCGGATGCGCGCGTCATACGAATGTCCACACATTTCGGACATCAATCATCAAAATATCATGGTCATAAAATGGTGCAAATAGCAAAGTCAAAGACAACCACCGTCTCTGCCCTTACATGTTGGGTGAAGCAATTGTGATAAAGTGTCTTGCTGAAGGACACTCAAAACTGCAACCTGACAGGTGGGACATGAACCTACAATCCTCACAATTGCCCTCAAGATCTTGCGTTGAATGCAACAGACTGTTAGGCAACAGCACCACATAAACTGTAATACTCTAGTATGTAAAGTCTGAAATCATTCATAACATACTTAAGTAGTTCCGTCTCATGGAGTGATGTGGTCAGTAAAGCAGGAGTACAGGTAAATGGTAGTTTTTCTTTTTCAGATCTCCAGAAGGATCACCACACGCCAAACAACCAGCAGACCTGGAGCTTCAAAGCGTGACCAGCGAAGTCTTATGTCAACTTGATGAGCCCCCTGACAGCCCTTCTCCCCACCACTACAGGGACCAGCCCACGCCCCTCACTGCTGACAGACAGGTCAGGGTTATCTCAAAAAGCTCACCAGCGACAAAGGATGGAAATATCACACAGGATGCCTCTGATCCCAAAACAGGTCTCAAGAAGGACTTTCAAACTAAGCCTAGAAGTAGACACTCGGTTCACATCATGGAGGAGCACAACGTCACCATCGACATCACGCCCCGCGACGTCCTTAAACCTTACGTCCCGCGACCGCCAGCTGGGAAGAGGCGACCCCAAAGTGCGGTCACTGGAAGCAGAAGCCAGAACGGTCCAGAGGCAACTGCCAACACCCTTGGTTCTAGAGTTCCAGCCTCTCCGACTGCAAACCGGGCAGCTGCCAGACCAAAATCTGCAAGACCCCGAGTTGCCAAAATGCCGACGGTTGGAGTCGAGTATGGGGATGATTCGGAGAAGACGGAAGTCCCACTTTCTAGATCGGAGAGCCTTCCCCTCAGTAAGCCAAGATCTGAAGTTGAGACAATGATGTCCCGCATGGCTCTCTCGGATGAAGAAACTGACGACTTAAGGCCATCATCAGTTACCAGACAGGTATCCCAGTCGTCCTTCAAGAAGAACTACTATGAGCTCTCTAGAGAAGCTTCCGAGCCCACTCGGGCGGCTCGCCTGACAACTACGACCATCCAGTTCGGAGATCAAGGACCCCTTGAGGAGAAGTCGGTCTCCGTCATCAAGCAAGCCTCGGAGCCTTTCAGGTCTGCCCTACTGAGGCAAGACAGGAGGAAAGACGTAGTTGAGGGACTGAGGGGGAGGTCGGGAAGCGCGAGCGAGGACGATGCGGCTCATCGGACGCATAGCGCCATCAGGAGACCAACTAGGTCTGCTAATGGTGTAAGTATAGCACACAGTAGTATTGGATTTGTGCATAACCCTAGAGGGCGCTGTGGCGTAACACGTTTGCTGGGGCTAATTTCATAGAGATACTAAGCACAGAAATTCGCTATGCAGAACAATTATTAGCTCAGTTTATTAACCTTGCAGTCATTCCGTTTCCCTGATTCTCTACAAAACGCCCAGGTTGGCACTGCAGCCCCACCCAGACCCGAGTCAAGAATGGGTCATAGACAGGGTGATACAGATCCCAGCACCACCCCAGGGGAGACTGAAGCGGTGGAGAAATCAGAGCCAGAGACGGATGCCAAACCATCCCTGGTACGAAAAGTTCTGTGTAGTTTACCCAACTGTTGAATGTTTTTTTAGTTAACAACTACCTGAATCCTGTTCAGTCCAGTGAAATAGTCAAGTCCATCACAAGTCTATTGCATGTAAATCACAAGCCCATCGCAAGTAAATAACAAGTAAATAACAAGTCAATCGCAAGTAAATCTCAATAAATCATTAGTAAACCATATTCTTTCTACAAGTCCAGTAACAACTAAATAACAACTGTTTTTGTTAAAGTTCATTTGAATAGCTTGTGACTTGACTCAGGACTGGAGGACTTGTGATGGACTCGACTACAACACTGGTCCAGTCCCTAATAAAATGCCCTAATCAATTTCTGGGAGTGTTTAGCCAAAGACACCAGCAATTGAGGACCACGTATCCACACGGCCAATATGAGTACCTTTGCATGTGAACACCTTATTTCATCACAAACCAAACAACTCAAAGTTTGATTCCTAACTTTTTATTGCCAAACTTTTGAATTTAAGTTGGAATCAACCATACCACAGTGCAACTCAGGCCGCATCCAAATCTCTAGACTAGAGTTTTTCTGAAGTCTTTACCATTTACAAACTACGTGAGAGCATGCTGACAAAAGACATAGACAAAAGACAAAGCAGGGGCTTACATTGGTTTGTCGTTTCTTTTAGGCATCAACAAGGCCTGTCTCTGCTCCAAGTAAGCGACGGAGTGCAGAAACTACAACGGGACAGAAATGTCCCGGACGAATTGGAAGACGTCCACATTCTGCTAAACCACCTGTAAATAACATTCATATTTTTAAGAAATTGTTTTTGGCAAATGTAATTTATACTTTTGTTAAAGTTATTTTTGATCCAAAACCTCCCCCAATAGACCAATCCAGTAAGCCCCGCCCACACGTGGGGGGCAACAAGCCGTGTGCTCCTTGAATGCCACACTGTATGATCCAGTTGCTCGCATCATACCACGTGCATGAAATTTTGCTCTGATTTGTCTCAAAAAGAACAACTGAATTTAACACAAATCCTGTTTTGTTAATTTGGCATCATTCCTCAAACTTTCAGTAAAATTTCACATCAGTAGATATTTTCTAATTGAGTCTATCGTTTCTGATTGGCAGGTTGGATCGGACATCAGTAAACTTGGCAGCAAGTCTAGCACGGCCATTGTGGTATCACCCAAGAAACGGTGAGTAAAATGTTTAAGATTTGAAGGTTTGCATGGTGAAGATACAATGTAGCTATAACATCAATTTTCCGGTTGCACCGTGTGACAAATCTTTATTGTGAGTTTGTGAGGTCCCGAAAAGAACCAAGGAAACTCAACATTTTGGAGAGTATCTTCTGCTCGCTATCAGTCTCCTCATGACGGCTGAGCATACTGTCCGAATAGTTCAGTCCCCCCCCCCTTAACTTTATCTCTTTGATAAAAAGTTTAATGTCTTGATATCTTGTTTAGTTAATAAACCAAATTAAGGATGTTGAAAATGTTGCCCGTAACAAGGCAGTGTGTCAGTTATATTGAAGTCTGGAATCGTTTTTGTTGCTGGATTTCATTAGCCATATATAATTTGAATTTTGTCCGGATATTGTAGGGCTGTTGAGTACAAGAGGAATCGGGAGGCAGTCAAAGCGCTGCGAGACGGCACGCTCAACAAGGAGAAGAAATATGCAAAGCAATGTAAGTCTGGAAAGCACGCCCTCTAGTGGCCAAAAAGCAAAGTTACTGTTACGTTTGAGCAAAAGCTATAGTTATTACCATAGTTTGACTATCTTTGCTTAACCAATACGTTAGTCGACCAAAGTTGGACTAGTCTGGTGGACTATTCAGGACCAGCCTACCAGTACCAAGGTCCGTCATATCGCTGGTTACAGTAGCAGCACGCATCATAACCTACAGCAAAGACCAAGACAGAAAAGTTGAATGCTGAGTTTTTGACCATTGCTTGACAAGAGAGTTTTGCTTTTATATGCACAGTGTATGTCATGATCAACCACTAGTCCACTAATGGTAATTTTGTTGTGTTTATGTCTTTCGTTCCATAATACATCAGTTGTTGCGGTGGATGACCCAAAACCACTTATCCGCAGACTGAGAAAACCAGCGTCTGAATCCTCTGAGGAAGAAGAATCTCCGGTACAGTATTCTACTCTTCATCCCATTAAGTACAAGATTTCTCCATCACTTTCTAAAATAAGCCACATCTGAATCTCATGGTTATGGCTAGCTATAACACACGTGTCTATGGGCAAGCCGTAGGGAAGTAATGTGGACGCAGCCTTAGTGTTATCTTTAACTATATCCCTTTAACCTTTGACCCCAAACCAATCACAACCTTTCCATCAGTTTTCCAAATTTGCTAAAACCAAGGGCGTTTTTTTTATTCAAAAATGACCAAAATCCATAATACTTTTCCAGCAGTTGATTGGCAATTAATTTAAAAAGCTGTTTCGGCCCACTGGGCATTTTCCCATCAAAAAATCAATATCTAGCCATTAAAGTTTATCACATTTGCGAAAACACATTTTGTCTTCACGGTTACGTTGTGCCCTCAACGCAAGTGAGACAAAAACTGCTTGCAATATGGCTTTAGGGAAAGGATTTGGTGTTTTGACATCATACTTTAAAATATTGAAAGAATCATGTGTTGATTTATTGACCATAAAACATGTGGGAATATGTTTTAATCTTGTATCACATCGGAACAATTTTTTTCCTTTGAGCTTCTCAGATTTTGATGAAAATTGGTTAGAGTGTTGCATCTACAGAAAGAAAATTGAACGATTCAAATAAAATTTCACACCCTCTGGTCAAACAATCACTGAGTTAAAAGCCACCAAACAGTTGACATTTTTGTATGTATATTGAGATTATTTTTTAAAATTACTTTGGAATAACATTTCTCTTGCATCCTTAGAAAGTCGATTTAATTTCTGACTTTTGGATCGACTGAAAGTGTTAAAAAGAACAAAAGGCATATCGGATCATTTTCTTTTCAAGCATTTTGTTCGTTTCCGATAAAAACACCACTTAAAATCCAAAGAAGAATGTTTAAAACCTAACCTGTTGAAAGTTTCAGCTCAGTGAATATTACACTTGCGAAAAAACTGTGAAAATCCATGCACAACCTTTTGATTACAAAATGCGATTTTGTCGATATAACTCTTTATTCCAAAAATTAGTCAATTGACTGATTATTGGAAATCACCTACATTTCTTGATTTCTTCTCTAAATGACAGCAAGCCAGACGGAATAATATCACGGGGTGTTTAGTACAAGTACAATCTTTAATCCAAGTAAACTTTTTGATTAAAATTCGCTAGGCTACTTTTGGGAAATGCAAATGATCCTATGTGCCTTTAAATCCACTTTCCATCCAGTGATTAATAATTAGCTTGCGTATAAGTCTGTTTAACCTGTGTCTGACCTCCGAACCTAACTGTTAACCTTTGCCCTTAAAAGGAAATGTTGCCGGCTTTGGAAAGAATATTGTATCCAGACGCCACTTCACCGGTTGTGTACAAAGTCCTTGGAGAGTCTACAAATTTTTTAAGTATTTCCTAACAAAATTGGAAATGTTTCTCAGTCCCAGATTCATGTCTTTTCAACATTTTTGCAATGACTGACCTTCATTGAGGTAATATTTGATGAAAAAAAAGGCGTCAGGACGTAACATTCTTGCCCCAGCTTTTTAGTGATTTGGATATTATTTTTGTATGAATTCCATCGCAGGTTGTTCCCTTAAGTGCCCAGGAACAAGAAATGGAAGATATGCATCAACAATTACTGGAAAGAGGCGTTAACGTATCCGCACAAACTTTAGCAAGGTGGGATAGCGCATGCTTTGTTTTTGTAAAATTTTATACGCTTATTTAGTCCGTTTAAAATTGGGAGATAAAATATCTTCCTCCCGTAAAGGTTATAGAGGCCATTTGCAAACATTCCAAAATGAAACTGTCAAAATATCATGAAATATCCTACTTGATTGTAAGTAAATAATATTTATTTTTGATGAAAGAGTAATCATCATCATAATGTCGCGATGGTTAGGATCAAACCATTGTGCTTGCAATGGAACCTACATGTATACTGGGTGAGTCAAAAAAAGCGGAACCCAAATCAAAAAAACATATATTTCATGTTTAAAAAAATGTGTAGCACCAAACATAATAATGACTGGAAAGCCAATTTCATAAGCTGCTGTTAGATGAAAGAATTACTGAAATTGCTCAATCCGTTTAAAGAATATAACCATTTAAACGCATTGACCCTAAAACCTGTTTCATCCAAAAACAGCAGTTAAGTGTGTATTCTGACTGTTTGGAACAACAAAGAAAATGACACAGAATACTTGTTTCAACAACTGTTAAAGACTGTAGTACACAATATCTTTATTAACAACCCTGGTTAGGCAAACAATATGATTGATATAATCCACTTTTTCTAAAAGACGGGCCTGCAAAAGGACCTTGTTGAATATTTTTAACTTTTAAACTGAGGTTTTATCGCTGGTGATGTTTGAAGACAATTGTGACAACGATTCTTGAAATCGCATTTTTGGACGAAAGAGGTTTTAGGGTCATTGTGTTTAAATGGTGATATTCTTTGAACAGATTGAGCAATTTCAGTAATTTTTCATCTAAAAGTAGCTTATGATATTAGCTGTCCAGTCATTATTATGCGTGGTGCTACATATTTTTTTAAATACAAAATATACTTTTGGGGGTTTGGGTTCCTTTTTTTTTGACTCGCCCTGTATTTTGCATCGAAAAAAACAGCGATTCACTTTTACAGTTTTTTTTTAAGTATATCTACTGAACTGAAACATCAACAGGTTGCTTTTCAATAACCTGCTCAAGATTTATCGTGTTGTTTTTGCTCGAATCGGCAAAACAACCCACAAAATAGGACAAGAAATACAAACTGTTGTTTTGTTTGTACAGGGGACTTTTGCCGCCCACCCAGCGAGGGTACGACGACTGCATGGCCGAACTTCCTGAGAAATCCTCCCTTGGGTAAGAGACGTGTGACATATTAATTTATAATTTGACTGTTTGAAATAAGATTATAAAGCCCAAGTTGTTTGGGGTTTCAGTAAACGGCTAAATAATCTCCCCATAGACCATTCACTGTCAAGCTACAAGCTCCCCTATGGGGCCAGCACTGACCTCAAAGATTATATCCGAGTCCTCTAAATTACACTGTTTACTCCGGACAAATTATATGACTGGACAATGGACAAGTTAAAACAACCTTAGCTCAGCGGCGTAGCGGCGTAGCCAGGGGGTTGTAGAGTGGCAGATTGCAACGGGATGGCAAGTTAAAAGCAAAATCGGGATGCTGATAGAAGCAAAAGCAGGACGAAAATAGTATTTTGCGACGGGTAAACAAAACCCCCTGGATACGCACCTGCCTCAGCTTTCACTGACCGATCACTACTACTTACCCAAACAAACCCCTGGCTACGGGCTTGCCTCAGCTCTGACTGACCAATCGCTACTAGTAACCCAATTAGGGATATAGTTGTGTGCGGTACTTGAGTTAATCAATGGCACAGAGGTGACATTTATTTCCGACAATGAAAATGTTGACAGGAAGCACAGATTTATGAACAGAGATGCCACTTTTCCGGTTTTAAATGGAATTCCGGGGTTTTTTAAATCTCACAAAATTTCAGTTTTTCCGACCGTCAAAATAAACCGGGAAAAAATGAAGAAAAAATGTTGAAATGCGTTGATTTTTACCTCCTTGGCGCTCTCAATTTAGATATAGGCGCACGCACGGCACAACGTTAAAATCAGTCTTTTTGTTGCTGAGCCTGCATGCGATACAGGTGGCCAACGTACTTGCACACAGAATACAATGGCGCCTCGCACGTGCCTCACCGCCTGCGGGCATGTTGTGCGTATTGCTCACAGAGCATTCAGCCTGGAAATCAAGTCTATCATTTCAGTTGTCGGTGGTTTCCGATCGCAGTGATATATGTGAATACAAAAAACGCCGGGTACCAACCATGTTTTCATCGAGCGCATCGCGTAGTGCAAACTGCAAAGGTCATGTACACCGACAGCAGTGTTGTGGAACCGTGCATGTTTTGTGTTGAATATGACGTTGGAAATTGGGGTAGGCAGAATAAATATTAGGAATATGGGAAAAGTCAAAGTGATCGAACGAACCGACAGCTTAAAGGCCATAGAAGCAAAATTAAAAAAATAAACAGAACTGGGCTTGGCTACAAGATAAAGATGACAACGGGGACTTTGTGTCGGACTCAGAGTGGCTTTTTCACACACAAAAAGTTCCGTTTTTTTTCAAGCAGCCGTTCCGTTTTTTTCAAGCAGACCCAGTTCCATTTTTTCAAGCTTTCCCTGTGGCATCCCTGTATGAAACTTTCTTGACATTTGAAAAATATAATTGCAGTTCTTGTTGCCAGTTTTTTTTTCCTGAGGGCTCTAAACTTTAGCTGTATAGTATTCAGTTTTGATCAATCTATCACACGTCAATGTTAATTATCTCTCCGCCACGAATTGGTGCACAATTTCTTACTATTTTCTTCTTCTTTTTTGACAGATTGTTGAATCAACCTGAGGCTTGGCTAGGGAAGCTGTTCCGAAAATACAAACTGGCAGAAAAGGCGTTGGGTAAGTGCAGTTGTTATTTACAAAAATTACGGGAGTGATAAGGTCAAGTAAGCAATATACTAGTTTCCTCGTCCCCGCCTCCTTCCTTTTTCTCGCCCGCCTCCTTTTTCCTCCCTTTTTGTTAAAAGTTCATACACTTGCAATATATTTTGCAAATGTTGTCAATATATTGTCTTTTAATATGTTTCCAAAAAATATTGTAGCTTTGTAGAAAGGATAACAGCTGTTTTAGACCCAATTTTGTATCAGCAAAAGGATCAAGAAAATGGAAAATTCTATCTTAGAAAATTCACCTCCTTCAGTTTAAAAAAAAAGGCCTGGAGATTTTTTTACTCGGCCTAATCGTGTGGTTGATTACACCAGGACAGTCAGACATTTCAGTCTAGTGAATATCTGTACAAGTGATTTTATCTACAACATTTCAAAAGAAAACAAAATAACTTGTGCAATTTGCTGTAATTTAAAGAATTCATGTAACATTGAAATACAATGTATAATATGGAGCAAAATATAAAATGGAAGTTTTATTTTGAAAACAGACCTGCAAAAATTTATTAATATCACGTCCTTCAGTGTGTTTAATAACATTGTGTTTTGATAGTCATTCAGGCAACTTAAGTACTGAAATCATTTGTCCAAAAGAGATGCCAAAAAATGGAAAAAAGTATCAAATTTCTTAACTGAAAAGCACAATTTCTGAACACTGCTGCCCTTTTCCAACATTTACCACCCTATCCATATGTCGATAAAATACTTTTAACTGGCCAACGATTGTTCAAGAACTTGGATGTTTGCGACACATTGCCTGAAGGCAGAGTCTAGAAAACCAAATTAAATCGAGGTAACATTTTGAGTTTCCGGGGTATGCGAGGGCTGTGAATAAAATTGTGGCGGTTTGGAATAACTGAACTAATCAATGTTCTCAAAGCTTAGTTACATCGCAGACGGCTACGAAAAAAAAATTGCACCCAAAGTAGTCCCTCAGGGTGTGTTTGACTTGTAATTGGAAAATTTCATCAGCGAATGTGAATTCAGTTGCCCCGTTGCGATCTATTATTAAACAAGTATTCGTCTTTCTAGAAATGGCCGATTTAAGAGTGCGTTACGGGTTTTCACTCTATAAAATAAGCAATTACATTGGTCGTTGTTTTAGGAACAAATAAAATATCCGGCCGGGCTAGTTTGGAACACCCCACTTAATTTCCTCTCATATATATTTCCACTTAGTTTTTTTTTTCAGGACCTCAAAAAAATACACGTAAATAGATCTGATGTACAACAAGACTTTGAGATTTTGGCCATTTGCGCTTTTTTTTGTCTCTGTGTCCACTGAGTCATTTTTATCATGAGCCATCAACAAAGAGAATTTAAAAAAAAAAATTGTAAATCCTTCCCGTAAGGCCGAGCGGCATGTTTTCTTGCCTCTTTTTTTAGGAAGCAAGATTTTTTTTACTCTATAAAGGGGACTAGAGAAAACAACCGGAAGGGTTTAAGTGGCGGAAAGTGGCGGAAAGACGCTGAACAAATCTGTTCGTTGACTCAACTGCCTTTGGGGAAAAAGGAAAGCATGCATTTGTTTTTTCATCTCTATTAGTTTTCATGCAAGACAAGTGCCTTTCCGCACGCGTAATTTTTTTTCCTAGGAGGGTTAGGGGCAATGTTATGAATAATTCAGTTTTTCCTTTGAATCATTGCAAGACTTAGGTTCTCGTTCTATTTTCCCCTTAATTTAAAATTATCTCAGTGATAAATTTGGAGAAGAAAAATAGCTGATGAAAATGAGCAGCGACGACGTGGATTCGAACCAGGGATCTTTGTATCCATAGCTCATCTCGCTATCCACTAGGCTACTGTGTGGTAGCTCGACGACAACCGTTCTTTAAAATGCTTTAATGTATTGTAACTAGTTGAGTAACTAACAACAATGCTGTTGATGTCATTGTCGTTCTCATGGATAAACATGAATTATTCATGACATTGCCCCTAACCCTCCTAGGAATAATAATTACGCTTTCCGCACATGGCTCTGAAGAAGCCTTTGGGGTCCTGCATACAGATTTAATGTTTTCAGCTCCGGGCTCATTTCGTTAATGGCTTTTGTAGTTTTATTTTGACTGGAAATGTAATTCTATTTATTTATTTTTGTACATGCAATGTACATATTTCCCCTAGGCTTTTAGCTCTAAAGTGAAGGATTTATATTACATGTATTTAAGTAAGCCATGAGTTAAAGAAAACGTATTCTGAAGACAATTACTTGTGATTGAAATATGATCTGACTTGTGACTTTACTTGTGACAGACCTACGATTGACCTGTTATGACTTGGGATTTCTTGTGAATGACTTGTGATTACTTATGATTGCACATATTCTGTGTGTGATTTGACATATGATTGACTCGTGATTAGTTTTGTGCTTGACTTGTGATTCGACTTGTGATTGACTATTGAGTGACTGTTCTTTGATCTGTGATCGACTTGAGATTTCATATGTAATGGATTTGCAATCACTTGTGATTGACTTGCGATTAACTTGTGATTGACTTACAATTGACTAGTGATTTGACTTTTCATTGACTTGTGTTCAACTTGTGACAGACATGTGATGGATTTTTGATGACTCGTTATTAATCTTACGATTCACTTATGATTGCATTGTAACTCGACTTGTGCTTTGGCTTGGGATGGACTTATGATCCCAAATTGATAGACTTGCAATGACTTACCAGACTTGTGATGGACTGGACTGCAACCCTGCTAACATTGTCTTCCCTTTTCTCTGTCGGGCAGTGATTGCCAACGAGAGAATGGCCATCCAGGCGGACGCTGAAGCCAGGCAGGCAGCCAGAGGACCAGCCAAGAAAAAGAAGAAAACTGGCAAAAGAAAAGTGAAACACAAGAGGAGTAGTACAGTGACGTGAATTGAGCAACAGCCACCTCTTCACCTCAATTCAACCACTGTGCAGGAAACCAATGGCACACTCTTTGTACTTACCAAGTTTCACTTCAAGCCCAATGCATAGTAATAGCGGCTGGGCTAAATCTTCCTCAATCCTGCAGTATCTTACAAAAACCAATTGGTGGATTTTGAAACATCTGGGTTTGGCTGGCAAGGGGGTGGGGTCTAAGCCCGTACCCCATTGTGCCCCTTCCCTCCCACTTCAAAATTCGAGAAGGCATTTTCAGAAGGTTCATGTTTATTATCTATAGGGATTTGATTATTATTTGATTTCATTGAAGTTTGTTTGATCCAGAAGCTCCCCTACAATGCACATCTTATTTCATTTCATTTGTTTGAATATTTCTATATTTTAACATAATTTTTTTAATTTTGAATGAGGTGTACAAATCAGCAGAGTAATTTTACCTTAAAAAAATAACGATTTGTATAAAAATGGTTGTCGAGTAAATAAAAAAATAAAAAATTTAAAACACAGAACTACCAATTCCAGCATTATCTAATGTCAGTGATAGCCTTTAAGAGCTTAGTGAATAAACCTGAAAATGTATTTTTCAAATTGTATGCATACATCATGTAGTGATGGTCAAGGAGATTACAGACTAGGAGTTTGGGATCATTTCTCTGAATCATTAATTAGATATCATGGTTGATTGGCTCTGCCACGGACATTGCACTGGAATTGCCTACTACAGAAATGCATTGGTCAAAATTCATACGAATCAGCTATAACGACAGGTTTTGTCGTCGGCAAAACAAAAATGCCCTCAATTTACGCAGATTGTTAAATTGATGTTTATGGTGCGTCACTTTTGTAGATAATTTGTGAAATGAATGCTCGGTAATTTAGCTGCAGGGCCTATCATAAAAATTCATCAGATTGACGAGATGATTTAAGCTAAAACGATTTTGTTTGGTCCCTGGTCATCTTTGAAAGGTGTTGAATACAGAGATATACATTGTATACAATGTCTATACTTTGTTGGAACTGTGCCAATGTACAGGATGACATTCAGACGCCTTGACTGGCTGGGGATTTCTTTTCATCTCAATTCGTACAGGTGGATTCGCCCACTCATATCTCGGTCGTACAATGATAAATGTCATTAAAATTTCATGTTCCTTTAAATGAAACTTCAGTTGATCTATTTATCCTTAGTCCATTCCGGTTAAAGCCTGAGTTTTTTGGGGGTTTTGTAATTAATCATCGCAATTTTTTAATTCGCTATAGGATATGGGATTTTCCTTTTAACGGCCAGTGGAAAAGGGTTAACATTTTGTCGGGATCCTACGTTTGCTGTTTGAACAGTCACAGACAGTCTCAAAATCAATCCTCTTCCCCTGCCATGCCTTTTGCAAATGCTAGTCAATAACAGTCCGATCGTATTTTAAACAAGCACTCTGACTAGTCAAATTCAGTCAACAGACAAAAGCAGGCAGGAAGTATGCACAGCTGGCTTATCAATCGCCTACAGTCAAAGCATAGCTGTATCATGGTCACAGCCAGTCAATCCTGCTTTATGTAGGCTGGGAGCTCTTAACTGTTGAAAACAGTCACTTGATTGATTTTGACTGAAAGGACCACTTGGCACAGAATGCATGTTTGTATAAGAATTTAATATCTGTCAAAAGTCGCAAGGGTACATCCAAATTTGTAAAAAAACAAAAACAAATTGATGTCAAACGTACGCGATTTAGCTGAAAAACCATCACACAAAACTAGACATACATGTACATGTATTTATGTTAACGGTTGTCCCCTTTAGTTGAAAGCACATAAATTCACATGATTATGAGTATACAGTGACATCTCTATAAGTCAAACTCTGATAGCTCAAAACAACTGTTAAGTCAAACAAAGAATCCATTGCCTTCACTTCAGTAGTATAACAATGATATACAACCCTGCTTAACTCAAAACTCTGCTGAAGTCAAATGTTGAACCTGTTCCCTTGAGCCGAGGTTTGGCTGATCAAATTTCACTGTACAATCTCTTTAAACAATTACTCCAGAAATCACAAAAACAACTCTGAATCCGACGTGAAAAAAACCCACAACAGTAGCTTGTGATCACCTACAGGTGCTGTACAGGTTTTCCCTCCCTAATTGCTCCGAAATTTGCCTTGAGCACAGTAAGCCAGTATTAAGTGGAACCCACGCGGAGTGGCGCACGTATGCACTGAGCTCAAAATAGATTGACGCAAAAAAAGCCGAGGTTGATCAAAATTAGATTCACCAGCCGATGAAAAACAACAAGAAAGAGCAAGATTGTTGATCCTCAGTGTTCCATCCAGGTTGTCTTGTAAGATATTTGTCACGAGAAAAATATAATTATTAATAAGTAAACTATAAGGATATAGGCTAGTTATCCCTGGCATTATTACCTACAAATTTATCTTTCAATATTAATCTTTCAAGATAAACAAATATTTTAGTTGTACTCCTTCTAATTATGATATCCTCCTACCATGCTCCTACATTGCCAGTCAACCAACCAAACAGTGCGAATTGACCAATTAGAGCAGAGTTTTAAGTCAGGTGACTGTGATAGCTGTTCACAAGCATTGTGAGCATGCGCAAACTAAAGATGCCATAGCAACATCAAGAACAGTGCGTTCAGTTATGAATATTATACTGAAATTGAATTGACCAATGGCGTAGCGACTGGGCGGGGTTCAGGGTTGAACACTCTGTACCAACTTATTTGAAAATGAACAAAACAAAAGGAGAAGAGCAAAGGGGATACAAACTGAATCGCCGGCTTTGTCTCTAGATATGGCATCATTTTTGGCTTCAAAAACCACCTGAAGATATAACCATGAACACTGCCACCTAGTGGCAGGGTATCCAGCTCCCCCCCCCCCCCCTCCCCCGAGGTTTTCCACCGGTAAAAGGTATTGACTGTTAGAGTATTGTATTTTCGTGGGTTTTTTTTAGTCTTCCCCAAAGCACGATATTGATCCGAGTCGCAAGCGCAGACACTTCATGAAGTAACAATTACCTTTTCACTTATTTTTGGCAAAACTGATGTAATTATGCTAATCAATTCACAACACGCGCGCGCCCCTGCGTGCGTGCACGCGTACGTGACTGATATGAATATTCCTAGCCATTATCTCGCAAAGTAAAACAGTCGGGCGCACGTACGGCTGGTTTGCTTCGCGTTTCGCACTGTTTTTGCTCTTCGGTGTTCCGTGCAACGCAAAACCGAGTCTCTGACATGATTCGCTCGATTGTGATTGACTGCGGCTCGTATTCACAAAACCACTCATTACTTTCAGCTCAAGATCTTAAAGTTGGAGGCTTAAGTGTGACAGAAAATACTCCATATTTCTCTGGATGTAAGATCAGTGATACAGTGTCCTCCACGAGACGTAAACACTTGTCTTGCCTTAGCGCCGACTGTGAAGGCAAACTGCTGTAAAGAGGGAAGAATCTGTCAACACTGATCTGTCAGGATATCGTGGACGGAATTGGAACTTGAAGAAGCAAATTTGTAGAACTTCGTCGGTTGTTGTCCAGTTGTCAAATTCAATGTGGACAGCAATCCCATGTGTTTGTCTGTCGGACTGTCTCAAGTTCTGTCAGTTTTACGGACGGGACACGGATGACTCTTGAGATACCTCCGGAAGCTAGTGTTTCAAAATATCACCTAGATGGCAACAAGCGGTAGGCCTATATACCCGACAGTCATCTGGTTCGACAATGCGAGTATGACTTACCTATCAACCACACCAACAGACGATTTCTCTACCACGGACATGTTCTCCCAAGACAAGGATGAACCCGACCTGTCGTTTTTCGTGGTCTACGTCTTTGGGATACTTCTCCCATTGTCTCTGTTTATCATCACGGGGAACCTGTTGGTGGTGATCTCGTTGCGTCACGCTAGCTCCACTTGGGCGGTGTTGCAGAAAGCCACCAACACGTTCGTGGCGAGTCTGGCAGTAGCCGACTGCCTGGTGGGAGTGGCATTGGTCCCCGTCTTCTATCTTGGAATCTTCGTCAAGAGTCTCAAGTCGGACTTCTACTTCTGCTTAGTCATCACGTCTTTGATGATGGTGTCTTGCAGCATCTCCATGTTACATGTGTTAGGTATTGCCTTGGATCGCTTTCTTGCAGTCATGTACCCGCTGTTGTACCACAGCCTTATGACCGAGCGCCGGACTGCTATTATGGTTGCCCTGACTTGGTGCCTGGCGATCGGCTTGGGACTGACCCCGTACCTAGGTTGGAGGAAACCCGCAAGAAAACTGGAGTTCTGCAACATAGACCAGGTGCTGCCTTTCGGCTACGTTCTGTTCACGTTCATTTTGGCATTTGCTGTTCCTCTTCTGACCATGGCGGTCATGTACACGCAGATCACGCTAGCGGCTCGGCGTCACGTTAGGCGCATCGCCGCGCTGCCGGCAGTCACCGTCAGCCGATGCGTGGCCGCATCGACATCCGAGCGGGGGCCGGGGAGCGACAGGACCTCGGATCGTCTACAAAAGATCTTCTCCGTTGGAGACATGAAAGCTATAACAACCACCTCCATAGTTGTCGGGGTCTTCGTTTTGTGCTGGTTGCCTCCGTACATTCTCAACTTCGTCTTGCAATACCGCAACGACAACAGGCCCACCGGGTCCGAGCTGATCCGAGCACCCTTGGTTGAGGCTGCTCTCAACACCTTGGGCTTCGGAAACTCCGCCGCAAACCCCATCATCTACGCCTACCGATACCGGGAATTCAGACGAGGGATCAGGAAGATGTTTGCGAGACTGTGTCGGCCGGTTTGCCTGAGGCTGTGCGGGAGGGACGGAGAATCGGACGAGGGAAGACAAGTCAATGTGATCGACCTTGAACACATTACTGTCAATCCGTCGTCCGTGACGATCGGCGGCAGGCCAAATCTGGGAATCTCCTGCTCCTAATATTTCTCAGATGTAATCGAACGGCGGTTTTCGACATGTGGCTTTAAATCTTGTACGCGGTCATTGATATATAGTTGCATTAAACCATCAAAACACTAAATTCTGGCGATTTTCGGATAAAAGTGTGCCTTTTAATTAACAGGATGTGAATTCACGTCTAATTGGGGAGTGTATCCACGTAGTTTCGTGGCTAGTGGTTAGGAGCCCAGGTGTTTGAATCCAGCTAATGACCATAATTATGTTGTTTCCTTGGGCAAGCCACTGCACCCCCACTTGCCTCTCTCCACCATGGAGTATACACATGTATATCAAATAGTGGGTGCCAGTGTGGTGTGAATTAGGACTATGAAATACGGACTAATTGGTAGTATTGCGCATTCCTATTAGTGAAGATAAATGAGGGAAGTGACTGGTCACATTGTGAGGGTTCAACCAATAAAAGAGTAAAGGGGACCTGATTTCATATACAGGGTGTCCTGAAAATCCCGCCATTTTACAACCGGACTTTACTGCAAATGTTTACACGATCTTCAAGGTTACAGATTTAGCTTGAGAATACCGGGTTTTTTTTTTAATAAAGATTGCTTTTGTTAGTCCAGAGATATGTTTGAATAACCGCAAAGCCAAACAAAAACCATTCTGTGCCACTTTTATTCGAAAGCGAGTGCTTCAAAGATCAGACAATGCCAGTATGGCTGTTTTGATAAGATTATCCCTATGGGTGTAAGACAAACATTCTATTCACTCAACAATATAGGGTTTTGTTCTTATGTTGAAACAATTTAATAGTACAGACAGGTTCACTTCTTTAAAACTTCAATGAAAGAGTTCAATTAAATATAAATAAATATTGCACACTCTGCTTAAAACTGTTAAAATCACTAACAGTAAAGTGATTTGGTTTTAGACTAGGACTATACTGATTTTAACTGCTTCACAGAAAGTGGCACAAAAGGTTTTTTTGGCTTTGCCGTTGTTCAAACATATCTTTGGATTTACAAAAGCAATCTTAATGAAACAGACGGTATTCTCAAGCTAAATCTATTACCTTGAAGATGGTGTAAACATCCGCAAAAATGGCGGGGTTTACATGCACCATTTTTTCGGAACGCGCTGTGTAGTCCAAATTTCCTGTGACACTGGCATTAGCTGCATGGGGAGTAACCTGTGATGCATGCATCCCATCCGGGGGAATAGAAATATATCTCAGTCGTTTCGTGCCATGGCAACCGGAGGTAAACGTCGGCCAGATGGGCCATAATTTGCTCGTGACAGACTTGTACATCCCAATTCCCCACATTAACACATTCTTCCCAAGTCCCATCCGGGATGAAGTCGCAACAAAAGCGCAGTCACGTCACGGATGAAAAAAAAAACAGGATGTAATTTTTGGATTGCTAGTATTAAGAGTGAATCCATTACCGACCATAATGCATGTCCGGTTTTGAATGCACGCCTGTTTTAGCATGTAGGCTACAGTCGAACCAACACTGTTTGATTAATGTTGGTTATAGCGAACATAAAGCCTTGGTCCTGACTGTGTATTTACGTGTACAATGAATGGGACTGGCACTCCACTTAATGCAAAATCCTGATATAACAAACATTTGGCTAGGCCCGGCTGAGTTTGTATTTATTAGATTAGACGGTGTAGTGTAAAGACTTTAACGTGAGGTACCTTGACTGGGCGTGGTCGGAAGAGAGAACAAAAATGGGGGTTCTACAAGGCAGAAAACTTAAAGAGTACCGACATAACATAATACAGGGCGAGTCACACAAACTGAAATAATGCAAAGGGATCCATCTTTTTTTAAGAAACCAAGTTGAAGTTTTGAATTTTTAAAACTTCAAGAATGACATATTCGTTAGTAGCCTTGTGTGAAAAAATTAAGTTAATCGCATTTACCGTTTGTCTTTTGTGAGCCTTTTTACTGCGGTAGCCGATTTGCGTTTTTGTCCACGAGGCGTCTAAATTTGCTTATGAGCACAAATGTGTCCACAAGAGCCGTTCTTTCCATGAGAAATGCTGAGACATGCATTGCCTTGTAGGGTTGCCAAGTAGACGGCAGAGCTGCAATTGTGTGAACAATGAAGGACACAGTAACTAAAGCATAGCCCAGAGAAACGTTGCATAAACATATACAGTTGTATAAGTGAAACAGAAAAATAAAGTTTGAGCTAAGGTTGTCAGCTTTAAATCTGTGTGTCTCTAATTCTTATTGTATCGTTTCCGCTCTTATGAAATATTCTGATGCCTCGTGGACAAAAATGTAAATCGGGTACCGCAGTAAAAAGCCTCACAAAAGCCAACGATTAATGCGATTAATTTCATGTTTTCCACACAAGGTTATACTACTGAATATGTCATTCTCACAAAATTTTAAAAAGTTCAAAACTTCAACTTGGTTTTGAAAAAAAAGATGGATATTTTGCATTATTGTAGTTTTTTTTAACTCACCTTGTATGTGAAATAGTCTGCACCATTACGTAACCGTTTTTAATAGCGATCGTATTTAAACAAATACAGTGTACTTCTTATTCTTTTCATTTTTTTTTACTTCTTGTATCTGTAATTATAGAATTGCTTAAAACACTACTACTATTGTGCATATGTAACTCTTTTTTTTTAATCGATACATAATCGAAAGACACTGTATTAGGAAAATAAAGTACGGCGCGTACTAGATTTTACTATCAAACATCGGAAAACAGCAAAAACACCATGCACCAAATACGTTAATGAACATGTATCGTTTCGGTTTGCGGTAACACCATGTGGTAACAACTACTGCTAAGAAGATATTTAGTTCTGACAAGAACTTGTCCTACTTATTATCAACTTTCGCTTAGTAGTTTTAGTTCTGATAAGAACCAAAGATCCTATAGCAGCGGCGCTATACGATCTTTGATAAGAACAGTCCGAAAAAAAATTGCTAGAACTTAAAGCAGGACTGTTTTTATCAGAACTAAAATTACTTAGCGAAAGTTGACAATAAGCAAGATAAGTTCTTTTCAGAACTAAAATCTTCTAAGCAGTAGTTGTTACCACATGGTGTTACCACAAATTGAAACGATACCAATACTCCACCAATTAAAGCAAAGCCTAAAATCTCATAATGAACATGTACTTTTCAATTTCGAAAACAAAATTATATTACGGATGGTATAGAAATAATTATTTACCAACATTCTGTTAAAACAATAGGGTATTGTTGAAACAATAGGGTATTAATATCCTTGTAAAATTTTTTCCCTGGCTTTTAAGCCAGAAAGGGGGGGTATATTGCGATAGCCTATTCCGTCTGTGGTTGTGCGTGTGATGTGTTCCATTTTGGTTAGGTTAACTGTTTAGTGCTGTCATATGAAAAGTCAGACTTCAATCTCAACCAAACTTGGTGACAATAATCTGTGGGTAGGGGACTTGAGATTACTTGAGACATTAGAGGTCAAAGGTCATCTAGGAGTCAAATGAGGTCATTGTTGATTTTGGTTATGTACACTGAGAAGTGTCCGTACCGACTGTATACTGCCAGCATGCCGGGGATCACGCAAGTTTCACTTGCAGTATTTTCTAATGCGTGTAATTCGTTTATTTTATTTAAAAATAGTTAATTGAAGTGGGTATTTTGAGTACAGCTCTGTAATTAGACTGTCGAGGTCAAACGGCACTTTGCCGCAAGGCAGTAATGGAAACGCAGCCATTTGCGTGGCTGTAAGGAATCCACCGATGATGCTTGCACGGGGGAAGACATTGGAGATAAGAGGAAAATCGAAAAAGAGATCACCCGAGTGGAACGATAATATGCAGAGGCAGACAGGGACTGATAATGCGATGTCAAGTGGGAGCAAGGTGATCTATGATTAGACTCAATTTCCATGCGTAAAACGTTTACCAAAAATTGGCAAAAGTACAGAGATAAAGAGAGAGAAACAAAGGGAGAGGGAGGTTGAAGTATAATTGGAATAGCCCAACAAGACACTGATGTGTTAACGACTGTTTTATGTGCAAAAAGAAGATGGAAAGGTTTTTCTAAACAGAAGCATGGAATTCAATATTGTTTTTTTGCCCTTCACCGGCGTATTTTATAAACGCTGTAATACTCAGTGTTGTCCCGAGGATTGTGAGAAAAACCTTCACAAACTACTGGTAGTGGTGGGACTCGAACCCACGACCTCCTGCTCACTAGTCTTGGTCTCGAAAACTAGATTTGGATTTGAAAACCCTTTTACGGCCGGTCCGTGACAAGTTAGGTCACTGTCAACGAGATGAATCAAGTCCAGTCTTGGCAATGGCGGTGGCAGCGCTCCCCTGCCAATGGACCGATCCAGTAAGCACCGCCCCTTGGTGTTCTGACCAATCACAGCCGTGATTTATGTCCGACGTGCGTGCACAGATGTCCGACATGCGTGCACGCGCGTATGATGCGCGCGGCAGGAAAATGCAGCGTGGCGGCATTGGAGAGGAGCACGTGGTAATTTGCCCACGTGCGCAGTGGGCGGGGCTTACTGGATCGGTCCATTCCCGAGCATACATTAGGGAGGTTTCGCAAGCGAACGGATACGCTTACACTTACGTTTAGCTATCCGTATCCGTTTTTTACTTACGTGTAGCGAGCGAGATATGCGTGTCGTCTGCACGTATGACGTCATACGCCACTCACCATCCGCTTAACGTGCAGACGACACGCATATCTCGCTTGCTACACGTAAGTAAAAAACGGATACGGATAGCTAAGCGTAAGTGTAAGCGTATCCGTTCGCTTGCGAAACCTCCCTAATGCCAAGACTGTTTCACCTTGTTGATGGGCCTCCATGATCCACCGTGCCGCCGCAGCACCTTCACCGGGTTTGTCCCGCGACTGGCTGCAAAGTAGGGAATGCAAATTCCAATCCAGACTTGGAACAAGATGTACCTGCTTACGTTTTACCACTCGGACCACCGAGCTTGCCGGGGTCGGCTGGCTGGTTCGAAATCTGATACTGAGCCAGCAGCGGGTACCGCAAGTCCGCACTCAACCAACTATTCACGAGATGGAATTTGCGTCGGGAAGATGTAAATTCATGATTAGATTATGCCCTTCACCGACGTATTTATAAACATTGTATAGCTAGTGCTGTCTCGAGTGCTTTTGAGAATTCCGCAAAGAGAAAGTGCACTGACTGGATTCGAAGAGTTATCAAAGGCTTTATTTTTTAAGAAAGAGGAAAAACTGCATCATGATGAGATTATGATCTTGAATTGAAAGGAAAGGCATGGGCAAGCAAGGACTCAAACTACGGGCATTATGAAGATGGAAATAAAGGGAAAGCATTACCAGATGATTTTGGGTTGAACAGAGTATAACTGAGATACGAAAAGGAAAACACAGGCCTATACCTACTAAATGCTATGAGCAAGTTTTGCTTTACGTTAAAAAAAAATGCTCTGTGCTTCTTGAAAACAGATTTCTCTCTATTGATGTCTGATTAAAGAATATCTTCTGATTGTTACAAAGATCTTAGAGTTTCCAGGTAATAGCTTATGTGTTTCAACGTCGTTGTTCAAGCATGTCGTATCACAAGGCTCTTTACAAATTAAGTTTTTTACAACTCGTATGCTGATTGGCCAACGCATATGGCGCTATGATGACGTCAGTTGTGGAAAAGCGCATGCGCGCAGCCTGAACCACCCTCCCGCCTATACTAATTCCGCTTGCCATTTTGTAACAAACAAATATCAATTATTTTTCATAAGGTGAATCAAATTTCATCGATGTCTCATTTTTGAAAGCTCAAATGTTGGTTAGAATTGAAATTCAACCATTCAGTTCGAAATTTTCAATTTGGACTCACATCATAGCAAAAAAAGTAGAAATTTCAGAGTACTGTTGTTTCGGTTATGTAAAAATCAAACGGTTGTGTACTATATGAACCTAGCAACCCGTTGTGTAAACTGTTGTTTACACAACTGTTGTGTAAAATATTACACAACTTGTTCAATTGTTTTACACAACTGGTTGCTAGGTTCATATAGTACGCAACCGAAATAACAGTGTTAAGGGCCTACAATATTATTATATTGACTGCTTCGAGTGTGGTAAAACTAACCTCCCGAGGTGACCGTGAAGCGTTCTGGAACGCTCCATGGATCACCGAGGGAGGCTAGTTTTACTACACCACAAGTTAAAGCAGTTAATATTTGACATACTGTATTTTTATGGTTTTGTTCCCGACATCTCAACACCCCCTCCACTACGCCCGCCCCAAGCGCAAACATAGAAAACGTCTATAGAGAATAAAGCTCACATGCCGTTCGAGAACGAAATGGCCGGCTTATGAATTTAAATTTGATATGCCGAGAATTTGATCTCTTTATTTTCATGAATAAAGAAATATGAGATTTGTTTTCGGATCGCTAGCACCTGCATTCGTGGTCGAGGTAAACGGATAACGACACGTAAGGTACTTACAGGATAGACGATGAAATCCTTTTTGGGAAAATAGAAGTTTATTGATGATGGGATTACTGTAATATGAATAATTCAGTTGGCACTAAGTCTACCTTTATAAATCACGTCATTAATCTCGAATATCCTCGAGCTAATATCCAATCTCTGCGTATTTTTCTGTGCAGGATATAGCATGCTTGAGAAATTCTTTCACCAATGGAAAATATTATCCTGGCGTTACTTCAAAAATGCTTAGTGAAATGTTGATCTTTCATAGTTTAACTTGATTTGTATATAAGGTAGGCCTATAATTCTTCAATAAACTGGAACTGATGTGGAGTTCGAACCCAGCGCTTTCGCTTGGCGAACGATCATTTTCGAAAAACGTTTATTTTAAGAAAACAATGTAATTATGCTAGAGTGAAATGTTCATGAAGATCGAGTTTACGTCGGATTTACTGAAAAAAAGTTTCGTGGATAACCTGCTTGAAATTATTTCAATGTATGAATATACAACACATGCACAGAATTCAAGTATTGGCCTACTTTTGTGTGTGATAGTCACTTTCCATTAAGCAGTTATTTGATGAGGCCTTAGTCTCAAAGGCAAAATGACAGTGGTACAGAAACAAACAAATAGGGGACACACAAGCATGTATGGGAAGGAAAACCATACAGGAGGATTCAGCAGGGGAAAGGATCGAAGGAGTGTGGCGGTGGGTAAAGATCAAAATAGGGGGCAAACGAGGAGACGAGGCAGGGGATGGACCAACGGTGTGTGGTAGTATGTGAAGATCAAAGGGGATGAAGAGAGGAGGTGGGGCAGGGGAAGGACCGAAGGAGTGTGGTGGTAGGTGAAGATCAAAGGGGATGAAGAGAGGAGATGGGGCAGGGGATGGACCAAAGGAGTGTGGTGGTAGGTGAAGATCAAAGGGGAGGAAGAGAGGAGGTGGGGCAGGGGAAGGACCGAAGGAGTGTGGTGGTAAGTGAAGGTCAAAGGGGATGAAGAGAGGAGGTGGGACAGGGGATGGACCAAAGGAGTGTGGTGGTGGGTGAAGATCAAAAGGGGGCGGGGTGTGAAGATCAGAGAGGGATGACGACATGGGCGTCGCGAGGGGGGGGGCAAGGGGGGCACTTGCCCCCCCCCCCCCCCTGGAAAAGCAAAAAAAAAAAAAAAAGGAAGAAAAAAAAGAAAAGAAAAAAGAAAGAAAAAGAGGCGCGAAGACAAAGTGGTGTAAATTCAATGAGTTGGGGGGGGGGGGGCAAAATGTCCCTGCCCCCCTCTAAAACTGATAAATCGAGAATGTGTTGAGAAATACAAGCATTTTTTGGCAAAACTTTTTTTTGCCCCCCTCTAGAAAAAATCCTGGCGACGCCCATGGATGACGATCATTCTGCCTTTGAGAGTTTCTGGAAGGTCATGCTAGGACTGAAATGTTAAGGCCTTCTAATTGTGTTATTTGTATATATTTCAGGCCAATCCAGTCAGTAAGCAGTTTGCAGCAGTTGTATTCGTGTTCAATGTTTAAGTTACCAAACAATACAATATACTAGGATAAAAAAACAAACAGAAAAGACAAGAAAAAGGCCTTCTCAGTGTTAAACATGGTACAGAAAATAAGGAAAAGTTATGTTGGATGAGATTCGTGAAATTATGAATGTTCCCCGAAAAATAAACCCAGGGCCGTTTTTAATTTTCCATTTCATTTTCAAACACTGCTAATGAGATGTTGCGATATAAGCATTGTGTATTATGTAGATGTTATCGTTGGGTTACTCGAGTTCACATCAGAAGATTGCTTGTGGAGGAAAACAGGAAACAAGCCACAAGTCTTAAAAGACATCTCCAAGTATGCCCGGGCACTCAGAAGAAATCTCCCGAGACAAATGACGATCGTTATCGTCCTAATTCAATGGATGACAGACTTGTTGACAAATGTGAATGACGCAAGGTATCATATTTCTTCATTTATTGTAACATCCACTTTGAGTTGATGACTAACACAACACGAGTGCAAAGTGTACTTTCAAGTGGCTCTGCATACAATGGGTAATGGACAAGATTATGATGATGATTTGATCAAAGAAGTATCAAGTTTAATATAGCAAAGTTGCATACTAAAATGTTTTTGTCAGGCCTGGAGGGTCAGCCTGTTTTCCTCTGACTGGCTGACTGTCTGAATCACGGAGTATAAATAATGTCCTAAACAGACATTTGGGTGCAGCTCAACTAGGCAAGCCGACTCTTGTCAAAAGACTAAGAGAAAAGGCGAGAAAAGGCAAGGATGAGGCAAGAATGCACTTTTTAAACCTAATGTGATGATATTCTTCTTTATGTTTACAACGAAAGTAACAATGTCATTTAGTCTGCAGAGACTTTACGGCAGACATGGTCAATAGTTTGCCAAAGAGATTCGATAGTTTGCTAAAGATGGTCAATAGTCAGCCACACATGGCAATTTTTTGCAATGGATGGTCAATAGTTGCAAGAGATGGTCGATCAATAGTTGTAAGAGATGGTGAGAGAGTCAATAGTTTACAAAGATGGTCAATAGTTTGCCATGGATGGTCAATAGCCAGCCACATATGGTCAATTGTTTGCCAGAAATGGCCATTTGTTTGGCCATAGATGGTCAGAAGTTGTAATAGATGGTCAATAGTTGCCAGCGACAGTCAATAAGTTGCCAAATATGGTCAAAAATCAGCCACAAATGGTTAATAGTTTGCCAGAGATGGCCAATTTTATTTGGCCATGGATGGTCAATAGTTGTAATGGATGGTCAATAGTTGCCAGAGATAGTCAACAGTTTCACAGACGGTCAATAGTTTGCCAAAGATGGTCAATAGTCAGCCACAAATAGTCGGTAGTTTGCCAGAGATAGCCAATATTTTTATGCCATGGGTGGTCAATAGTTGTAAGAGATGGTCAATAGTTGCCAGAGACAGTCAATAGTTTGCCAGAGACGGTCAATTTTTTGCCAAAGATGGTCAATGGTCAGCCACAAATGGTCAATAGTTTGCCAAGATGGCCAATAGTTTGACATTTTAATGTTCCTACATATTGGCAAAAAGTCTGCTTGGTAGTCTTCCAATCTCCAGCCAGACTCTTGACTGGTACAAAACTTGGAGATCTATCAGACATCAAAACAGTTCGAGTCTCTTCACTCTTACAAGCAGGACAGGGTCAACTTGTTTTGTTTCTTGACATCACGAGGATGACGTTACCGAGGCTTGACTCTGTGATGCAGTGGGTGGTGGTAGCGGGGGTAGGAAGATGGCCTTGAGTTGGGTCGAGAGTTCGGCCACCGTGCTGTCCATGGTCTCGTAGTGGCGGATCAGCTGGGCAAATTTTACCGCACCTGATGAGAGGAAATTGGTACAGTGAGAAACATCAGAGGAACAAAAAAGTTCAAAGTGATATCTATGACTTGCCCACAGAGACAGGGGCGAAGTTCAAACTCGTTACTAAGTTCTACTTTCAATGTTGGGTTTTGCTCTTTCACCCAGGTTAATGGCAAAACCCAGGGTTGAATTCACATCACCCTGACGCAAATTCCATCTTATGAATAGTTTGGTTGCGATACCCGCTGCGGTCCAATGAATTACGGTGTTCGACCCACGTGCCGTGGTACATGGGCTCAAACCCTGACGGGAACATGGTGCTTTTGTTCTTGGGCAAGACACTTTACTACCACTACCTCTCTCCACCCAGAAGTATAAATGGGTACCCGTGAAGGTACAGACCAGAATGCGCTGATCTCGAGCTGCTGCAAAAACTGGTCTCATGGCCTGGTGAACAGGGGTTATAATTGTGAAGTGCTTTGAGACCTTCGGTATAAAGCACAATATAAGCACCACTAATTTGTTATTATCACAATTATTTATCAGACTCAAACCAGCCAGCCAACCCTGGCAAACTCGGTGGTTGAGTGGTAAGACGTCTGCACTAGCAAGCAGGAGGTTGTGGGTTTGAATCCCACCGAGCATTAAGCGTGTGATTTTTTTATTATTTTTTTTTTTTAAAGTGAAAGGGCAAAAGTCAATTTTAATTTTACAATGTACATTAACCTGAAAAAAATTCCATCTTACCTCTTTAGTCTTAGTGAGGTTGACTTTATTTTTAACCTGAACACTTATGTACAGGGAACGGATGACTTAAACATTAGAGCAAATGGCTTGACTCAATCCCTGGAACAGATTGTTTTTATGCAAAGAAGCCTCCAAGGGAATATAAGAAGAGTTATATATATTCATTCCGTTTTATTGCGTGCTGCACTTTCATCAGTAACCAAATGTACACCGTTTGTTAAACTTTATGAATGCATACTGTACATATTGCCGACTGCAAATTAATGTTTGTATTTCTGCACATGTATGATAACTTACACGTGAAATGCATCAATTTACTCGTAAGAACAAGTGATGATATTTGATCACTTGAAGAAAGTTATTTTGCTTGCTTAAAGAAGTATCCAAGGGGATTATTTGCCATCAGTTTTTCTACAAGCTGAACTTTCGTTTAACTCAAATGCGTCATGCACTTAATACATACATAAAACTTGTAGTTGCAGATTAGTGTTTGCATCCTGGCGAAAAAAAGAGTGTGGTATATTCCCAGGACAGTGTGTTACAAAGCCTCAGTCATTGCACTCTTAAGTACGGTTCATGCTTCAAGCGAAAGCATCAGCATTAATGAAGTTTCATTGTGAGGTTCGCCATTACCTGAATGAATTCCCATCGCGCTGAGATTCTCGTTCAGTACGAACCGGCCTTTTACGCAGATCCATAGTTCAGGAAACATTATTCTTTTTTGGGGGGGGGGGACCTTTAAAGAATTGTCAGAAAAGATATCAAATTTTCTCTGGAGGGAAATTGCTTTTCACTACCATGGAGTGATTGTGTACTCTGGAGGAAAATGGCCTTTGTGTCTGAGTGCTGCGACAAAGTCCCGTCACCTGCAGATCATGCGCATGTCTAAAAAATTGTCCTGTCTTCTCTAAAATAAAATTTTAAAAAAAAACAGGAGGGAGTAAAATTATGGACTGACTTCACTTTTTGTCCCTATAAACAACTGCGAAGAAGCAATCAAGAGCTCCAAGCATATTGATGGTAAGAACGGACAAGTAAATCCCAAAGGGGCCAAAAGAAAAGCACAATGACCTGTTATGGGATGATGGGAACTGGACTGATTCGGCCGCTGCAAAAGGTCACAATCGAATTCTGAGACTTGTGGGAATCGTCATCTCAAAAATGTACAATGTGGGGGGTTCTAACTATGAATACGAATAGCATGAGTTGAATGGGCAATGTGATATCTTGGAGTGTCATATTGTAAGTGGCTCTTCCGGGACCAGAAGTTTACAGAAGAGAACAGGTGACTGACTCTCATTTCGATGATTAAAGGTGCACCTTTTGAGTACGAACAAAATTAATTGTGCATCCACTGGAGGGGGGTAGGTAGTCTAGGGGCTAGACGTTGTTATGCTTTGATATGCGATAACCCGCGCCGCAAGAGGGCGTTATCACGACCAACCTATATCGCCCACGGACTTGTCAGAACAACGTCTGGGGAAACTGTTATTGGTTGTGTAATGCGCGCCCACCTGTTTGGCCTAATATATGCAGCGCGCAACTCAAAAAAAATTATTGTAGTTCCGAAGCAAACTCTCAAATTTCTTCCAGAGCAAAAAAAAGATGCAGCAAGGCATTTGTGCAACTCCACTGGTCAGCTCTTTTGTTACGTGTAGTATGTGTAGGACTCAAAATGGACCGTAATTGCCTGCAGAAGTCGCGCATGCGCACTAGTTTTCCCCCATTTTTCAGGGGGAGATTTCAGGAGATTCCCTAGACATTGTTATGACAAGTCCCTGGGCGATATTGGTTGGTCGTGATAGTGCCCTCTCGCGGCGGCGGGTCATCGCGGCTTCGGTTTGTCGCTTATCAAACCATAACATAGCCCCTAGACAGGGGGATAGGGGGCTCGAGCACCCAAGAAACCCCATTCCGACCCAAAACAAAAAGCGGGGGAATGGATGGAAATACAGAATCAAAACAAAAAGAAAAGGCCCTAACCCTAACCTTCCACAACCCTCCAAAGTCCTCTGGGCAGTTTCGGAGGATTTTGGAGGATTGAGGCTGAATGCAAGATACAATTTTGGAGGATTGTGGAGGATTAACGGCACATGGACATTCAGTATCGGTTGATCTTGGAAGATTGAGGCTGAATGGTGTTTGAACAGGATGATTTTGGAGGATTGGGGCAGTGGGTATCCTTCATTTGAACACAAGTGCAACATTTTGAAGGACTGAGGGTTCCTAGCAAAAAGGGCCTAGGGGTGAGGGTACAAAAATAAGTTGAATTTAGTGTGAGGCACACCAGCGCTAGAAACTGCTGGAAAAGAGGCATGGAACATGCATCACGTGGTACATATTATGCCACATGTATCATCACGAATAGTGTCGGACAAGCTGGGCTACGCCCCTCCCACCCCCTTTTTAGCCTCTCAAATTTGCCTAAAACCAGCTGATAGACTTTTGGGTCCAACCGTCCAACTTGACTGGGCAACCTAGTCTTGTCATCAAGACAAATCCTACCTTCTCCATCGGCCGAGAAACCATACTTCTGAATGACTTCCATCTGGATTTGCGTTGCCACGGGAAACACAATCTGCATCATCTTCATCATGTCGTTACCCGCTGCGTCCTTGACCTCCTCCATGCGCGTCTTGTTCTCCGGTGTCACAAAGGCATCCAAGACCTTCTGAAGGACAGCTGAGGAGATAAAGACATATAGGATCATTTGCATTTATCCCAAAAGTACCCTACCGAATTATTATCAAAAAGCTTACTAATGGATTAAAGATCATACTGGTACTAAACACCCTGTGAAATTATTCTGTCTGGCTTGCTGTCAATTAGAAGAAATCAAGAAATGTAGGTTTTTCCAAAGATCAGTCAATTGACTGATTTTTGGAAGAACGAGTTCTACCTAGTCGACGAAATCGTTCTTACATTTATACCTTATAAAAAGCGAAATACTTAACATTTCTTTAAAATTATTGCAACTCATCTGACATTACAATCTACTACGATTACTTTAAGCTCTATAGAGTGCTTGCAAAGAGCGCCCTCACTGTTCCTCGGTGATATGCATGGTCGAGGACTTTGACTCGGTTCTTTCATTGTCACTGAATTAAAATAACCTGTCCACAATTAGGGCAACCTAAACTTTCTCTTGGATATGAATATTAAAGTATCTAACAAAACAAAATGGGCTGAAAAATCTGGATAAAATTGAGGCCTATATCCCCCATTCCCCTCCTCCCCCCCCCCCCCCCCATTAAAAAAAAAATTGCTCTGGAGTCTAATGTTAATCATTACTAGAGCCACAAATCAGAAAAAGAAAATATTCTGTAATTATATGTAAGTAATAAAAGAAGAATATTCTTACTTTTGGGATGAAAAAAAAATCTAAAATGTCACCAGCTTGGTATTGAACCCTGCTATCCAATCGGCCACAGGTGCTGCACAAAAATATTGCTATTTTTTAATATAACATGTCACTTAAAGGGGAAAAATAAGTGATGGCCAGATACGGGAATCTTTCCAAAAAAGGGGGAAAGTAAAACTATGTTCAAAGTTAGTTATACTCTAAAAAAAAATTAAGAAAAGTGCCTTTGCATAACTTCAAAAAATCTACAAAAACTCGGTTATTTAATTATTGGTTTACTTTAACAGCGCCCTCTAGCGTATAACCGAGTTTAGCCTACACAACAGACATGACAGAAATCGTCCAAAAACATGTTTGGTTTTTTTACCTTTTGCGTCCTCCAACGACAACTTCGGCTGTGACGTTTGCGCCATTATTATCAAGTTGCAATCTCTACTTCTATAAATACGTAAACATGAAATTATTCAGTCACAAAAGTCGGGACAATGACACAATACGACTATCAAAGTTTTCACGACGGTAATTTCTCGTTCTGTTGCTATTGTGTGAATCCTAGACGACTTTCAGCTCACACCATATGGTACGAAAATTAGGGTACCTGACTATTTAGTGCGGAAGTGATTGAATAGTCTGAGAGCGTGTAACTGCAAGCGTTTCACACGCGTGTCTGCGAGGCGGAGAGCAGACCGTGTTGCTACAGACGCCGTTTGACGTTTAGTTTTGCGAAAAACCGATTTGTTTTGGACAAATTGGAGTTTTGTTTCCGAAGTGTTCCATGCATGTTGCCATGAAAAGAAAGTTACTTTAATACAACGATCGTCACCCAAGGCGTGGAAGAGGCCTGTGTACCAAAATAAACGTGAGTACTGAGTGAGTCTTAGTCGGACTCGGAGTATTAATAATTATTTCGATCAAGTGAGCTTTAGTGAGGCAGTGAATTTCGGAGGCAGTGACACAGTCACAGTCGACAGTCATCCGGCTCTGCCTCTAGTGTCTAACTCTAACTTACTGAGTCTAACGTTAGTCCTAGTCCGAGTAACTAGGACTCTACAGATCGCTTTTTTAACATTTTGACATGGTCGGGCGACCATGTGCAATTTGCAAATGTTAAAAAAGCGATCCGTAGAGTCCTAGTTACTCGGACTACGTTAGTCCAACATAGCCAAATTTAAAAGGGCGATTTGCAGAGGCTTTAATACTCGGACCAAGTGAGGCCTTTTGTTCGACCAAACATGCCCAATCAACATCAAACAAAATGATCAACCCTACAAAAGTCAAAAGTACAAAATAAATTGAAGTTTTTACGTCCCTGATCAAATAAGTTTGTGTATTTTTTCAACAATTCTGTAGTGTAACTAGGGGGCCTACTTACAAAAATACAATTACTAGTTACATGTAGGCTACTGCCGGTTCAAAATAAATTCATTAAATTGCTGTCGGTATTTAAAAAAAAAATATAGCCTCCAACTCCCTCAAAAAATGTTGGATGAAAGTTTATTTAAGTGTGAGGAGTTAGTTTTGTAGTGACGGGTAATGTTTTCTATTTTGTTTTCGCTCAGGATGCTGTCAGCTCGGCTAGATCTTGATGGAACCTTTGACCACGCCCGCAAGAAAGAGTACAGCAAACACAAAGATGAGGTTGGTCATGTTGGTCAGGGGTGTTGGTAAATGAGTGAAGAGGAGATTTGCAATCATTATTGAATCACCATTCAATCACAAGTCATCACAAGCCATCACAAGCTATCACAAGCCATCACAAGCCATCACAAGCTTTCACAGGCTATCACAAGTCATCACAAGTCATCACAAGTCATCACAAGTCATCACAAGCTATCACAAGCCACCACAAGCCATCACAAGCTATCACAAGTCATCACAAGCCATCACAAGTCATCACAAGCCATCACAAGTCATCACAAGCCATCACAAGCCATCACAAGCCATCACAAGCTATCACAAGTCATCACTAGCAGTACTCCTCACAACTCTTCACAAGCCAATCGCAAGTCAAATCACAAGTTGGGTCACAAGTTGTGATGGCTTAATCCCAAACATCCTCCTCTCTGCTGGACACTTCATGACGGATCAAACTTAATTGTGCAATTTCATATTTTTTCCAAGCATTTTTTGGTGTCTTATTCTACCCTCTGAAATTTAGAAGGGTAATTAAGGTTAACATATTTTTATGACTAAATGCATTTATTATGTGTTATTCTAATTATCATCATTATTATTTATTTCTGGTAATGAAACCAAGCATTCCTCGAAAACGCCCAGACACTGTAGCTCGCAAGGCCACAGAAACCTCTAGAGAGGAGACAATGAGAGGAAATTACAATTTGAGAGGTGGGAGGAAAACCCCAGACGAATATTCTGGGGAAAACCCATGGAATCAGGTAAGGACTGAAAACCCAATCCACATGTGGACCAATGGCAGGAATCGAACCCGGTTCACAGTGGTGGAAGGCAAGGAAAGAACCACTGCGTCAACCTGACTCCTTTTATCTGATGTGATCTGAATTTGTAGGTGAATTGTTGCGCCTTTTCCCCGGACCTTGAGATGATGGTGACAGGCGCGGACGATGGCCGAGTCCGAGTCTTCAACCGACTCAGCGGTCAGCTGGTCTGTAGGATGATTGAGCATAAAGGTCAGAGGTGACGAGGTTTTTGAAGCCTAGGCTGTGTCTCCAGCTGTGGCTACAAAAGTAACCTGCCAAATTATTATCAAAAATCTTACTTGGATTAAAGATCGTACTGGTACTAAACACAACGTGAAATTATTCCGTCTGGCTTGCTGTCATTTAGAAGAAATCACGAAATGTAGGTGATTTCCAACAATCTGTCAACTGACTGATTGTTGGAAATGAAGAATGCCGTGATCAAAAGGTTTTGCATGGTTTTTCACTGTTTTCTGGAAGAGTGTGATATCCACTGAGCTGAAACTTCAACAGGTTTAGGTTTTGAACATCCTTCTTTGGATTTGGAGTGGTGGTGTTATTGAAAACGAACAAAATGCATGAAAAGCAATTGATCTTATATGCCTTCAAAGCCACTGATACCCAATATATGCACTGTGCTGCTGCTGCAGTTTGGCCTTGGTGAGAGGCTCTAGTATGGTGCTTTGTGGCAGCTCAGGACTTGCTTAAATATTATAACAAAAACTTGGCATACTTGGTTTTTTAAGGTTTCTGCTAAAATAATTTAACCATTCAGCTCATCCCAACACAAAATTGCCTCATTACACCTTTCTCAAATACAATGGTTCAGTGAATTTGTTTTTAAAAGATTTGCTTTTTGGGGAACTGTTATATCCATTTAGTTTTGAAGAACTCCAAACTTCGCAGTATAAGTCTGTATAACTTGTTTAATTAAGATCTAGTTTGGCTCCTTTTTGTACGATGTTGCAGGTGCAATAAAGAGTGTAGCGATCTCATCCGACAGCAAGTACATTGCCAGTGCTTCCTACGATACCACCGTTATAGTGTGGAGGACTTGTAATGCATCGATTGTGTACAAGTTAACGGGTAAGAAACATGATGTAGTTCAACCCTAACCCCTAATCCAAGGCCGTTTTGCTAGGATGCATCCTCAATCCTTTAAAATCGTCCAACGAGGGCTTGATATGTTCAGGCCGTGCCAATGATATCTAGAAGTAGGGCATATGATATCCAGTACAATCTAGGCACACATACCCCCAAACTTGCAAAAAACTTTCCCTTCTGGGTCACTGGCAAATTCCCTAAGTTTTCCCAGATATTTGGTGTTTTTCCCAAATTCCCCGACTTTTCCCTGACTGGATAATGGAAAGTCATTGTCAAGGTTCTCCCTGATTTCCGGAGTGGCTACTGGGTTGAACATGGGTCAGCTGTAGATTTTGGTTTTTTTCTACCCAAGTAGAGCCTCTCAACCCTGGTCCTGCCCAGGGTTGGATTTTACCCCGGGTAGAGCTCCGTACCGATGTACTATTGCAGCTGGGTCAATTAACCACCGGTAGGCACAGTGTACTGTTCACACTTAGATTTAGGATTTTCTACCCAGGTAGAGCCTCTCAACCCTGGTCCCGACCAGGGTGGGATTTTACCCCGGGTAGAGCGCCTTACCTAAGTACTATTGCAGCTGGGTCAATCAAACGCTTGTACGCACAGTGTACAGTTCACACTTAGATTTGGGACTTTCTACCCAGGTAGAGCCTCTCAACCCTGGTCCCGACCAGGGTTGGATTTTACCCCGGGTAGAGCGCCTTACCTAAGTACTATTGCAGCTGGGTCAATTAAACACTTGTAGGCACGGTGTACCGTTCACACTTAGATTTGGGACTTTCTACCCGGGTAGAGCCTCTCAACCCTGGTCCTGACCAGGGTGGGATTTTACCCCGGGTAGAGGCCAAACCCGGGAAGAAGCTGTGTTTGATTCTCGTTAGTGTGAACAGGGTTCCAAAAATCTCCGGGTTGGACCCGGGTCAAGGCTGGAGAATTTGGATAGTGTGAAAGACCCTCAAGACCACTTCAAAGCTGAAAGTTGGTGGCATGAGGGTTACATTGAATTATGCAAAAAGACACGCAATTCCAGATGTATCTGAATTTGAACTTGGATTTTTACGACCAGCTTTTATTATTTTCAGGCCACAGTAGGAGTGTTGAGACTGTCGCCTTCTCTTACGACGGCCAGCTACTGTGCTCTGGATCCTGGGACAATAGCGCCCTCGTTTGGAACCTAAAGGTCAGTTACTCCTTGAAACAAGTCTACATTTGGCAGGGCTTGACACAATAACAAATTTATAATAATTGTACCAATTGTAATGTAGGGCTTTCCATTGTATCAACAATCTCAAAGCGCTTTACAATTACTACCCCGTTCATCAGGCCACAAGACCACGCAGCAGCCGATATCAGCGAACATTCGGTCCTCTACCCTCACAGTTACCCATTTATACTCCAGGGTGGAGAGAGACAATTGTAGTAAAGTGTCTTGCCTAAGGGCACAAACACCATGTTCCTGTTGGGGTTCGAACCCACACACTATCGTACATACATGAGTTAAACATAGTAACCAATGGACCATGGCATTCTGAAACAAGACTACATCAGGCTGGAGTGGACTTGAGGTGTTTACTGAATCGCTAAAAAAAAAAAGATGGACTTCTTGTGGGAAACTTTTAATAACAATAATAATGATACTGGAGTCTTATATAGCGCACGTATCTACCAACAATAAGGTACTCAAGGCGCTGTAAATTATGCCTAGTATTAAAGACAGGTTTATGAGAAATATGAGACCCATTATGTAGCACCTTATAAGGGTATACAAAGTGCTGCGGCGCATATTACATATTAACATTTTAGGTATTGCATATAAACATTTTAGGTATTTTTTTATTTTCATTTCAGACAGGAACAGTGAAGAATGTTCTCAGTGGCCATAGAAATGTCATACAGTGCTGCGCTTTTTCTCTGAATGACAAGTTTGTGGTAAGAGAACTGCAAAACATATGTTCTGTTTAATACGAATCATGTCCACAAATGACGTAGAATACTCGAACATATATACAGCAACGTTGTAGTTGTCACTCGAATCCAGTCCAAGTATGAGTCTTGAGTCACTTGATTCAAGTCCAAGTGCGAGTCACATTTGTACTAAATGGATGTGCATGGACATGGTCACACATACACGTAGACGATACGTAGGTAGCGGACTTTTGTAGGAATAGGGAAGGGTACATTAAAAACATCATTATTTGCAACACCACCTTGAGGGTGGTGCGGTAGGGTTCGTGTGCTTTACGTTTTTTAGCGTCTCTTAAACATACTTTTGGAAAATAAACATCGGATTTATGTTTTTAAAAGGTATTTTTTGTGTGAAAAATATGCGACTCGCAATTCACGAGTAATTAATGTCTAGTATGGTCTTCACATCCACAATAAATGGTAAAGAAACACTCTACAAAAGTATGATTTGAAGTTTGGCATGGTGGAAAAACGTCATATAACAGATTTTTTTTAATATGCTAGGGGTCAATTTTATGGGGCTGCTTACCTCGGAGATTTGTTAATTACAAGAACAAATGCACTGAGCTTGTTTTTAAGTTAGGGCAAAACTTCGGTGTCAGCTATGTTTTCCTGTTTAGCAACTCCACTGAATAGACTGATTACATTCAGTCGTCATCTTTGAGGTTGTTTTGTTATGTTAGTTCATTAACAATGAATGACCAAGGTGCCTACTCCTGCATATCCCTGTTGAACAAAACCACACCTCAAATATGACTGCAGTGCATGTGATCTGTTTGTCTCAAGAGTATAGTCTGAAAAGCTTACCTTAATGGAAGTCCACTCCAATCTAATCACATCTTTTCTTCTGATTTTTGTTTCTTCAAGGCGACTGGATCTTGGGATCACACTGTGCGTCTCTGGTCCATGGTCCGCGATCCTCGAGTCGAGCAGTGCAGAGTTCTCAACGGGCACACGGGCAACGTTTACGCTGTCGCTTTCTCAAGCATGGGCATGCTGGTAAAGATAGATATAAAAACGGATTCTTTTTACAAGAAATGCGACTTTACCTTAATTACTCCTTTCATTTGATTAATTCACAGCGTTGCAATCAATGTGATGGATCACAAGTCATCACAAGATCACAATTCATCCAAGCCCAAGTCACTCACAAGCTTTTCAAACGAGCGGTGACAAGTCAGTTGTGAGGACTTGTGAGGACTTGTGGAGACTTGAGGTCTTGTGATGACATGTGAGGACTTGTGATGAATTGTGAGGACTTGAGGACGTGTGAAGACTTGTGATGATCGATGTGTGAGGACTTGTGATATCGTGTGAGGACTTGTGATAACTTGTGATAACTTGTGATAACATGACTTGTGATGGCTTGTGTTGTCTTGTGAGAATGTGTTAGGACCTGTGATAGTGTGTGTGGACTTGTGATGATATGTGAGGACTTGTGATGACACGACTTGTGATGACTTGTGTTGTCACGGTGAGAATATGTGAGGACCTGTGATGACGTAAGGACTGGTGATGATGTGTGAGGACTTGTGATGACATGACTTGTGATGACTTGTGTTGTCACGGTGAGAATATGTGAGGACCTGTAATGACGTAAGGACTGGTGATGATGTGTGAGGACTTGTGATGACATGACTTGTGATGACTTGTGTTGTCACGGTGAGAATATGTGAGGACCTGTAATGACGTAAGGACTGGTGATGATGTGTGAGGACTTGTGATGACATGACTTGTGATGACTTGTGTTGTCACGGTGAGAATATGTGAGGACCTGTAATGACGTAAGGACTGGTGATGATGTGTGAGGACTTGTGATGACTTGTGTTGTCTTGTGAAAATGTGTATAAAACTTGTGATGATTTGTGAGGACATTTCTACAACTCTATATAACCTCAACTTCATAATATGGTGTTAACACATATTAAGTCAGTAGGTTATATTTTTCTTGTACTATTGACAGGCTTCAGGATCGTGGGATAAAACTATCAGGTTATGGCGGCCTCATGATGGCAGTCTACTCTTCGTTCTTGATGACCACACTGGGTGGGTGAGGGCGCTAGCATTTTCACCGGATGGAACCATACTGGCCAGCGTGGGCGATGACGAATCGGTGAGACATTAACTTAAGTTCTCTTAGCATTTTTCAACAAGAACAATCCTGAATCCTGCACAATTCTCAACTGTGCAGAAACCAAATACATGTAGCACTCTCTTTGTACCTACCATTAGTTTCAAGTGGCATCAAGCCCCATGCAAAGTAATAGAGGCTTGGCTCTCCCTTCCTACAAAATCCTCCAAAACATTCTGGTGGATCAGGGGTTAACTGTCCCACAGTTATAGATCAGCAACCATGATCTTTGAGGTGTGTTTGTTATGTTGATTCATTAACAATGACTGTACAAGCGGTCTATGCTGCAGTACAAAAGGTCCTTATTGCCTGGTCACTTATTGGTTGTGTCAAAAAAGTTCTTCTATTTTAATATGGGCTCCATGCATGAACAGTATAGTGTTGTGCTGGGGCCCACTAGAGCTCTAGTGTGTTGGACACATTAGCATATGTGTAGTCAGAACAAATAATTTCTGTGCACAATTTTACAGCATTTTTCGCACTGGTACTTGGTACTTGGTTGGTTCTTCTCCTAAGGACTTCCACAAGGGAGTATTACTAGGAGGCCAGAAACACCGGGCAAACCCCTTCTCTTAGCGATAGGCCCAAAAAAAAAAGTCTCCGGTTTCTGGTATGGAGCTTGCCCAAAAAGTGGTGCGGCGACGCAGGTTTTTTTTTTTTTACCTATTTTTTTGCTTCAAATGTCGGCTGATGACTGCAAATGGTGCCCGACTAAACTTAGTGCAAATGTATGGGAGTCCAGAGAGGCCACAGAAAGCTTATTCTCGACCATAACCCAATCTAAAAACACGTTAAAATTGTGCAGCAGCAGAATTCCAGTCAAACCAGTGAGTTTGGCGGTTTTGAGACATCATCTTTCATTGAAAAAAAAACTTTTTCATTTTGCCGACGCGCATGGCTACGGCGACGCGCGCGCAAACCAGAAACCGGAGACTTTTTTTTTTTACCATAAGTGTTTCTGGGTTCTTTTACGTGCGTTAGGCGTTATACAACACACGGGACCTCCGGCTTAACGTCCCATCCGAAGGACGAAGCAATAATGGTTAAGTGCCTTGCTTAAGTACACAAGTGCCCGGGCTTGAGCCCACGCCACTGTTGCCTCCCCCTGAAACACCAGAGCATGAGTCGGGTGCTCTTAACCGCTAGGCCATGACACTCCACTGGTGCCGGTTGTGATAATGGTATTCAGATGTCTGTCATATCTTAGACTGTTCCCCCCCCCCCCCTTAAAATATGGGGACCGGGAGCTAGCTCCCATTTAAAGCCATTGATTGGGTCACCTCTGCGCGCGCATCATGATTGTTTATTTTTGAATCGCTGCTTAGCTTTGTTCATGGACGGTGATTGAACACACGATTATAAAGAAACTCAATCTTGTCTTACCCCAAAAGTACGCAAAATCATCAGTGTCTCCATAAAGGTAACTTTCAAGCATTTCAACTGCATAGGTTTTAAATACTGAACAGTAATTTCCCTCTCTTTATTGAAATTTGCCAGAGACACTTTGGAATTCAGCAAAAATCGAAGCTCATCACCTCAGAAACTGCACATTTGTAGCGCAGCCTATTGCCATTTTGCAATAGGCTGGTTGCGAGCAAGCATTACTGTTGTGATTTTGAATTCACGATGCGGGATTCAGGCCTTTACACGTCATGCATATGATTGCATACATCAGGAGGAATGCCTCCAGATGTAGTCAGGTTCAGTGCTAGCTACCTATCCCCATATTTGAAGTCCGAAGGACAATGGGGACAGGGAACCAGACTAGTCATATCTCTCCCTTTGGAGATTGTTTGCGTCATGTTGAGCATGTTCACATTAACTTAAACATGACGCAAACAATTGAACAGCACCTGTGTGATTGCTGCCACCAATTGTCTCAAAAGTCTCCCATATTGCGCAGTACTATTTGAGATAACTCAAATAAAATCAGGGGTGTGAGTGACCACTGATAAAAATAGCTGAAAACAGCTGAAAAAAGTGTAAAAAAAGTTGAACTTAGGAAATCTCCTATACTTTTGTACACAGCAAGTGAAGGAAAAAGCTGAAAAAAGCTGAAATCCAACACACACAAAAAGCTGAAATCAGCTTTAAAGCTGAGATTTCACACCCCTGTAAAATGTATATGCTTGGATTTGCAGGTCAAAATTTGGGATGTACTAACGGGAGAATGCGCAAAAACACTGGAGGTAAGAATCAAGCTGATATGTCAAAGAATTGTTATTTTTAGTGGGAAAGAACCCGAGGCCAATTTTATGATGGAAAGTTATACTGAATCAAAATGTCTATGGGGAGTTGTAAAAATATTCTGAACTATATTTTTTTAAATGATCTAAATGTTTCTCAGTCTAAAACTTGTTATCCTTCCTTCCTTCCTTGAAAGTTCAGCCTCATATGTATGAGGAACAAACACGCTGCCAGAAACTGAGAAACACCGGAACCACGTACCCCTTCTCTTAGCGATAAGTGTTACTGGGTTCTTTTGCGTGCATTATACAACCCACATGACATACAGCTTTACGTCCCATCCGAAGGACGAAGCAATAATGGTTTAGTGTCTTGCTTAAGGACACAAGTGTCAAGACCGAGACTCAAACCCCCACTCTGCTGAGTCCGGTGCTCTTAACCGCTCTGCCATGACAATCTTTGTTGTACCTTTTGTTGGTATTGGTTTCAGGGCAATTTGGAGCAACTGCAATGCTGCGTCTTCACAACAGAGGGCGCCCTTCTGGCCTCTGGAGCAGCGGTCATGCCAACCCTGGCCTTCCAGACATCGTCCGCGAATGAACAGCCGTCCAAATCCAAAACTTCCTGTGGGACAAATATCGGCCTGGAAGAGTCAACAGAGGGCGCCCTTCTGGCTTCTGCAGCAAGCCATTCAAATATCCTGGCATAATGCAACGAATCTCAGCCTAGGAGAGTCAACAGAGGGCGACCTTCTTGCCTCTGCAGCAAGCCATTCAAATATCCTGGCATAATGCAACAAATCTCAGGCTAGGAGAGTCAACAGAGGGCGCCCTTCTGGCCTCTGCAGCAAGCCATTCAAATATCCTGGCATAAAAGAATGCAATTAATCTCAGCCTAGGGAAGGTCAACAGAGGGCGACCTTCTTGCCTCTGCAGCAAGCCATTCAAATATCCTGACATAATGCATCAAATCTCAGCCTAGGAGAGTCAACAGAGGGCGCCCTTCTGGCCTCTGGAGCAGTGTCAATGCAACCCTGGCCTTTAACCTTCCCAGACCTCATCCACAAAATATGAAAAGCCATCCAAAATTTCCCTGTACAACAAATCTCAGCCGAGAAAAATCAACAGAGGGCGCCCTTCTGGCCTCTGCAGATACCCTATTTAGGCGGATTCCCAATTTCTCAATTTCTCACAGGGTATCATAAAATCATGGTTATTTATATTCCAAGATGAAGAAGAAAATATTAAAAAACGTAAGATTATTTGTGCTGTAAAATGATGTATAATAGTTTGAAATTTTGTGTGTGATAATTGTACGGGAAAAGGTTTGAAAGACCGAGTTGTCGTAATTTTTCACATAACTTTTTTTTTATGTGTGTGATGTGTTTAATAATATTAAATGTCATATGTAAATAAAAGAATTCTATAAGTTTTATTAATGCTAAAACTGTGTTTAGAATTTTATTTGTAGTCTTGAAATTGACCGTTCTTTAATACAGTAATGTTTCCTTTATTTTGACAAGTGTGATAATACATACAATTTTGTAAACATGAATGTTGCATGAAGCATTGTGTTTTTAAAACAGCAAGCTCAAACAAATGGAGCATAAATATCATTTCTGTCATAATTGGAACCACAGTTATGTAAATACATGTATTGAGAAACGTACTAAAAAAAAAAACATGGAGCAAAATACGACACGAAGACATTCAGTCCATGTTTCCAAACAATGAAATCATACCCCTGTTTCCTGATCTAGTTCTGTTTCCTGATCTATTCCGCAAGCCATATGCCCGTAGCGAGTATGTTCCAATATTTACATTTTGAGAATCATGTCGTGGCTTTTGAACAAAGAGGTCGGACCATCTTAAAAACAGAGACACGTTGTAGGTAGTCGGCCGCATTTTGCATTTTTTGTTGGCCGATTTAGATATGTATCTTTTTATGTTTGCGGACTTGTGGCTTGGACGCACCATTATCTTGTGTTTACTTTCGGATCTAAGCGTGGAACGCACACGTGCATTGCGCAAAAAGATTACGGTGTAGTGTTGCATTTTGACTCTCTGAAATACGGACTGGTTGTAATTGCGCATGCCTAAGTGGCTGGTCACGTGTGGGGGTTCAATGAGTCAATAGATAAAGGTACACATGTATGGAAATTGCATTCAAAAAATTGTAGGGGTTTATCGAGATGAGACCATATTATAGATTTGTAAGTTGTTTGATAGATTTTCAATATTACACCGCAATTTTTTTTATGAAACAAAGAAGACAATGGACGGTATTATCTAAACAAAACTGGAATGAAACTACAGGAAAATTGTATCTTGGAGGGAAAAGAAATCGTGAGAAGAAACAATAAGTTCGTGCGCTCTTTTAAAGGCTGCTTTTGGTGGAAAGGAGAATAAGGGTTTTTTTTTGGGGGGGGGGGTTGGGGCGATGTGCGTTTGTGTTTTGATACTCCTAATTTCGTATGCGTTGAAAGGGGAAATTATGTAAAAGCTTCTAACGGTCCTTGAAAAATGATATTATTTCTTGAAAGGCAATACACGCTAGGCGACAAAGCGCTCTATAGATCCGCTTCCTGAGATGTCAAATAGGCAGAGGCTTTGGCACTGTGATTGTTTGTCAGACAGGCGCGGTGGAGCGAGGCTGCAGAGTGGACCGGTCGTCTCGGGTTGCCGGGCCGTTTGGAGTGCCAATATCCCCGGTCGAGTGATGCGGGGCTGGCGCGCTGTGGGCCGCGGGTTTCCGGTCCATCAGGTCCGGTGGGTCTGTGCGGTAGATGACCGGCGATCGCGGAGAAGTGAGTTATTGAGGAGGGGGAGAGAGAGAGAGTGGCGGTTTGAAGAGGAGTATGTGAGGATTAGTAAGAGAAGGATGCGGCTCCATGGTGATACTGAATATCAGATGAAGTCTGGGAGATGCCCAACTCTGGAATATTGACGAGCGGGGTGTTGGTGTGATTTTGCTGGGAGGAGGGGGGGGGGGGAGTTGGAAATACACATGCGCAGCTGCTAGGCGCACAGTTGTTGATTTAAACTAGGGCTAGTGACTCTAGACTCAATATGATGAATTTAGTTCATAATACTGCCAACTATATAATTGTTCTCAATTGGGCCCAAGTTTCATAGTGCTACTGAGAAGGAATATACGTTTGGCAGAGATCAGCTCGGAACCAGCGACAAGCATCATATATAGCTTGACGCTTTCACTGGTAAGAAGCAATTTGCTTAATCAGTGGTTCCCGCTCCCCGTCGCCAGAATCGACGAAGGACGGATTGTGAACCAGTCTAATAAAATAATCGCAAAGTCCCTTTTTTTTTTTTTTTTTTAATAATCTTCAAAATGGGCAAGTATTGCTGAATTAATTCTTGTCCAAAGTTGTAAAAAAAAAGAAAAAAAAAAGAAGTACCTAACTATACAACTTTGGGAAAAAAAATTCTCCCAGAAATGAATTCCAATTTTACAAAAATTAAAGTATTATCGAAGTAAATTTATACCAATTGTTGGCCAGAATAAAACTGCCTAACTTTGTTTCACCATTTTTTTTCTCGTGGACGAGTATAGTCTACATATACACCACTGTGATATATCACTCATCGACTTATAACAGTCATAGGGGAAATGTCGTCGATATCCGGATGACATTATACTGACGTACGACAGCCGCACGGGTTGTGCGCAGTGCGCAAGCGAGCGTGAAGCGGAACGGACACCCAAGCCGTACACCCAATCCGTCGAGTGTTGCGCCAATTAATTAAAAACTGCGATATTGAGTGTTAAAGGGGCATGCACTGTAGCTGGTGTTCTTTAGAATTTTTTTTACTTTAATGTGTCTATTCGTGAACAGCTCAGAAACCAACGTAGAACAACGTGTATGGGTCTAACAGCCTCGCTCTCATTTTCAATATGGCGCTTGGATGCAGAGAGCGAAAGACCTGATAGACCTTGAGACATAATGACGTCAAGCTTTGTTTACATGTTGGTTTGCCTATATGAGAACCAATCGTCCCCCTGGCTCCCATAGGAAAGTGCACTTGTAATCAAAGCGTGACGTCATTATGTCTTAGGTCTATTCTAAAGTTTGCAGGCCAGTAAACAGGCCCGAAATTGTCTTCGCCGGCCCAATCATTATTTGCATGACCTCAGATTCTCCGTTATTAGGGTTTTGTGGCCCTCGTATTTCTCTTTATTTTTTAAGCGAGGGCATTTATCATGATGCACGCAATTCGTACATGCTGCACATCACGAGCATAAAAACCATAATCCATGTTGATCGCCCTACATTCAACCTCATCTGGAGTATTTGCGTTGGTCACGACACACGCCTGAACATTACATCCCGTACACGGTACACACTAACCACGCACACAGGACAAAAACCACCCCTAAATCTTCCTCCTATTCAGGATAAAAAAATATCCCCCAGAAATAGGATACAGGCAACATAAAACCGCTATATCCCGGATTATAGGCCTACCGGATCCGCGAAACTAAAGACGACGAACATACAAAAAAAACCTAAAAACTCCGTGTTTGACGAGCACTTGTGACCGTGGCGGGGCCAGGTGGCGCTACGGGGCTTGAGTGACAATATGCCGGCATATGGTCTCGGTGCGGCCCGCTGCAACTCGAGTCCCGGACCCTGATGAGATTACGTCCGGGGGAAAAATCCTCCCTTCCACTATCTCTGTGGTAACGGGGGATGGGAAACAACTCGTCATAACTCCCGTCAATTGAAGTGTCCCAGAGATGCTTCAAAAATTTTGATGAAAGAGTCGATGGGCGTCTGACGCTCAACATGGTCGAAAAAAAGAGAAATTGGGAGAAACTCTTCAACTGGCTCGTCAGTGCCTGAATTATGACAGACGAAAAACAACAACTGAAAAGGGGGACTGGGAGATGTGACCTTTTTAAGTTCGATGTGATGGTTGGGGTTTTCAAAGTGGGAACACAAATTTGGTCTATTTTTGAAGGTACAGGCTAATTAATCATTTGGAACAAGGCCATTTTACGAAGACACTTTACATTACGAGAACTAGAACGATTTTCAAAAATAAAACCGATACAAATCAATCAAATTAAAACTGCATTTCGTAGAATTATTCCAAGCATATCATTTTTTTAAACTCAATATAAACCAATAAATTTTAGCAAAGAAATTGAATCTAGAATTTAGAATTTTTCAATTTAGAATTTTAAAAAGCCTTGAAAGGGAGCAATAGTCAAGGTCAATTTTGTCTCAATTTGTGGCATTCATCCCTTTCAATAATGCATAGGCCCCTATTAATGTAAGGGGGAAAACAGTTTTGGAATGCTTGTAATAAACACAAGTTAAGAAAAGAAACAGTTTCAGATTCAAAAGTTAATTATTAACCCAAAACTAACACAGTCGAATTCGGTCGCAATCTTTGAAGTCAGGGCGTGCGCGTTTCTGTCAAGAGATTGGCGCAACAACAATAGCATTGTTGTACAGTGTTTACCGTGGTATTATTTTTCCGAAGGGGTAATTTTTACCCCCAACAAAAGGGCGCGGGTCGATGTAAGGTTGCCACGCAGGATCGGTAAGGGTAGATTTAAGGGTCGCCGGTCGCGGCTTGGAATCGGCTCGCGTTTGATCTCTGAGCTATGAGGCAGAACTGACACCGGCATCGCTTTTCGGAGAACATTCCTGAGATTTTGGCGGACTAGCTGTGGGTTCCAAGGTGACATTTGTCGGCGGGTGAAATATCAGATCCACACGCTCAAAATAATGTTCGCCTTGCACCCGAAAAGTCCGGTCAGTGACATTTCAACACCAAATTTAATTTAGCACTACGAAACAGAAATAATAATTGTTCATGTACGGTAATGAAACCAAGGATTCCTCAAATACGCCCAATGCACTGCAGCTCGCAAGCCTGAAGAAACTTGTGGATTTTTTTAAAACCACAGCAAGCATTGTTTATTTAGAAGCGCTATAAAGTTGCACCTGACTCTTAAGACAGTTAGAAACATTAGTAATTATTCGGAAACGAACGATACAATTTTATGGGGAAAAAACTTCCTCAAAGTGAAGATAGGACTGGAACCAAATAATCTATGAAATTATTTCGCCTCAGTGAAATAATTTTGATTGAAACCAAACAATCATTGAATGCAGTTTTCAAAAAAAGTGTGTCCGCAGGCACACTTTTTTACATGCGTAATCAACGTTAACGGAATCCAGTTACGAGACACGCAACATTCTGTAAATGTTTTC